AAAAAAAAAAGAAAAAAACAGATCATTCAACTCCATACTACTACTACTATCCCCCCCCCCCCTCCTCCCACCTCAAGGCCACATCCCCCTCGGCACCCTCTTCTCATGCCACTCATCCCTCCCCCAAATCCGACTCCAGCCATCATCAAAAGCCACATCCTCCCTCTCAACCCCAACCCTCCAAGGCTCACCAACCCTCCCCTGATCCTCTACAATCTGATGTCTGCTCAGAGCCAAATTCAACGCAAAACTACTCTTCACAATCCCCCCCAAAACACTACATTTGCTCAAAACTTCCCAATCGATCAGAGCTTGTTGATCCCACGAGAAATTATTTTCTACCATTGCCAATTCGGCTGCGGGGAGGAGGTCAGATTTGGAAACGACGGTGAGAGGAGGGTTGTGAGAGGCGGCTTTGTGTTTGAATTGTAAAAGGTCAGACGGAGAGCCGCCGGAGGCGACGTAGATGATTTGTAAATTTGATGACTGAGCGTGGGAAATGTAGGCGTCCATTTGTGCGGTCGAAGTCAAGTTCTCGGTGAGCCAGCCGGCGTGTTGGGCGTCGGAGGCGATGCGGAGGTGTGCGCCGTAGAAGTTGAAGGCGGTGCGTTTGCGTTGGGGGAAAAAAGGGGTTCGTGGGGGTTATTGTTGGCGGGGAAGGTCAAGTTGAAGCGTTGGATGAGATTCCATGTGATGAGTGCTGCGAGGTTGCGATAGATGGGAGAGATTTGGAGGATTTGGCCGAAATTTCTTCGGAGGCTGCCTCTCATGGGGAGACTTCTTGTGTCGATGTCCCAGAGTGTTCGTTCTACATTTATTAGAATGGGCTCTGCTTCTTCATCATCTTCATTACCACCATTTTTCCCCCTCCCACCTCCATACCTCTTCCGAAAATCCTCATTCCCATTCAACCACTCCTCCAAACTCTCCAACCCCGCAGCTCTTGTATTTCCCTCATCCTCATCCATTCTCCGACTCCGACTCCTCCACAATCCCTCCACAGGCTTCACCATTTCCATTCCCTCCTCAAATTTATACACGCGCATATGAGGACATACTCTGCCCAAAACTCCCACAAACCACTCTTCATCAAACATCTCATTAAACCCCAATTCATGCCCACCACCACCCCAGACATTCGACAAATCTCCGCTGTCGCGCTTCGCGGCTGTGGGGAGGAGAATCGAGGCTCCGTGTTCGATGGCGGTGAAGATGAAGTCGAGGAAATTGCCTCGAAGGTTGCCGATGCCGCCGTTGGCGTCGGCGAGGTGGAAGACGAGATTGGGCCGCCACGTTGTGAGGTTGCAGTAGGCGGAGAGGGGAGCTTCGTCGAAGGGGGTGATGAGGTGGGTGGAGAGCCAGGTTTGGATGAAGGTTTCGCGGGGGGAGAGGAGTTTATCATTGTTTGTGTTGGTGTTGCTGCCACCGCCACCATAGGGGTGGTGCATTCGATAGTGGTAGGAGAGCAGGTAGAGGGGTATGAGGGTGAGAACGATGGTGACCGCCATGGTACGCGGTGAGGCGTTACTGCTGGGTCGGAGGAGGTGTATCATCATGATGATTGTGGACGAATACTTTCTCGCACGAGTCGATTCGATCAAATTGCTTGCTTGCTTCTATTGGTAGGTACTGTAGACGTACTTGGTCTATACTGCTCCATTACTGCGTCTCGCGAAAAACGACGTGTCTTGTTGTTGGTAGGTCGGTCTGTCTTCACCCCTTGCTTCATGCTGCACTCATTCCAGATCATCCCTTCTGATGACTTTTTTCTTTCTCGTGACTTCGTCTTAACACATTACCATCCAAATGTACAATGCAACGCCATGTAAGTGCTGTGATACCCAATTTTCCCGAATGCATGAGTTCTGGAACACCTCTCTATGCACACGTATCTCGCTCATCTCTTTTCCGGCTGCCAACTCCGCCGATGTGGTAAAGGCCCTCCTATGCTGCCAGGAAGCCTCTCCGGACTGGGTGCCGTACTCCTCTGGTGCAAGTGAGAAGGAAGTGCCTGTCCCTCTGTATCAGCAAGCGTGGCCATCATACTGCTGTTGTCGCCATCTGTGTTCTCCCGCTTCAGCAGTCCCATCCGATCCCTTAAATCGAATTGTTCCATGTTCGCTTCGGTCAGTGCGCTCGCACCAGTATTCGCATTCGTAATCTGTTGCGCCTCTTCACCCACGCCTTTTCCCAGTTTCGTTTTGGGATCTTCTCCGGATTCGATCAACTCATGGTCTCTCAACGACATGGCCTGCTCTTCCGCTTTGATTTGACGATGCGCACGCTCGGATTCCGTCTCGCTGCTGCTAGCAAATCGAGCAGAATGAACAAATTCGAGACGATCCACTTCGCTACTCAGATGTTCCTGTGGTGTGACGAGGGAACTCGATGTTTCGCTGGCGGTAAAGGAATGGTTCTGCTGAACACCGGGACGTTTCAGTAAATTCGGGTTGCTTTTCAACTCGACCCGTTTCTTCCTGCCCTCAATCGCCCACTTGATGAGCATCTTCTCGAGCATGGGCTTCTTGACCGGTTTCGCGAGGTAGTCATCCATGCCCGCTGCTTGGCACTTTTCCCGATCGCCCTGGATCGCCGAAGCAGTCATGGCAATGATCGGGGCACTCTGCACGTCAGCGTTCTGAACGAAGGCCTTGTCGTTGCGGATCGTCCATGTGGCCCGATAGCCATCCACTACAGACAGTCAGCATATGCGACATGATCAATCTCGTCGGATTCACTTACTGATTGGCATCTGCACATCCATTAATATCACCTGAGGCCGCGGTCGCTCTGGAGAAGGCGAAGACAGATACTCCAGCGCTTCTTGGCCATTCCAAACCGCGCGTACGGGAAACCCGAGCTTCTTGATTGTTTTCAACGCAATCTGCTGATTGACCGGGTTGTCCTCGACGACCAAAACTTGTGTGTTGCGGCGCTCCTCTTCGCTCAGATCCAGATCCATCCCCATGCTTTCTGCCCATGGGCCGAGACCAGCGAGACCACCCATCGATAACTCTTTGCGATGTCCACCCGTCGGCGTGGCGGGCCCACTAGTGCCATTGTGATCGCTACTAGGTCGAGACACAGAAAGCTCCGAGGCAAGCCGATCCGGTATCGTCCCCAAGTCCACCAGAGGTGAGTCCGCCGAGGTCTGGTAGGGTGCTTTGTTGAAAGGGATCCAAAAGGTCGCTCTCGTGCCGACACCAAGCTTCGACTCGAGGAAAATTTCACCGCGCATGAGCTCTACCAGATTCTTACTGATTGTCAGGCCTAGGCCTGTACCACCAAACCGTCGTGCAGTCGAGCTGTCCGCCTGCGAAAAAGGTTTGAAGAGCCTCTGCCGCACCTCTTCCTCAATGCCGATGCCCGTATCTTCTACCGTCTACCAGGGGAGGTTAGCAGAGGACATGATGGGACATATGCCAAACGACTTACAAAGTGCACCTCCACCGTGTCATTCGTTTCACGTTGCGCCTTCACGCGCATCGTCACACTTCCGTCGCTGGTAAACTTGATACTATTCGTGAGCAGGTTAGTCATGACCTGTCGTAGACGTCCTGGATCGCCCATGACCTTCCAGCTTGAGAGCTGTTGAATGTCGTCAATATACTTCAGCCCTTTGCGTTCGGCTGCAAAACTCAACATCTTGTTGACATCACTGATGACCACTGAGAGGTCGAATTGCACTTCTTCAATGTCCAACCGTCCAGACTCCACCTTGGAAAAGTCCAGGATGTCATTGATGACAGTAAGCAAACCATTGGCAGATCGCTGGATATTCTCTGCACATTCGCGTTGCTCTTTCGTCAACTTGCCCGACGCAGAGTCATCCTCGTCCAGGAGGAGCTCGGACATGCCAATGACACCGGCGATTGGCGTTCTGATTTCGTGTGACATATTCGCGAGGAATTGACTCTTCATCTTACTGGCTTCCTTCGCAGCAACACTCTGCGCCATGAGCCGCGCATTCTCCCGATCTCGTGCCTGAACCTCGTCTGCGGCCTTTTTCAGCTCGGTGACGTCCATGGATACTCCCACAACACCATCCACATATGTTTCGCCCTCGATACCACCAGCCCGTTCTTGGCGAGTGAGAGCGAGCAGCTTGGTGCGATAGTATCTGCCGTTTCCCCCTGTGACTGTCTCGATGGTCTCCTCTGATTTTTGCCTCGCGAGAATTGCCCTGATCGGCCGCTCGAATACCTCTCGCTCCGATTCCCTGCCCTGCCGTTCGAAGAGCCAGCTGGTAGGCTTCCCAATGTATGTATTCCTTCGCTTATGTATGTCAATGTCCGCCGGGTCGTCCGACATGGCCCGACCTTCGGACAGGGTCAGTTTCATATCCTTGTCCACCGCCCACAAGGTAATATTCGCATGTTCAATCACACGCTCCAATTGCAGTCGGGTCTGTTTGGCCTCTTCTCGCGCGAGTACAAGATCGTGGATGTCTGTGCATGTACCAAACCATTTGATAATTTGCCCATTCGCATCCCTCATGGGCGTTGCTCGACCAAGCATCCACCGCAAGTCGCCCGTAGCGCTCTTCGCGCGATATTCAACCCGATACTCATCTCCCGTTGCAAGGCAGTGTGCCCATATCGGCTCCGCAATTGCAAGATCCTCAGGGGCGAAGGCATTGAGCCAGCCATCTCCCTCGCTCTCCTCAACGGAGAGGCCAGTATACGTATACCATGGGTCATTGAAATAGTCGTGCATGCCATCGGGTGTGGTTCGCCAGATCAGCTGCGGAATCATGTTGCAGATATTCTCGAACTGCCGTTCATTCTCTTCCTTCTGATGCATGATCGTTCGAGCGTAGCCTGTTACATCGTGGAAAATGACACAACCTGGACGTAAGGGCGCACGAGTCAGAGAACTTCTATCATCCGATAGCGTATGTGCAACCATAAAGGAACAGCAGATCAGAATGGTACTCACCTCCCACAAAATCACCTTTGTCGTCGAGCAACGTCTCACCACTCGTGTCGTATAGCATACGGCTGCCATCCTTGGCACTGTACATGCCAACGCGATAGCCTTGGAACCCCGCGCGAGTCTTCATCACACGCATAATGGGATAGTTCTCCAGAGGAATGGTTTCGGAGAAGTCCTCCTTGTACAGCACGAAGCGAAGCAGAAATTCCTTGGCCTGCTCTTGCGCATCAAATTCGCCATCTTCGGCATTGGGAAGAATCAACCGGATCGCTGCTTTGTTCGGTATACCGAATGTTTCGTCCTTCCACATGGCATAGGCTGGCATGCTCATACTATTAAGCAAAGCTTGTTTCAGCCGATTCGTTTTCGCGAACAAGGAGGGTGCGTGGGGCGCGGATTGCGTGGGCGGCCCTCGCGGTGGAAACTCCATGCTCAAAGGACTGGCATAGACGGAAGTCGGTTTACTTCGGGCATGGTGATGCCTATGTACACCGGTATTGCGGGAGCTAGAATTCGAGCTGGGACCCGAGTCTACGCCGGAGCCGGAATGCACACTGTTGGAATAACTCGTGGCAGCGCGAGAGACGGTTCGACTGGTGGTCTTGGTCGGTTCGGACGGGGTGCCACCAGATCCCGAAGTGCCTGCCGGAGCTGCCGCTGCCGCGGTAAAGGTGAGAGTGAAGTACTGTTCGTCCTCCGTCGCCCAGATAGAAATGATCATTTCCGAATGAATGTGCTCATCATCGGCGGTATTTGCGGACACGGGCAATGGCAAACCCGTTCGGGGATCTCGACGGGTGGAGAAGACCACTTGCACTACCGCATCATGGACCTCAGTACGAACTCCCGAAACTGCAATCGGCGGGGTGGCCTCCGAAGTGGACCTTCTATGATGTGTGCCTCGTCCAGTGGGAGTGTTGTCTACATCACCTCGCTTTTCGCGATATGTGTTCAGCTGGGTTGTGCTGCTCTGGGCGTGTGAAGCATCGTCAAGTACAGAGTTGAGAAAACTATCCCATGATACAAACATGGGCGCGCCATTCTGCAAGATATCCAGCCCCAAGTCGCCCGGAGTCACGCCATATAGGACATCGGTAGAGCTGCTGGCCTCACGGCTGACCACCCGCTGCAAGTGGTCCATGGGCAGATCGACGTTATCGGGTGGTGGAAGATCGAGAGTGATGCCCAGCAAATGTCCCATGGCCTCGTTTGCCAGCACTACGGTCTTCGCACTCGAAAGCACCAGGACGGGCATGGGCAGATATTGCAATGCGGTGAAAGCCATGTGCGAGTGCAGCTGGGCGGGAGGAATTTGAATGTGCAGGTCAACAGCGCGCCGCGAACTAATGCTTCCTTGAGATACGATATCGTCATTGAAGCCATCGTCAGTGCCTGGGGCCGAGAAGTAATCATCCTGAGTGGCGGGACTATCATGCTCATTGGTGGCGCTGCTGTTATTGCTGCCAGTCTCGCTGGCAGCAACGCGCGTCTGAAAGTCGTCAAACGAAACACGCGCCATTGTCGAGCGGCCCAGCTCCTCGGTCACGTACTCGGCCTCGTTGGTTGCGCTCCTTTTTCTGCCCGTACGGGAGGCAGCGACGGGCGTGGGGTCTCTATCTCCCATCCAAGCACGATTTCCAACTTCGATCCCAGCGCGGCGCCGGCAGATGCATGCATGGAAAGAATGTGTGCCCGGTGTGGGAGGGGAGGTATGGTGATGGTGATGGCGGTCGTGGTAATTGTGGTAGGTAGGTAGGTAGGTAGGTAGTGAATGCCTGTCGGTCGTAGGACTCGGAGGGCTCGAGAATGAGCACAGCTGGATCGGAGAGGCGGAGGGAGGGCGGAGGGCGGAGAGCGGAGAGCGGAGGGCAGAGGGCAGAGGGCACCGGCGAAGGGCACCGGCGGAGGGTGTGCACTGTGCGGGTCGATGCGATGGAGGGCGGCACTGTGCGGTGCTATGGTATAGTCAGGTCAGGTAGGGATGGGTGTGTCGGCGTCGCGCAGTCGAGAAGTGTGCAGAGAGTGCAAGGATGTGTGTGTTGCATGTGGTGGTGGTGCCTGTGTGTGGACGTGCGTCACACCTGCGACGTGCAGTGAGCCTCAGTTTGAATATGTAATTACGCCTACGGACCACGGTGCAGTAGTCCAGGTCCAGCCAGCGTTTCCGCCAAAGTTTGAGCTAGAAGCTGCCTGGAAGTCTGGATGTCGAGACGAGCGGCGGCGGCAGAGTGAGTGTGTGAAGCCTGAGGGGGAAAGTCTAGTAATTGGAAGTAAACAAACGGTATACCGTATCATAGTATCGTCTCACTGAGGTAGACCTACTACATGTACCTCGGCCATCACCTCACTGCGTCCGTCTCGGGGACGAGGTGGAGGTGGATGGGGGAAGCTGGAAGACATTGAGGTCAAGTCTACCTGCGGGCACATCCGTGTAGACGCCTAGACGGGGGTAGGGAGGGAGGTGACAGGCTCCGCTCCGCTCCGCTCCGCTGCCATCATCGACAGTGACCCTCATCGCAGTGGGAGGAAGTAGGAGACAGGTGCAGGTGTCAGATGCATGTTCTGTGATAGAATGAAAATGTCTGACCTCATCGCGATCCCCCGCCGTCCATCCCTGCAGTGAATCGGCAGAGAGCGGCCGAGTCCCACGTGTGCACCTTTTACTCATCTGCTCCACAACGCGAATAAGTACACGCGTTATTACCTCTAGGTCCAGTAACCGGAGTGCTGTAGGCGCCGTAGAACCTCATTGTGGACACCAAATGCAGTACCCATTCCATTGCCCTTGTTCCGCCGCTCTCGAGCGATAAGGGAGTGAGGATGGTACACATATGCAGGTACCCTATAAGGTAGGCAAAGTAGGGTACCTGAGGCAGAGCAAGTCACATCAAACATTGAAAGCACCTACTGGTACCTAGACACCTCAGGTATCTAGGAAGGCAGTAAAGGCAATCACGCGACAAATGTTCTCTCCCGCTCCCGCTGCCGGGCCCTCCATCACCACCATACTCACTGGCATAGTCTCCGTCATCACGTTGGGTGGGATCATTCACGGTCTCTACTCTGATCACTGGCGACGTCGCGATTCCCAATTCCACAAGAACCCGAAAAAGCCTTCCAGGAACGGATCAACAACAGATGTCTATCAGGGAGTCTACGATTCTGCTTCCGACACTACTACTACCATGTCCAGCTGGCGTCCACCAGGGCCGCAAGGCAACCCTCACTCCAGTCGCAAGAAACCTTCAGGTCCCTCTTCTTCTTCCAAAGGAAAATCAAACGCAGTCCAAATATCCCTTCCAGCTCAACTACAGGAGCGCGAAGCACTCTTCGACTCATACGAGCATTTATCCGGATTCGAACGCGGCGATGTCGCTCTCACAATGCTCCGCAAGATCGCATCCATCGTCAAACCCATCATGCGCAAACATACCTGGCACGTTCGCGTCCTAGCAGAATTCCTACCGCCAGAGCAGAATCTGCTGGGATTGAACCTTAACAAAGGTTACAAAATTCTCATTCGACTGCGATATCATCATAATCCCAACTTGTTCTTGCCCTTGGAAGAGTGCGTGGATACGATGCTGCACGAACTAACTCATAATGTGTGGGGGGATCACGACTCGAATTTCTACCGGCTGTGGGAGGAACTTCGTGATGAACATGAAGTCTTGGTCCGCAAAGGCTATACTGGCGAAGGCTTCCTCGGATCCGGCAAACGTCTTGGGCGCGGCGGAGGCGCATACTGGGGGAGACAGCAACTCCCCGCGCACGAGGTCCGCCGCCTCGCTCGTGAGTCGGCGGAAAAGCGCAAGCAGCAAGGCATGCTTGGCATGGGGGGATCGGGTCAGAGGCTGGGTGGCGCTCCCATACCTCGCGGACAGGACATCCGATCGGTGATTGCAGATCAAGTCATCCGACGCAATAATAATATGAATCGTGGCGGTTGCGCCTCGGGACGACATGACGCGGGACAGCTCTCGCAGCAATCGAGTGGTCAGACGTTCAAAACGAAAGCTGAGGAAGATGATGCCAATGATAGCGCAATTGCACAGGCCCTGTTTGAACTCATGGAGCAAGAAGAAGAACAGAAATTGGACGGAACTTTCCAGGCGAGTAAAGCGGATGAGAAGGGGGGTTTGGAGTGGAGTAAGGAGAATGGATTGTATGATGCTGGCACAGCTTCATCTTCGCGTGCTTCCGCGAATGCTCACCTGAGTGAAGAGGACCAACTGAAGTGGGCTATGGAGGAGAGCATACAAGCATCGTCGGACTCACCCATCGACGAGCCTGTGTTGTCGAAAGTGGTGGAGACAGGATCAAAGGTGGCAAGCTTGCCGATAAGACCTGCGAGTTCGCGAACAACCACACCAACAACAGAGACGACAGCACGCAAACGGCCAGCAAGTGCACTCAGTCCTTCGCCAGCGAAGCCTTCGAATTCATCATCGACGGCGTCTTCCCAGCAAGCGCCGTCAGCCGGCTCTGACCTCGAGCAATGGGCTTGCGAAATATGTACTTGCATCAACCCTGTGCAGTTCCTCGCATGTGATGCCTGCGGCGTCGAGAGGTCATCATCACTGATTGCGACCGACAGTTCAAAGACCAGAGGAACACCATCCCGAGACAATTCGAGCATACTACGTAAGCCGGTGCCTTCTCGAAATCTCAAGGTCAAGCCTCGGTCTACCATGACTGCAGAGGAGCGATTTCCAGTCAAAGTCCCTGCTTCGCTAGGGTGGAACTGTAGCGTGTGTGGAACATTCATGGAAACACAATGGTGGATGTGTTCGGTTTGTGGGTTCGTGAAGCCCACTTCTTGAGATTCCCGGATTCCCGCGACTAGCAATGGCCCTGTTCAAGCCCTTCGGAAGCGTTGCAGTCTCTTCCGAAGGCGTGGTGGTGTTCGTAGTAGTCGATGAGCATCAACCTACTTTCCAGCAAAATAGACACAATGTAGATAGTAGATCCTCCATTCCAGCATGTCTGGCAGACTTTTAACAGAAGTTGCTCCTCATCCTGCTGATGCAGCGGCAGGGCCACTACTAGTCGCCGCAGGTCCAGCAGTTCCATTTGCAACTCTCGCCGCATGTGCCAGTTTCTTTTGCTGTCTTTTACTCATCGGCTGCTCCCCACTCTCACTCGATGGCACCTCGCCCTCAGCCTTTCTCTTCTGTCCCTGTTGCTGATTCTCATCCTTCTTTTGCTGCCCACCCTGCTTCCACTTCTGTTTTCCCTTCCCAGCAGCAGCACCTGCAGCTTCCTTGGCATCCTTCCCAAACGCAACCGCCGGTTTTTCCCCTCCATAAATCACATCCACAGCCCCTCTATACCCCGTCCTCTTCAATTTCCCTCTGACAACAATCCCCCTCGGCTCTTTACTCATCGCTTCAAACCCCTTCTCCTGTCCCAGTCCCCACACCGCCGCCAAATTAATCACATCCCACGGCCCCCTCAACCCAGCAGCAGCACTCGCCACCATCCTCCCACCACCACCACCACCACCACCACCACCACCCTCCCCACCCGAACTCATCAACAAACCTCTCCCTTTCGTCGCCCGAATCAACTGCGTCGCATTACTAATCAAATTCACCCGACACTTCGCATCTCCCATCAAACCCGTCGAATAACAAATCTCCAACCTCTTCCCCGCCCCAATCGCCACCTGCAACATTTTCTGATGTTTAAAAAAATAAAAAGGAAATCTCTGAGTTAAATCAAATGTGATAATGTCACATTCGAGATTCCCGCATGCTTGCGTTAGAGATTTTTCGTCGGTGACTTTGAGCGCGAGGAGGTCGTAGGCGGAGGCTAGAGAGGCGAGTTTGGCGTTTTGGTGGGAGATTTCCGTGAGGACGAGGGTTATGCGGCGGAGGATGGTGCAGTTGTTGTTTTTGAAAATGGGGTCGAGGGTTGCGCGGTGGGTGGATTGGAGGGATTCTTGGGTTGGGATGGGATTGGTGAGGTCGGTGGGGATTTTGCCGGATATGGTGTGGTTGAGAGCTATGGTATTGTAGCCGAGTTCGTGGAGAAAGGCGAGGGTTTGTGGGAGATCAGGGTCGGAGGGTTTCCAGGGGATGTTTAGGTCGTAGAACATTTTGGCTGGTGATGATGCTGCTGGTGCTGGTGCTGCTGCTGTGTGAGAGGAGTCCAGTGCATGACTTTTTGCATGTGAAAGAGATGTTGCAGATGCGAATGGAAGTGGAGCTCGGAAGATAGTTCGGCCGCCCAAGGGGATGATCGGCAGATGGGAGGAACAGCTCCGATTGGATCCAGGAGGTAGCCCTCATCGTCTTTCATAACTTGAACATGGCCGCCACTCGCGCGTCGATATTGAGTCCCAAGTATGAGCAAGAAGCTGATTTCAGCAACATGAAGTTGAGGTGATTACCTGATACAGGACTCTATCTATACAGCCATGCAACAGTGACACTAAGAGCTCAGCTACAACACCAACATCCCTCACCTCTTCGCTTTCTTATTCTTCTTCCCTTCTTTCGGTGCACTCTTTTCGGCCTCTGCTTGCGCCTCCTTGAGCGCCTCGCCAGCTTTTCTCTTCCTGTCCTCTCCCTTTTTACTACTCTTCACAGCAACAGTACTAATACTCTTCCCCTTTTTCGTTGCCTCCTTGACCAATTTCTCCGCGTCAGCCCATCCCGCTTCTCCCTCCTGTATAGCATATCTCTCCAATGGCAACGAGTCGATTAATCGTTTATTCCTCTGCCTCTCCTCCTCATCAAACTCTTCCGCGCCCTCTGCTAAATCATCTGCAAGACTTTTACGGACTGCCGCAGCGTCAATTTCGCGATCCGCAGTTTCGTCGTCCGGCGCAGCGTGTGCGCCTCCGTTTGTGGCGGCGGGCATGGAGGCTTCAATCGCACCCGACTGGATCTTTTCAAAGTGCGTGCTGATTTTCCGCATCACTTTGATGAACATTGCCAATAATTGGGACACGGTCAAGTTGAGCTCTTTTTCCATGTCTTCGAGCATCTTTCGCTGCAGGCCAATGGCACATAGGAGAGCTTTCTGGACGCCTGATAGAATCACTCCGTTGTCGTCCTTGATACGACCGGTGAAGTACAGTGATGCAATGGTGGGCATGAGATCCAGAATGACGTGGTAATCGAGCATGTTGTCTGCATAGGATTTTAGGCGTTTGATGTCGTAGGGGGAGAGAAGATTGTCCAGATCGGATTTTGAGAGTGGCTGAGCTTTTTGAGAGTCGGAGAGAAGTTTGATGCCCTTGTTGGAGCTGTCGTCGATGGAGAGCATGAGGATGGTCGAGAAGGTGCGGAACTGGTAGGAAGCCAGGTTCATGATGCGTCGGTGGAAGTCTTGAGCGTAGGCGCCGAGCCAGCTTGGGTCTGTGGAGTCCCGGTTGGTGGGCTTGAGCATGACCATGGTGTGCTCGCCCGTAAGGTCATTCGCCGTTTGCCTCAGGTAGACTGGGACATATCCTCCCTTGTACCAAAACTTGTGAAGTGGTTGAGTCAATCCATAGGACACACCGGTGTAGTCCAGAGCAGGAGGTCTTCGTTGATGCAGGCGCGCAAATAGAGGAGGCATAGACTTGATGTCTCGCACTTTGATGGTCTCGGTTTGTAGAGAGCCCTCGGCCAGCTCTTCGTCTGTCACCCGCCTCGCTTGTTCTTCATTCATAGCTAGTACATCATCGGATTCGGACAAGTTGATGTGCTTGCCCTCGTAGAACTCATTGAGCAGCTGAAGTGCACGTGAGCCATAGCCCATACTCCCATAATCCGGATTTGTAGCTATTCGAACGATTCGTGCTCCGCTCAGACCAGCAAACTCGGAATCTTGGAATTGCTGGCTGACCAGCCACGGTATGAGATCGCCACCAGCTCTTTGACCTCGCGACAGACTATTGAGCACACTTTCTCGGCTGATCTGTCCCTCAAGCGCTACTTGTACAACGCAAAGGATTTCAGGCAGCTTATTCGCATCATCTGCAGTCGGCGCTACTAGTACGAACAGCTGATGCGCCGGCGCATCAGACATGAGTTGCAAATCGTTCGGAGAGTTCTTGTAGTGCGACGCGACATACAATGCCATCATCTGTTGCAGGAACCTTTCTGTGATTGGATGGAAGGAAAACAGTGTGTCTCGATTGACCTGCAACAGCTCGCACTGTGATGGGTGAGGTGTGCCGTGTATCTTCGACTTTCGCGATAGTGTCGCATCAAGACAGAGAAGCGAGTTCATCCATTTCTCCACAGCGTCCCCACTGGCATATCGAATGGGCTCATGCAGCTCGATTTCTCGCAAAGATCGTGCTGTTCGGCGAGAAGAAGCCTCCTCCTTCTTATTGCCATCCCTGTTGGCAATCTTCGTGTCACCGTTCTGCAAGCCGATGTTGCGCGACTGATCGCGCAATTGTTGAATGAGCTTGAGGGAGAGAGATCGTCCTGTGCCTTCGTATCCATTGATCGTGGAAGCCATAAATACTAGGTATGGTCCGAGCAGTTTCCGCACAAGGGGCAGAGGAATCGCAGCAGCTTCATCGATGACCAACAACTCAGCTTGACCGAGCGTGTAAGAGTCCTCGGGCCGGATGTATTGTATGGTCTGTCGGCTCATCGTCTGGCTGACATCTCGGTGTACGTTGACTCTGACAATGGCCTTATTGAAGTCGGGATTCGTCGATTGCACAATATCGTAGTCGGTGTGGTCCAGGTATCCTAGCTCATCGAAGCCTTTGAAGATGAACTCGAACAACGTCTTTAAGTTTTCAGGCGAAGGAGATGTGATGAAGATGTTGCTGTACCCGCACGCCACAGCCGCCGCAATCGCCATACCCAGCGCTGCCGACTTTCCTCGACCTCTGCCTGCCGTCAGAGTGACTGTGCTCGCCAATGTTTTCTCCATGATGGCCTCGACGAATGTCATGAGTGCCTTCGCTTGGTCTACAGTCTTTGCCAGCTTGACCAGATCGCCCACCGGCTTCTCTCCTTCCAGACTCTCCTTGATCTCTGCCAGGTCCTCTTTCGCTTTTTGACTTTCCGTGGTCACTTCTCCACTCTTGAGCTCGACCACTCCTCTTGCACCAGAGACACTGCTGAGGACGTTCATCTCATCATCGATGACCAAGGCACCCCCACAGCTTCCCAAGCTCATCAGGAACCTCTCATTGAACCTTGCGACCACATCCCCATGCGCCTCTGTGCGATACCTCGCATGGACATCCATATTCATCGTGTATAGCTGCTTTAGACTCTTGACATTCTTCAACAACAGCAACACCATGCCTCCTCCCTCCACAGTCTCCATAGTCCTTGCTAATAGATTCGGCGTCAAACCCTCAAAGTCCTGCAGCACACACATTCCAAACGTCTGTCCCAGGATCTTCTCCGTCTCTTTGTAGTAGACATATCGGACATCTCTCGTACTGACAAACAGCTCAAAGGGATCTTGCTCATCTACGTCCCGTTGTCCGCGCTTGATTTCGGCCTTGATCTTCTTTTCGCGCTTCTTGCGATGACTACTGAAGCCCAGCAGTTCCTTTTTATACGCCCATAGCACGGACTTGTTGAGTTTGATGTCGAGATTGAGTAGGATGTGGTAGAGGTTGACGATGACATCTTTGGCATGGTCGCCGATGATGATGAAGAGGGAGCGGTGGCGGAGGAGTTGTGAGTTGCGGATGAGCGCTGGGATGCGCGCGTCGATGGCCTTTTTGGGCATGATGGGCGATGTTATTGCATGACCATCCGTAGTGTTCGAGGCGGAGGTTGGGGTTACGGATGGTGGGATAGCACAGTCCAGATGGGAATTGTGCTGCGTCTCACATGAAAATTCGATTTCACGCTCCGGGAACAAAACTCTCTGCGATAGAGTTTGATTTAAGCTCCGGGGTTCCACGTGGGCCTGCAGGGATTATCTCATGCCGTATCGGATAATTGAGCTCTCATCATGCCTTATCGGCAGCTTGTAGAGAGGGGACGGGACTCACGGGAGGGAGGAGGCATGTGGTAGCCGTCAATCTAGCGCCGTTGGACGGAACCAAGTCTCTTCTCTTCCCTTCCCTGGCACAACGCGGCCACGACACCCAGCGACACGCGCGACGGCAGAATCATCCAGCATCACAGTCCGAGCAGAGACAAGAGAAGGCATACCTGAACAGAGTGGGAGTGGCCGCATCGCAGTTCCGGCACCACGGGCTCTTCTGTAGCACCAACCGGGATCGCGCTGCTCACTATGGCTGCTTCCGATGCATGAGACAAGACGAGACGGGACGAGAGGGGACGAGCTGAGACGAGGCGCAGCGCCTGAGGGAAGAGATGGAACGTGCCGCACACACTACCAAATGGCTCTCCGTCAGCGGCCTGCTCGTCGGTACCATCGTCCTGACACGCGCCATCCCGACGAGCTTCGCTTTCGATAGACCTGTCCACTCGTCCACCGCCATCCTCGCCGGCGCAGGCAGCGTAGTATTCGCACTGAGCAGACTGCTTCCCAAAGATGCTGAAGAGCGAGTGCGCAAGGCCCGAGGGTCGTTGTATGAGCGACTGCCTCTGACTGAAGTGGGAAGGCCCCACGCCAGTCGGGAGCCCAGTCCAATGCCAGAAGATGTCACACATGCAAGCAGCCAGCGCAAGCTGCGGATACTGTTCCTCGCCCTGGTGACGCTGATCTGTCTCAGAGTGGAGGTGTTGAGGCAGGTGGTAGATAACGTGCAGTGTGCCACGAAGCACTGGAACTATTGGATACCTCTCGTGTTCGCCGCTTGGGAGTTCTGGACTACAACGGCACCCAGGCGAAGCGGACTGGTCGTCGAGGACGAAGACCCAGACGAGATAACGTGGCTTGACAAGGTTGTGGTATTGCCGTACGCTCAGGTCGTGGCCACTCTCGCCGTAGCTGTCGGGGGATGGCTAGCACTTGATGCTGTGAGCAGTCCAACATCTACGTACATATGCGCCGTTTCGTTCCGATACTGGGCGAAGATCCCCTGGATACAGAGATTGGCTTCTCTAATAGACGTGGGCATAGTTTTCACGTTGGACCAGCTACTTACTTCCAAACAGGCAAAGAAGCTGCTAAGCATAGCCAATCGTTTCGCGCTTGTCGGCGCTGCACTACTGGTAAGTTGTTGTTGCGTGCGTACCTAGTATCAAGTCCAAGTATTGACCGAACACTAGATCGCTGCTGGCTTCTGGCTGGTAGTTGGTGGCGTGTACTGGTACGTACAGGAAACTGGCCGGAAGTGGCTCGCCACCATACCACAAGTCTACTTCTGGAGTGTGGTAAGGCTTAATGTATACATCGTACTCACCCTGGTCTGCGCTCTACTCGCCGTCAGTCCTACCACTCTGCCAAAGCTGCGCCACTCGCTGACAACGACTAGGTGCATCATATTGGCATCCTCTCTGCCTCTTTGATAGCAACCTTCACCAGCGTCCTCACAACAGCAACTGCTACTGCATGGAATAATGCTCATCCTTTCCCGCCAATGCGAATCGGCTCCGCTTTCGTCGGCATCCTTCTGCTACTCATCGGCATCTGGTTTCACTTCAGAGTAGCATCCTCGATTCAACATAGCCACGCGGCCCACGCCATCTCCGCCGAGCGCCTGCTTCATAGAGTTCCGACTTGGATGCATGTTGTCCTTTCGGCCTTCATGTTCCTCTGGCTAGGACTTTGGCTATCCTACCATAAGGAGGTTTCCTTTCATCCCATTGATATGCTCATGTACGAAGCGGAAGCTCGGCACGAAGCTTTTGTTGCACAAGCGGCCTCTAGTAAGTCTCTAGCAGAAGCTGTCCAGGAGTATCGCGCACGATACAGACGGCATCCGCCTCCCGGCTTCGATGACTGGTACAATTTTGCCACGAGTCGCAACTCGTCTGTCATCGATGATTTCGATAATGTATACCGGGATTTATTGCCCTTTCATACGCTCACTCCTGCTGAACTACGCGAGCGTACGTGGACGCTCATCTCGAATCCTTGGAACGATGTAGTGGGGATTTCCATACGCGACGGTCAAGCAGCGATCTCGCCAAATGTTGTGCCCACCCATATGTGGATGCTGGAGGGCATCGTTGGGATGATCAGCAAGTTTGCGGACAAGCTACCTGACATGGATCTTGCTTTCAATCTGAATGACGAGTGCCGGGTGTCAGTCCCGTACGAAGTCATCGAGCCCATGCGTAGAGCTGGTCGACAGGCCCACATGCCAGATCAAGCCAACAGATCGTGGTCACCTAGCCGAAGCAATCAGTGGAAGCCTATCCCTGAGCAGCCACTGGTGCTTACTCCACTGGCAGAAGCCTCGTGGGAGCCCATATTCCATCGGTTCGGCAACCAGGGCTGCCTACCGAGCTCCGCTGCCCGCACACAACGAAGATGGGACAGGTCCTCGTACTGCAGATCTTGCGCTCACCCCCACTCCATGGGTGCCTTTATCGCCAATTGGACGATAGCAGGCGACATCTGTCATCAACCCGATCTTGCAGACTTGCACGGCTTCTACCTCTCACCAGCTGCCTTCAAGGCGAGCACTTACCTCTTCCCTATCTTTTCCCAGAGCAGAGCCGGCGGCTTCAACGACATCCTCTATCCCAGCGCGTGGAACTACCTCGATAAGGCCAGATACGATCCCAATCCAGATCATCCAGACCCTTCCTTCGCCGAGAAGAAGTCCGTCCTGTTCTGGCGTGGCGCCACATCCGAGGGTTTCTCCCACGAAGGCAACACAGGCCAATGGCGAGGCATGACCCGACAACGCTTCGTCCATCTTGCAAATAACATCAACTCTACAACGCCGCATGAACACCTTCTGATTAAATCGCCAGCAAACCCCGACAAGCTAACATACCAGAATTTCGCCATCAGTCAATTGTCGTCCGTCCTCGTGACCGATGTCCACTTTGTCGAATCTATCGTTCGCTGCGGCGGCCGCGATTGCGGCGACCAAGATCATGAGTTCTCCCCTCTATTTACACCACTAGACTTTCAGTCGCACTGGCAATACAAATACCTTCTCGATCTCGACGGCGCCGGCTTCTCGGGTCGATTCCTCCCTTTTCTGAAATCAAACTCCTTACCTTTCAAGGCAGCTCTGTTTCGCGAGTGGTGGGATGACCGTGTTCAAGCTTGGATTCATTTCGTCCCGCTTGACCTACGCGGTCAGGGGCTGTGGGCCACGCTGGCCTATTTCCAAGGACTATCCGCCAAATTCCCTGGAATGAAGCAGGACGTTGTTGTGGACGCGCATCAGAGAGAAGCTGAGAGAATTGCCAGACAGGGGAGGGAATGGGCTGATCAAGTGTTGAGGAAAGAGGATATGGAGATCTACATGTTTCGATTGCTGTTGGAATGGGGTAGATTGACTGATGATGGTAGGGAGGAGCTGGGATTCACACTGAGCGGATAATGAATGGCACATGCTGAGCTGGATGATACATGACGATTAAACACGAGTTGCATGTGAAACAGGCAAAGAGTGCTGAGCTGCTGGAGGCCGCGAGTCCCATCGCGCGTGAGGATACAACCAACATGTGCACTCCGCCGCCGCTTTGCCGCCAAGGCCTTGGGACTCGGGACAACCTCGACATTGGAAATGACATTACGGAGTCTCGGGGAGGCGATCGAGGGCGCCGCGGACTTATGCAACGAAGATGACGAAAGTGACTAACCACTGTCAACGAGAAGCACATGAACGGATGGGTCTTCACGCTTCTGAGATTTCGATCCGTCTATCGATTCGTCATCGGACTCCATTGACCTTAGAATGTCCATCCGCTGCCCGCTTCAGCAGGCCCTTTTCGAACCATATGGCGTCAAGAAGATCTCTTCTTGCCTTTTCGGCTTTCCAAAAAGAGCTCAGAGGCAACGGGCTACGAGAAAAGTCCGAAGCCTGGGGGTTCTGGAAAATACCATCTCCGGATTCACGACTTATGGAATGAATGCTTGCTTCTCTAGCAATGCACCGGCGAGTTTCTGGAATACGGCCGCAGACTCTATACGCCTAGCATTTCTGCAAGCGACGTACGATGGTCACAAAAGAGCCTGTCCTCCGGTCGTCGGCTCTTACCGGCGGGTTCCGATATGTTACCTGCAGTCTGCAGAGGCTGCTAGCTCTGCAATGCTCGAACTACAGTAGCTGAAGCAGCTAGGCTAGGCTGATCACTTTGGTTTTGGGGGGAGAGGGAGCGGGGACCCTCGTTCTCACAGAACACAAGGCCACTCGACCGTCTTCTCATTCGTGCAGGAGAAACGGCCCTTCTGCTGATGAGAATCGAGTCCGGGATTTTTTCTTTTCCTAGGTGTGTGTCGCTATACCGCAAAGAAGCTACCGTAAACTTAAGTCACTCTTGCAGTATCCGTCGTAGCAAGGGCCTCGTATTTCCACGGCCTTACTTTCCTACAACATCATTGGTGGTCGTGGTCGGGGTCGTGGTCGTGGTCGTGGTCGGGGTCGTGGTAGCGGCTTCGGGGAAGTCTACCTACGCATGCATCATTCGAGTTACGCACGCAATAGCAAGGCTACCTAGGTTATGTACTCATCATCAGACGATCCCATCAGCTATCGTACTGTACGTAGTCAGTAGATCAATGCATGCAAAGCAAATCTGACTACCTACCTACCTAGCCCCTCTCTCCTGATGAAAGTCTCTTCTGACTTTGACCCTTTTACATCGCTCTGTAGTACGAGGTAGTACCTCCTAGTAGTAGTAGTAGTAGTAGTAGTTGTAGTTGTAGTGGGTGGCAACTACCTACCTACCCAGCAAGCAAGCAAGTACCTTACCTACCCCCTCCTAGTACACCTATGTATGTAATACGTACCTGGGTAGGGTAGGGTAGGGTAATGGACCAGATGACTAAAAAGAATCACAAGCACAATACGGACGTAATGAGTTCCCTCTCCTTCCCATGTATTTGCAGCTGGGGAGTTCGTATCCCTTGATGAGAGAGAGGGGGGAAAGGGCGTAGAGGAGCTACTGTAGCTAGATATATAGCACTGTTCTCGATGGATGTAGTGTATGTATGAACGTGCAAGACTATATACAAGAAGACTTATGCGCCCTGTACGTACCTATGCTTGTACGTGTGCCTGCCTGTCTGCCTGTCTGCCTGTCTGTCTGCCTGCCTGCCTGTACTGCACTGCACTGCACTGTATGCATGTATACGTGATGAGCAAGTATGTAATCGAAACAGTCAAGTACAATGTAAGATCACCTAGGTAGTAAGAAGGTAAAGTAAGGTAGTATCTTCTCATCAGGTCATGTGTGCAAATATATGCATACCTTAGGTCAGGTAGGGGGTAAGGTTCCTTATAGGGGGTCCTAGTAAATCATATGCTGATCGATTTTCTTTTTTCTTTTTTCTTTTTTATTTTCTTCTTTTCAATTAAAGATGTTTGATTTACCTACCTACCTACCTACCTACCTAGTAGTTCGGAGGCCTAGGAGGTATTGTAACAGTAGTATATTACTGTCAACTATGCCCCGCGCGGCGCGCCTAGTCAAAAAAACAATCCTATTTTGAAGAATCATGTTTCTCGCGTATGGAATTCGGCCTTTTTTTTCGAAAAAAAAAAACAAACTTCCATCATCCGATATATCGGATAGTCGGATAGTATGTTTTTCTTGTTTTCTTGTAGTTCCATTTTCGGAGTTTGGAAAAGCCAAGGAGCGAAGGGGAGGAAGGGAAGATGTGCCTAAAATGCCTTCATCCTCAGGCTGATCAGGGGAGGTGTCCCAGGCCAGGGCCCCCTGTAGCTCCTAGGACAGGAGATTTTAGCCGTCTAGCCGAGGAGATGTGCCCACTGCCCTGCACTCACAGTCGTCCCCTGCCTTGCCAACCTTGCTAACCTTGCCCTTCAGATCATCATGTTTCACTCGGAAGAGAGGTAGGGTCTCTTCTTACATCACAGTCATCAACTCATCATCATCATCATCATCATCATCATCATCATCATCATCAGCCCTTTGTGTGAAGTACAAACTACAATATCGATAATCCTAGTCGCCGGCCTTGTAGATACATACAACACATCCATACATCCATACATCTATACCTGACATACATATATCCATACCTACATTAGCGGGGGGCCGGGTATCTTGAGACTGTGTTTATTGTGTGTTAACACACTGTCTTACAGTTGTTGTTAGTAGTAGTGAATCCGCGGATTATAATAACTCTTATATAACGAGGTTTACGTAAACTGTACTTATTACATATAATTTTCGGTACATACTAGGAAACAAGTATGATTTTTGACGCTTACGTAGTAGCTAAGAAACTCGTAGAATTTAGTATAGCGTACCTATACAAACAAACGAAAGGTCATTTCGATATATATAGTATATCTAGTCCGATTGTATAAGAGTAGAGTATATATAGTAATGTATAGAGCGTCCTTCCTACCGCGTAGGAAAAGAAACAAACTAATTCTTGTCCTTCGGAAAGGAGAGAGCGGCGTCGTATAATATACCTCTACGCTAAGTATATATAGGCGCTACGTCGCGTAGGTAGTTGCCCGATAGCCGATCGCCCGACGACTCGGATTGTACTACTTCTATAGCCTGTCCTACCTTAGGCTAACGTACCTTAGGCTTAAATACCTAACCGCCCCCTAGGGCTATATACCTCTAGGCCTAGCTATTACAATTATCTCCTCTCTCTAATAGAGCTGTCCCTAGCGATACATTCTACGTATCGTATACGGAATATATATAGAGCGTATACGGAGATACTCGTATTCTATATAGAGGCTAGTCGTTATACTAGGAATCCTAGTAGTTACCCTAGGGCATTCTATATAGTAGAATATAAGGAAGTTAATAGAACGTAGAATATAATAGAAGAAAGCCTGCCTAGTAATAGGTAGTAGTAACGAGTAGTATATTTCGTCCTCTATACTACGTCTTTTCTTCGTTCCTTAGTTCTTCCCTAAACTATTTTTTTAGGAAAAACTCTAAGCTCTTCGTACTATCCTCGTAACCTATATATACAAGATATACCTCCGAAGCGCGTAATAGCCGTAAAGGCGCCTAAGAAGCCCGTCCTAGAGCGCGATCCGCGTCGCGGTCGCGCTGTAGCTAGAGTGTATAATATTTGCCTCCGCTATATAGAGTATATATTTAAGGGTACGTCGAGACCTACGCGTTGCGTACGCCTTACCTACGTTTCTTCGCTAACCTGATCTAATAGTAGTAGACGCGAACGGCGTCGCCGAGCGCGCCTATAACGGCGTAATAGCTCCTAGCCGTAAGAAGAAGTACTAGAGGTACGCGAAAGGGCACTATACGTACGAACGTATAGTAGACCTAGACCTGCTTCGGCAGGCGCGCTACCTACGCGTCCTACGCGCGGCGCTTCGTTCTTATATAGCTAGTATATACTCGGTATAGGTAATACGGCGCTTGTAGTAGCTAGAGGGTAAGATTCTAGAGAGCAAGAAGGTACTTGCCTCTAATAAGGGCAAGGCCGTCGGCGTCTACGAGACGCCGAAGAAGGGTAGTAGTAGTAGTATAGCTAGCGCGCCGGCGTCGAGCGCCCTAGCCGCAGCCGACTACCTAGAGATAGCGAAAGCTATCTCTACCCTTTAGGGCATTTTTAAGCTATAGTACAAGGTAAGTTCTATCGCTTCGTACCCTACTCGTAGGCGTCGCTAACGTCTATCGTAGATAGCTCGCTTAGCCGGCGCTGCCGGTACTGCCTTAGATAGCGTAGTAGCGACTATATATCCCGATTATAGCAGCTAGGAGCCGTATCTATCGGACGGCGAGGAGGAGATAAGCCTACCTAGCGATAGTAACGACGACAACGACGACGACGACGCCGGTAACGGTACCGGTAACGGTACCGGTAACGGTACCGGTCCTACCGTTCCTCCTATTAGTCCTGCTCCTACTACTCCCTCTTCTAGTACTACTAGTACCGGTAGTGCTATAGGTACCTAGCCCTCTTATCGCGTTCGGTTGGCCTACGTTTCTAGTACGCTACGCGTAGGTTTTAGTGTTTTTGTTTTTATATATAGTGTTCCTAGCTTAGCCGGTCAAAAGTAAATTGATTCTTAATCTCTCTACCTACGTCTCGCTCGTACTATACTACTACGTTTCCGCTACGCTTCGAACTCGTCGAGGGCGGCGTACTTACTAATATACTCTTTAGGTTCCTATTAATCAAATTCCTCGGACTAGCTATACTAGCGTACTAAGTACTATCGGATACCCTTCCTTAGGCGCGTATCTAAGATCTTTTCTACCTTATAGAGTTCTTCTTTATTAGCAAGTAGGAGGGTTCCCTCCTACGCGTTACCTATACGGCCCTTATAGGGCTCGAGATATAAGACGTAGAAGACGTTATAGATCTACGATCCTGCTAGTAGGGCTAGGCGGTACGCCTGCTTCCCTACGATGTCGATTACCTTAAATAGCCCTACGAACTTATCTACAAACTTTTTCGTAGATACCTTTAATCTTAGGTTCTTAGTAGACAGTAGTACTATATCCCCTACCTTAAACCCTATTGTAGTATACTTCGCGTTAAAGTACTTCGCCTACGCTTTACTAGCGCGTTGCTAGCGCTTACTTAGGGTTTCGTAGTTCCGTTTCAGTCTCTCTATAGCGTCTACTACGGCCGGTACCTCCCTCTCCGCGAGCTCGCCCCGAGCGTTATACGTACTTATCGCTAGCTCCGGGTTGAAACTATATAGTACCTTAAATAGTAACATCTTCAGGATAGCGTAATCGCTGTTATTATACGCGAATTCCGCTTGTATAAGCATACTAGCCCAATCGTCCTACTACTCTAAGTAGTAGATACGTAGGTACGTCTCGATTACCTAGTTTATCCGTTCGGTTTGACTATCGGTTTGCGCGTAGAACGCTATACTAAGCCTACGTTTTACCTACGCCTTATAGTAGAAGTCTAACTAGAACTAGCTCGTAAATACCGAGCCTCTATCGCTTACGATACCTATAGGTATACCGAACCGTCGTACGATTTCGTTTACTAGGATGTCTACTAGGTCTACGCTAGTATATTTCTTTGTAGTTAGTACGAAGGTTACTATTTTAGTATACCTGTCGACGATTACGAGGATCGTATTATAGACGCGGTCGCCGCGCTTGCTTAGCGGCAGGTCTATAATAAAGTCCTAGGTCAATTCTTAGAACGGCCTTTCTAGTATTAGTAGCGTAGCTAGTTCGCCGTATAGATAGTAGCGTCGCGCTTTCGACTTTTGATAGGCGTTATAGGTAGCGACGTATTCTGCTACCTCGGTAGCTATTCCCGGCTATAAGTACTTTCTCCGGATTAAGGCCGTTGTCTTGTCCTTTCCGAAGTACCCTACTAACGGGTCGTCGTAGTGTATACGTATTAGCTACGCCCTAAGTGCGTAGTCCTTAGGTATATACAGCGCGTCGCCGACCTATAGGTTACCTTCTTAGGCGACGTATTCCTTAAATACGCCCTAGTTGCTTATCGCCTGCTCGTATACTATACGTACATTAGGCTCTATCTAGACGAGTATATAGGTATATATTAGAATTAAGTCGGAGACGTTTGCGTATAGCTATTCGTCCTTAGATACAACTTAGGCAATACGGATAGGCGACGTATAGTACTACTATAGGTTAGCGTTAGTACCTCTCTTAACGCTACGGTATAAACGATCGCCGGTAATATAGATATATAATACCTTCGGGCTATCTGCTTCTAATATACGTCCGTCCTATAACTACAGCTTGGTTTGTAGGATAGGGAGGAGGTTAGTTACCTTACGCGACTTACGTATATAATCGCTACGTCGCGACGGACCGTCGGCTAGGTTTCGCTTGCCTACCTAGTAGGTAATAGTAAAATCGAAAGCCGCTAGGAATATCGCCTAACGGGCCTATCGACCTGTAAGTTTCTTTACGCCTATAAAGCCTCTTAAATTAGCGTAGTCGACAAGTACCTTAACTGTATACTAGGCGCCTTCGCAGTATAGCCGCTAAGCTTTAAATAATTCGACTACTACTAATAATTCCGAGTTGTATATCTTATAATTATATTCTATAGGGATTATCTTATAGGAGTAGAAAGCGATAGGGTACTATTTAGAGCCGAAGAGTTGGCTTAGGATACCTACGATAGCAAACGCCGAGGCGTTGCTTTCGATACGTAGCCGTAACGCCGGGTCAAAATGCCTTAATAGAGGTGCTTACTAGAAACGCTGCTTAATCTCTTGAAATATATACTCTTCGGCTACGCCCTACTAGATCGGTCCTAGCTTCCTACCTTTTACGGCTCCCTTTAATAGTACCGTTAAGGGTACTACGATCCTCGAGTACTCGAAGATAAATCTACGATAAAAATTCGCAAATCCTAGAAAGGACTATACCTCCGTTAAGGTAGTTAGTATTAGCTACGCTCCGATTACGTCTATCCTACGAAGGTCTATCTTTATACCGCCGGGGGTTATAACGAACCCGAGGTAATCGACCTCCTTTATAAAGAATTTGTACTTTGTATATTGTACGTAGAGTACGAATTTGTAGAGCCTCTTAAGCACTTCGCGTACGTTCTTTATATACTGCTCGTATATCTTGCTATAGATAAGGATATCGTCGAGGTATACTATATAGGTAATATCAACTAGTCCTACTAGAGCTCGGTTAATATACGCCTAGAACGTCGCCGGGGCGTTAGTTAGACCGAAAGGCATAACCTTATACTAGAAGTAACTATAACGCGTACAGAACGTAGTCTTCTAGCGGTCGCTTTCCTTAATCTTAATACGGTAGTAGGTATCGGCTAAGTCTAGGTACGTAAACTATTCGGCTCCTATAAGCCTATCTAGCGTTTCGCCTATAAGGGGCAGGGGGTACCGGTTTTTTACCGTAATTTCGTTTAGGCCGCGATAGTCTACGTATAGTCGTAGTAAACTATCCTTCTTTAGTACGAATAGCACCGGCGCGCCTACTTTACTTATACTAGTCTCAATCTAGTCGTATTCTAGTACGTTGGTAATATATTTATATAGGTACTTAAGTTTAGCGCCGGACTAGTAGTACAACGGTCGAAACGGTAGAACGGTGCCTAGCCGTAGGTCGATCGTATACTCTACGCCGTCTACTAGTTTGCTACGCTATTCGTCTATAGGAAACAAGACGTCGTAGTAGTCCCGATATTCTATTAGCAACTCCGTAAGCTCTAACCCTACGTCTGTCCTACGTACTATTACTACGTATACGTAGGACGAGTTCTTTAGGTCCTTAAAGAAATCCGGTACCTCTCGGACCTTAACGTATAAGTACTCGCTACTATAGCGCTATTCGTCGGTAGTACTGTCTACTACTACTTACTAGGTACGGCGCTACGGCCGCCCTAGGATAAGATTAGGTTCTAGCGTATCGTAGGTATAAAACAAGCCGCCTGTCGTATACTCGTTACCCGCGGAGTCTACGAGGGTTATACGGATATAGTACGCTCCGTAGTAGTAGCCTAACTGGCCTATAAACGAGCTCGCTAGTAGTAGGAGTACGTTCCTATAGACCGCGAGGTTATACTTTAGTACGAAGCTGCGTAATACTACGTTAATATTAGCGGTATCGTCGAGTAGTATAGTAGTAGGGGTACGCCCCTTATACGTCTCGACTTGTCCTTCGAGGATACGAGCATAGTATACCTAGATAGGTAAAGGTATATCGCCGTCAAGATTAGTATCTAGAGATTACGACTCTCCTCTAATACCTTCTCTTTTTTCGACGCTTACTCTTTAGGTACGGTAACCCTACGAACCGTATTCGCCTTATCGCGGCTTACGTAGTTAGGGTATATAGAGTCGGTCGCGATATATCCCTTCTTCTTATAGGAGTAACACTCTAGGTTCTTATACCCGCGTACCGTCGATAGCGTTATAGTCGATAAGGTACGCCCGTCGCGTAGGACCCTACTCTTGCTACGATCCTATCGATCGTAGTTCCGCGGTACGTCGCTCTCGGTATACTTGCGTTTGCCCTACGCGCTGTAGTTACGCCGATAGGGCTCGTCCTTAGTATAGACTACTAGAGTGTTGTCTACTTATTCTAGGCGCCTTACTAGGTTTACGAGCTCTACTCGCGTATTAGGGATAGTATATCCCTTAACGATGTCCCTATATAGCGACGGCTTTAACTTTACGAGGAAGTAGCGTATTAGCTACGCTTACGTATAGTTAAACTAGGCTTCTAGATAACTAAGCTACGCTGCGAAATAACGGACGCTCTAGTCCGGGCCTTAATATACCCTTTTATACTCGATTATTACGCTGATTTAACGGTTCGACTAATCGCCGACGGTATTACGGAGCTATCCCTTAAATTCCTCCTAAGTATAGTCCTCGGGGATTACGTCGGAATACTCGTCGTACTACGTCTTCTACGCTTCGCCTACGAGCTATATAATACTATATAGGACCTTATCTTAGTCGGTTCGATATTCTCGGAGGGCGCTAAGGAATACGACCTCGAGGTGCCTAATAAAGTTACGATATTCCTTATCGGTATCTCCTTTAAACGGCTTAGGTTCTCGAATCTTAGGGCCCCTATATAGGGAGTAGGTACGCGACGGGTTCGTAGCCCGCCTACGTACGTTACGTAGGTCCGTTAACCTAAGGTCTTCCTCGAGTCCGTCGAGAAGATCGGGCTTAGTATCGTCGTCGTCTATAGTAACTATAACGGCTAGGGTTAGTACTCGGCCCTAAATTTGCTTCTATAGATATTAGTTTTCCCTCTCGAGGGCCTGAACTTCTAACTCTATATAGAGGCGCTAATTTGCCTCCTCGAGCTGTATATGTCTAGTATACAGGTCGACTACGTAGGCCTCCGGCTAGATAGGAGCCTCCTCGAAAGGAGTCTCCTCTAGGTTCCCGTCTACCTAGGTATTTGTAGAGCCTAATACCGTCTCCTTAGAAGGTTAGGCATCCTCGTCTACTTCGCCGATAACGCGGCCCGTCTACGCTATAGCTACGGCGCAGTTGCGTTGCTGTCGTAGGGCTATCGGACCTCTATAGATTACTACCCTTTAGAAGGATAGAAGAATTAGAAATATAAGAGTAGGGTATATATAGTAATGTATAGAGCGTCCTTCCTACTACGTAGGAAAAGGAACAAACTAATTCTTATCCTTCGGAAAGGAGAGAGCGGCGTCGTATAATATACCCCTACGCTAAGTATACGTAGGCGCTACGTCGCGCGGGCGGTCGCCCGATAGCCGATCGCTCGACGACTTGGATTATACTGCTTCTGTAGCCCGTCCTGCCTTAGGCTAACGTACCTTAGGCTTAAATACCTAACCGCCCCCTAGGGCTATATGCCTCTAGGCCTAGCTGTTACAGATTGTTTTAAAGCAGCGTACGATTTGCGTAGAATATATCTACGAAACAACTGTATTATACTATAGTATATATAGTATATATAGCTTGATTGTTTTAATACGACGTATAGGCAATTGCGCCCGTAAGTCTACAAAAAAATGTAGTAAGTAGTATTATTAGTTCGATATATATCCCTACCTCCCGGAGCGAAGCGGAGGTCGGGTATAGGGCATATAGAGGGCCTATAAAACTGTAGATAGGGGCTCAAATCTAGCGAAAGCATACTTGCTAATTAGCGCGATGTTTTGTAGTAGAGTACGCTACTAATTTAGCGAGATAGGGGGAAGATCCTTAAAACATATATAGAGTATTCTCCGGATTAAAGTTATACCGACCCGAGCACTTTACTCTTTAGTTACTACTTTTTGTATACGAAGTATATATATAACCTAATACTTATTAACCCCCGACCGAAGCTATTACGAGTATACGTAGTATACGAAGTATATAAGCTAATAACCTTAGCGAGTCGCGTACGAAGTACGCGAGCTAACGGCTACCGAAACGCGTACGTAGTACGCGAACGACGACTACTCGCGTACGTAGCACGCGACCTAGCGAGCTCGTATACGTAGTATACTACGCTTACTCTCTCGATCGGCGCTCGCTCGTATACTGCGTATACTCCGCTTACTTGCTTATCGATCGTTCGCTTATATACGTAGCATACGAGCGAGCGGTACGAAGCACTACGTAGTAGCCCTCGGAGAGCCGCCGGAGGCTAAGCCCTACGTAGTAGCCTTCGGAGAGCCGCCGGAGGCAAAGGGGAGTATAGGGGGTCTCCCCCGTAAATAGTTAGAACAATATAATCGTTTAACGTTTGTAGTTTGTCAAAAGTACCTACAAAACTTATAGAAGATATTGGTATAGGGTTGTTTCCGAGCTTGAAACTTCCGGCTAATTATAGGTAAGCAAGATACAGATAGTCGTAGTATATAACATTGTCTACTATTTGTCTAGGTTTTTGCCCTCTACAAACGGGTTTTTGCCCTCCGCAAACGGGTGCTTACCCTCCGCAAACGCGTACTTACGTAATCGTAGGTATCGTAACAGCAGTTTCCGTTATATTAAGGCAAGTAAAGAAACTTAGTTTGCCTTACTCTTCTTCCTCTTCTTCCTCTTCTTCCTCTTCTTTACTACTACCTTTCCGAACAACTACTATCGATCCGAACCTCTATCGTACCGAATATAGCAACCGTTATCGGACCGCCCTCCGCTGTAGCTAGCAGTAGTAGTAACGACCCTAACCGACGTAATAAGGGCAAGGGGAAGCGTCCGGTAGACGACGATCAAGTATAACCCTATTTACCCGTCTTTAATCCCGACGAAGAATTTGATTCTGACTACGACGAAAACTATCCTAGTATAATTAAGTGTAGAGACGGTTATTAGAAGCCAAAGTCTTACTTCGTTAATCGGCGTAAGAACCGTCGTAGCTATATCGCTCGCTATTCCGACTGTCGTAGTATTCTACTAGGTATCCCCGACGAATAGTACGGTCCTACGCCTACCTCGAAGAAGACGAAGCTTACTCGTCGCTACGCAATACTACCGAGCTATTTGCCTATACTAGCTTCCTCTCTCCCTACTTCTCAGAACGATCCCCGCTTCTTAGGTCTATACTAGACGATTGCCGCTTAGTTTTAGATACGCTCCGGTATAGAACAATAAGCTACCCTATACGCTTAACCGCTAGTGCCTCTACTAACCTCTCTACTAGGTCCTACCGGATACTATCCTTCCGTTATATCGTAGACTCTTCGTAAGCGCCGACGTAATAAAGCTTAATACGCTACCTTTCTACGCTATCGGGAATTCTCTTAGCTAACCGGAGGTCGCCGGTACTTTACTTGCTATAAGTGCCGCTATCCCCGTCAACATCTATATTGTCAAAGCATAGACTTCGACGATAGCTATAGTATATACGAAGCTAGTAAATTGGATATCGACCTTTCTTTAGAGCCTAAGTAGTATATTGCGGGTAATTATAATACCTTCTGCTCTTTATTTAACCGTAGTTCTATACTGCCTAAAGATAATAAGAGCTATAACTCCTACTAGCCTGCTTATAGTAGCTAGTCGAGTCCAGCGTATCCTAGCGAGTATAACTCCTTCTTCCGGCCTAATAACTCTATAGATACTACCCTAGATAATTACTTTAAAGGCAGTAGTATTAGCGAAAGCAGACCGCGACGTACCGTCCGACCGAATCCTATTAATCGCGTCCGTACTGCTTATATCTCCCGTTTAACTACCGATTAAGGCAATATACTACTATTACTCTCTACAGATCTCGATAAACCTATACTGTCCGCTTTCGATAACAACCTACTTTTAGAGTTCAACCGTTAGTTAGATCTTAATACGATAACTACCTACGATATATATAATAAGAGGTAGTTTAAGCAAGACCTCTAGCTATTTACTCTCGACGGTACGGTATAGCCTAATACCTACAAGATCTGTCGTAGCAAACAGCGCGAGTATAGTAGAACTAAGAAGCTAGGTAATCTACCGTTAATGTCGAGGGCGAACGATATAGATCCTAGTATTATTACTTACAATTTGCTAGAGTTAACTATAGTTAAGGAGATGTTAATTGCCCGGGTTCATATTTAGACCAAGTGCTTCTAAATTCGCGGCTAGTAATAGGCATACCGAGGTTACGTCGTATCCTTTCTTAAGGATGTTATCGAATTGGCTAACAAGCTCCCTCTTCTGCCTAAAGATTTGAACATTATAGTTCTTACTCTATCTACTGCTAATAATACCGACGACGCGGATCGACAAGGTCGCCTCCTCTAATTCAACCGAGAATTCACTATCCGGAGAGATACTATCTTGTAGTAGCTACAGTACTGTAAAGCGCACTATCTAGGCTATCGTAATATTACTATTAACCGCGAACGCGTTAATAAACTCCCTAAGAATTCTAGTATTATAGACCGAGTAAGCAGTGCAGTCTATTAAGATAGGGGCGCCGGAACTAGTACTCTTAGAGATTAACGTCCGCGAACTCAACCCGATACTATACCTTCTTAGTCACTCGACGATAACGGTAGTAAAGATCTCGGATACGACAGTAGTGCCGTGCTAGCTATTAATACCGATCTAGATATAATAGCTCTTCGCAACCGCGTTGGTTCTCGTCTATTAGGCGGCTAGCAACTATAGTAGCGGCTATAGTTGGCGTATCCTAACGTAGAACGTTACCCTATCTCTGAATACCTCGATACGTAGCCTATTCTCTCTCTCGTATTCCTAATATTGTATCTATAAGGACGAGCAGAAATCAATCTACCGCGGTTACGCAAAGTTACCTACCGCGAGTACGCAGTACATCTTATAAAGTATAAAGACGGTCGTTTTGCTCGATATCTAAGGTAGCGTTATATAGTATTTAATACCGAGATGCGTATACAGACTAGAAATAGCTCTTAATTCTTTATTAAATTAAACCTATAGTATACTAATACTACTCTAGAAGACATTCGAGCCGCGTTTGACGCGCCCGATAACCCCGTAGCAAGGGCGTTATTAAATGCTATTACTCGATCTGCATCCGCTCTCCGTAGAACGCCCGCTTACTACGCTAGAATAAAGCGTAATCTTAAAGTATACTATCGATTTAATAGTTGCTCTAACTTCTTCTTTACATTTAGCGCTACTGACCTATAATAGGATTCACTTATAAAACTAATACTAAACAATATATATTATTAGTAGAAAGCCGGTAACTCTTAGGAACGTATTCGCTTATCTCGGATCAATCTTCGCAATAACCCGCAAATTGCTACAGCCTACTTTCAACGGCGATTAGATCTCTTTATCGAGTATGTTCTTAAGCCGAAGTTCTGTATTAAAGACTACTAGTACCGCTTTAAGTTCTAGGGCCGTAGTAGTATTCACGCCTATAGCTTTGCTTAGTCGCAAGCTATTAGCCCCTTCTATATAAACCGTAACGAAGACCGTAATCAATTTACTTCTATCTAGGCTCGATACTTATTCGCTATTAATTCTAAACTATAACGGACTGCAGCCGCTAATAATCGTAGCGCTATTAGCTTTAGTAGTAATATTACTAATACTCTCCGTAACTTGTCGGATATAGTTAACCGAGTACAACGATATAAATGCTCTAAGTATTGTTAGCGCCGAAAGAAAGGCTAACGGGCTAACGACTAGACAACCTTTTATCGATTCTACTTTCCCCGAGCTATCTAGGAACAGGCTAAGACGAATAAGAGGCGCAATCTAGCTTATTTTATGTTCTATACATAGAGCAACAATAGTATAATAAATTACTATAACCTATTAGTCTTACTAGCCTAGCGCGCTAATACAGATCTCTTACCCTATACTAATCTCTACGCCGCTATCGAGTATCTTAGGAAATACTGTACTAAAGTAGAGCAAGCATTATTCTTATTTAATGCTACCCTCCGGACGATCTTACCTCAAATCTCTTCTACTAATCGACCAGTTATTCAGATAGCTACTAAAGCAATAAACAAAATAGTTAGCGGTAGGGATTAGGGTACCTAAGAAGTGTATTACCTAACCCTTAGTCTTCACTTACAGAAAGGCACCCGTATTGTCGTTTCTCTCGATCTTCGACCCCTAGCTAGTCGTATAATCGCTATCTACGACGACGAAGAGGCGCTATTATAGGAAGACGTACGCCGAGGTAAGTCTATTGTTCAGAAGTATATAGAACGCAAACCAGCGTACGAGGATGTTACCCTTTTCGTTACTATTACTATATACGACACTTCCGGCCTTTATATCAAGGCCTTAATACGTAGTGCTTCTCGTATAATTAGTTACTTCCCTAAGTACAAGAACGATTCTAGTAATCCAGTTATACTTAAAAACTTTTTATAGGCTGAAATAACGCTTTATTATCTATTCCGTACGTACCCGACTTTGCTATACACTCTGTACGGTAAAGATAGTACTCCTTTTATCTTTAAGACGTTTACAGAAGTACGACGATTCTGCAACCGAGAACGCATTGCTAGCCGTAGTTACAACTACCCCCCTGATTTTATAGAAGCTCTCCGGAAACCTACGAACTACGACGAGATCGAGGCCGAAGACTTCTAAGAGCGTAAAATATCGGAAGATAAGACAGCTATACCTTAGGGAGAGCTTAGCAACGCTATTCGTACAGTTAACAACGATCCGAATACTATTAGCAACCGTAATATTAATCGGAATGTAGACTAGTCTCCTTTCGTTAGTAAATATTAGCACTTATACCCTAATATTCACAACTATCCGTTACGCGCCTACTAGAAGGAGATGATCGCTGCTAATCTAGCTTAACTTAACGTAGACACTTAGTCTACCTCTGCGAAAAATTACCTGAATAATAAGCAACGTTTGTTATATAATTAGGTATTAAACCACTATGCTCAAACACTTACTAGGCGTAGGCCTATACAGCTTCTGATTAATGTTAATAGCCGTACTAGTACTAGAAAGTTATACGTTATTACCCTTATCTCCGCGCACTTATAAAAGGCAGTACTAGAAGCTAACTAGTTCAAACCCCCTATTCTCCGACTAGCTCCTACTAGTGTTGCAGCCTATAGTATTAACGGTTAAACCCTCTATAAGTTCTTCAAACTCCCTACCGGTCGAGTCTTCGAAGAGCTACCGAGTAGTAGTCTTTAATAGCTTCGCGCCTCCCTCGACGGCATCCGTTATCTGATTATTAATAAGAAATCTATAATTAGTCTGCTTCTATTCAAGTGGATTGAACTTCGCTTATTATAAGTATTGTCTAGTCCCGAACTCTTCGGAGGTATAAACATTATTTTATACGATAACTTCTTCTAATTGGCTCCTATTCGAGCTAAGGCACTCTTTACTCTACCGTCAGATATAGAACATATACTAGAACTCGCTAGAAGACTTGCGTACTATACTTTCAAGTATACTATTAAGTTTACTTAACTCGTACGGCAGCAGGGTATTAGACAATATACCTTTCGTTCTGCTTTAGAGGGTCTACGTAATAATCAGGTTGAATTATAGTATTAGGCGCTTCTTGCTACCTATATAGCATCCGTACTCAGCCCCTACGAACGTCGCTCCTTCGACAATACTACCCGTATCTACTTTAACAATACTAATATAGCTATCTAGAATAAGATACGCCTCGTAGACTTAAACAACCCTGTTTTGTTACTTATCGCTAAGCACGACGATCAAACTATCGGTTAGCGAGCTTCTGTTAAGGAGTATAGCTAGTTAGAACTCGAAATCCAGGTTTCTATTAGGTATAAACTTATATTACTTGACAATATATAGACTGAAGCTAGCTTAGTTAATAGTACTACTAGAATCCTTTACGATATTAAGTAGGCCTTAGGTACTACAGATCCTCGAAACACTCTTCCCTATTGTTTAATTATTAAGTTCCCCGCCGCTAACTATACTAGGCCGTATCTCGACAGCCTTAATAACACCGATAAAGTTACTATACCAATCTTTCTAGCGAAGCGCAACTTCTACCGTAGTAGACAGGAACATTATCGAGAACAGTTTCCTATATACCTCGCTTTCGCTATAACTGTCTATAAAGCATAGGGTTCTACTCTTAACAAAGCTATTATAGATATTACTACTAAAGAGTTTATACCTAGATTACGATACGTTGCTATCTTACGTATTAAGACATTGCAAGGCCTTATGTTTAAGAAACCCTTCGACTATTTACTTTTTACGAACAGATTAACAGAGATCTCGCGCGCTAGAATAGCAGACATTAAACGACGCGCTAATTAGGTCTTGTTGCTAGAGACTACGAGTAGAGATACTTAAGATACTACCTTATCTCGTTATTACCGATCATCTCGGTACTTATTAGCTGAAAGCCGTATACGATTCTCTTCTATTAATTCAGTTCTGGATACAATTTACCGTACGAATAACAATAAAGTAGCCGTAGGGCTCGACTAATCTACTTAGACTCTAACGGAGTTTGACTTTACTGTAGATAATAATAACGAGACTAATAACGAGCTCTAATAGAATTCTACGGCTATACTGTTTACTTCTAAGCAATTAGAGGTTATATAGCTACCTTCGGTAGATTAATATATACAATACTTAGTACATTTCTCTGTCCTCTGATTAGCTAGTCTCGCGCTAGTTTCGTATTTATCGCTTTTGAGAATATTAGATGTCTAATAGTTTATCCCCTTACTAATATTCCTTTGCTAAGTCGGACAGTTTATCCCCTTACCTGTTCTCTTACTCTAAGGGTATAAACCTATGCTTATGTTGTGCGTCGAAATAGGTAAGGGTACAATCTATTTAGTAAGGCTATAAACTAATACTTTTATAGGCACTTACTCTGCTTCCCCGAATAACGACACCGCGCGCAGGTATTCCTCCCCTTCTTACCTACGTACCTTTCTATCCCTGTTCTAGTATACATACGACACATAAAGCCCTTTGCTATATACCGACTATATCTAGGATTCCGCGCAACCCCTACGTTAGTCTCTTCAATTCTACCGACATATATTAATAATGTCCTCCGCTTTGTAGTCCCTACTGCCTACGACGTATCCTCTCGCACTTCTTTACTCGTAGAATAATAGCTGCCTAAGGCGGTTAGTCGCCGCTATTCTACCTTCGGTCGCGCCGGCCTACCGCCCTTACTTAGTATACTAGGCGCCGTCTCTTCCTCTTGCTCTTCCTCTTCCTTATTATTAGGTATTTCGTATAGATCGAGCTATAGTACTACTACGCTCGGCCGTTTCAACAGCCGGGGGCTCGGCCGACGTAATTTTGATAGTAAACTAGCTACTAGAGAGAAAGCGGCTAGAGAGAAAGCGGCCGGAGATAAAGCGGCTATTAGCGTTTCAGGCGGAGTATAATACTACTCGTAATTACTACAGTTACTATCGATTAGTTCTAGTATCGGCTCTACGGCTATCTTGTTAATAGCATTATATATCTATTGATCGTCTTTGTCTATACTTGTGTTATTTCGGCCAATTATAGGCTAGAGAATTGCTGTTAGTTTCCTTCGTAAATTGGTAGGTATATAGCGCCAATCGACTTGGATTGATGTGTATATATATACGCGTCGCATATATAGAATTCGTAGAATTCCGACGTGTACGTATACTTGGGCACGGTACACAATGTACGCCGAGGGCATAAACCAAATTCTGGAACCTACTTACGGGCCCTCCTGTAGGACCGTTATAGGCCCGTACTAGTCGAACCAACTAACGGGCTTCCCGTAGGACATATTATAGCTTGTATCTATACGTATAATTTGTATATATCCGTATAAAAACTAAGTTTTTGTAAAGATACTATATTTAAGCAAAAACACTATATAACGCTTAGAACACATTCCTACTAATCTATACTATATACAACAGTATACTAATTATACGGTATAAGTAGTATATACAACGTACCTATTAATTGGTATACGTATTATATATATACGTATACTAGTACGGAACCTTTCTACTTACTATACCTAACGCCTATATATATACGTATTCCAAGCGTCCTTACTATATATATATACTCGTACCTTTCTACTACAATACTTTCGATACTATATCGTTCGCGCAATCGTTCCCTATCGCTGTCTGGATCCTAGTTATTATATAGTAGTCTAGTAGTAGTCGTCGTCGCCGTCGTCGTATACATTAAGAGTATCGGAAGGGATACCTAAAGCAGTAAAGGCTAGTACGAGAATAAGTGTATATATATATATATATATATAAAAGAGTATAGAATAAAGGGGAGGCAATCTTTATATACCTAGTCCCTTAACTCGTTCCGCTCGGAGTGTCTAGATTCTAGAAGGTATATATATATCGCCTATAAAGATCGTTAGTACCTATACCCGTCTATATATAGATTTATTAGGGAATGCGACGATGTAGACAACGTACCCTTATATATATACGTAAAGGTACTAACTTCGCGGATACGTCGCGTATATATGTACCTCTAAAACAAGAGTAATATATTAGAGATCTAGTTAATATATAGTATTATCTAACTAGGTGTCGCACTCTCTGCCTTTATATACTTGAATTAGCTGCTACTACTGCTGTCCGCAGTTACTAGAACTATCTATTGCTTCTTTCTATAGAGAACCGGTAGCCCGATATATATAATCATCGCTTAGGTACCTATTTTGAACGTTCGAAGGCTAGTAACCTAGTCTACAATATAGATAGTACTTAGTCGGATTAAGAGGAAACAGTATATCTTGTTAGTACCTATATTAAGGGTAAGGATTTGCTTAATTCGACCCGGTGCAGAGGCATTATTAGAGTACAAGAAGTCTCTTCGGTAGACCGTTATACGGCGCTCGTCGGACCTATCGTATAGATAAATTAGTTAGCTATATATATTAGATATATATATATATCGGATTAGAACGTTACTAACGGGTCGTCGAAAGAGACTGTCTTCTACTACTAGAATTTAACGTCTCTTAATATATTAACGTTTAGACGACTATAGTCCCTTAAGAAGGCTATCTTAATGCTAGTAAGTATCTACTTATCTGCTTCTCTGCTATATGCTAGTAATGCCTAGGCGCGGGCGTACTTAACACCTAGCTTAGTACGGGCCTTAACATTCTAGTACAGGTTGTCGTTAACTAGGGCAGTAGTGTACTCTTTAATCTCTATAGATACGTCTTCGCCCTCCCTATCTCTAAGAATAGAACACTAAAGAATAGTACGCTCTAAGATTAGCAGTAGCGTATCGAAGAGGCTAGGGCACTTGTTGTTTATCCGCTAAAGCTAGTTAATAAGCGGTTGCTCGGTTTCCGATATACTGCCTAGTAGCAAGAATCGTATAGTTATCTTAAAGTTAATACGCTAGAGTAGGTTACGCTCTAGGTTGCGATAGTTAGTCTTATAGATTATGTCCTTAAAGATACGGTATATCTCTTTACTAGTAAGAACAGTTAGATTAAGCCCGAGGCCGTACTCTACAATTATCTCCGGGTAGTACTAGGTAGTATAGAGATTCGGACGTTCGTTATACTTGCGTAGGGTTGTCGATGTCTTTGTACCTATTGTTTCGCGAATACGTTCTATATCGGTATTATCGTCGCTCTACTCGTTATTAGCTGCTAGCGTAGTTGTAATACTACTACTACGGCTAGTACTAGTACTACTACGGCCTCGACTACTAGCGCGGATAGTAGACCCGGTACGACTACGACTACGACTACGACTACGACCGCTGCTAGTTTGACGAGCTACTACCGTACTATTGTCGGTAATAGGGACTAGGGTTCTAGCCCGGCTTAGAGCGACACTATTTACCCTACTATATAGATTCCTAATAGAAGCTATAGTAGCAGTCTCGTTTAACAATTAGAATATCTCTAAGCCTAGCCTTAGCTCTACCTCTATTATAGCGCGCTGTACGACTATAAGAAAGCTAGCTAGAAGGATCCGGTTAGTAGCGCTAATTCGCGCAAAGCAGACTGTAATTATATACGTATATAGTACTTCTAGGTTAGAAATACTAAGGAGTCTAGAGATAGCCTAGATCTGACGACCTATTATAAGGGGTAATATATTTATAAAATGCGTATTAATATGCTTAGCCCTAAGCCAATACCTAAGCAGTATAGGAACAATAATAGAGTATCGACCAAGCTGCGTTAGCGTATAGCTACTAATATAGCGGATAGGAGAAGGCAAATATAGACAATCCGGAGGGAAAGGGAATAACCGTATTACCTTTACGAACTCGATAGACGTAGGCTTTGTTAGGATGTTCTTAACTAGTAGTTAAGCAGCTATCTTCGAGAGACTACCGAGATTAGAATAGCAAGGCTCTAGCGGCTTAGTAAAGTTAACGTCTAATGCCGGGGCAATCCGCTATATTGTAGGTATTAGTATAACGTCTGGATCTATACTACGTATATTACTAATACCTAATCTAGCACCGGTAAAACGCGTCTTCTCGGCCTTAGTAGGCATTGCATTTATACGCCTACGTAGGCGTACGATTTCCTAGTAATAGCGGCCTTTAAATACTAGATCCAGCTCTAGTAACTTCTAGAACTTCTTGTCTACCTAGTATAGACGATAGCCAAACGTAGACCGCTAAGAGAGAAAGCCGGAGTTATGCTATTGCTATAGTATATTAGCAATAAAGTATGCTATTATTGCATATACTAGTGTCTCTTGTCTATTAATAGTTATTAGTATACTAGTATCTAGCTATACTAAGAATGAACTAATAGCATCGATAACACCTTCTAGATTACTACTATAGGGACTAATCGTTAAAGGAAAGATATTAGTACGACGTCTGCGCTCTAAGATCGTAAATACGCCGTTAATAATATAAAGCCCTATTAAGGCGCGGTATATATTCCGATACAGCCCGAAGTTATCCGTAAAGTTAATTATTAGTACTATAAGGACTTTGGTACTATTGCGTATACTATAGAAGAACTTCGCAATTAATACCTAACGGCTAAAGTGCTCGATCTCTAGCTCGCCGCAGACTAGGTACTGCTTCTAGATTAGTCGGACTTCTAGTAGGTTAGCGTAGCTCGTATATACGATCCGGCGAAGTACGATCTAGAACGGACATTATAGTATATCTAGTAGTAGTAGATCGTTTATAGCAACGGCGCCCTCAAAGTCGTAATAGATATATAGCTCAAAGTCGATTAGCTCGACGTCTGTAGGAAGGACGTAATAAACGTATATATCGTCACTAAGGAGGAACACTTCTTTGTCTACAATAGGCTCTAGAGTTATATTCTTAACAAGGTTATTACCCTCTAGCTAGAGATTGCCTAGTTAGTTAGCTATAGCAAGCTGTCGTACTCTTAATATAATAGTACTAGTGTTGCCTATAATCGAGCGTATATCCTTGTAAAAGGATAAGATGTATAGGCTGAAGTATCTAATAGAAATGTACTACTCGAATCGCTTAGGAGAAGAGTAGGAATGCGTCTTCTCTCTCTGTTTATAAGTATAACTTCGGAGTACCCGGAGGCTCTAGCCTCTCGGGTCTGATTTGGAATATCTCGATCTAAGATCTCCTACTCTGACTCTTTGTAAACTATCTTAACTCGGTGTTAGCGGTAAAGGTCTGGCCTAAACCCTCTTAAATCGTAGTAGCCCGTTCTAGCCTATCTTAGGTACTCCCGGGCTATTCCGGGTCTGTCCTACGATGTCTATATCGCTGTCTAGTCTGGATCCTAACAATCCTTAGCTACTACAAGAACTATACCGAGATACCGAAGATTCCCTCCTTAATAATACTCGTAGGTACCTCTATACTTGAAGCGGACGAAGTCCGAGGGGAAAATCGGCTCGCCTAGCTTTCTAGTATATTCCTATATATATCGAGTAGATTCTGTCGTTGCCGGTGCTGCTTGCGATATATATACCTATACTTTACCTAGATAGACTACGAACTTACTAGAAGAGATACGAATAGATAAATACTATATATTAGTCTCCTATAGCTCTACTAGGGAGTTAACAAACAGACCTAGGCTAAAGTACATCTTCTTTACAATGTCTAGTATTAATAGGTATGCTTAAAAGAATGTCTATAGGTTAAAGAAGTAGAGCTTCTTAGATATCCGAGAGGGTTCTTTATCCTGTTTCTTACCTACTAGCCGGAACGGTATTCTCTATAGTTCTAGCAACGACGTTGACTCTATACGTAGCTCTATAAGTAGTAAGGTAGACTTAGTACGCTTCTTTAAAGTATTGAGGGTATTTGGTAGTATATCGAAGTCCTTCGGCTAAGTAGTACGTAAAATTGAGAGCAGAGTTTGATACTCTAGACGAGAAATTCCGACCGTCTAGGCCTATATATCTAGCGTAAGCTTAGTGTCAAACATCGATAAGTTACTACGAAGCCGTATATACTAGAGGGCTTAGGACGCGTTAGAAAAGCCTAGCTTAGCAATAACTACGATACGAGCAAGAGAGGCGATACTTATATCTATACCTTCTTTATTATTGTTATCGTCCCTATCGTCTTGATATCGGTTATTCTCGTTGTTAGATATGCTTCGATCCTAATAATTAGCAACAGCCTAAAGTTCCTATAGTACTAGCAGTACTTAGTTGTCTAACTCGACCTTATCGCCCTTATCCCTATTATCGGTATTAAGCTACAGAAGCCTTAGATCTAATTCATCGAGATTAATAGTCTATAGCGCGTTAGCCTTATATTGTTATTCTCGAGTTGAGATACGTGTCGGTCGGGTAAACTTATAAAAGCTATAGGCGCTTCATTGTCGTCGGTAGGATCGAATTGGTCTACGAATAGAGAGCTAGTATTATTAGCGCTAGTTTCGTAGTACGGTCGCTTCCGAGGAGGCTTATCGTTGCCCCCGCCGCTAGTCTCTCGTCTAGCTTCAGCGCTAGCCTCTCGTCTAGCTTTATCGCTAGCGCTAATACTAGCTATAGTAGGCTTCGGCTTTCTAGATAGAGTAGTAGCTCGAGGCAAACCTTGCCTACCTTTTAGACCCTTCTTAATCTTCGGTATACTAGCGTTTTGATCGGTACGCTGTCGGTCTATATTCTACTATATATATATATTGTACAAACATAAAGTTTAGGTACGGTAGTAGGAAAGGTCGGAATTATAAGGCAAATACGCAAATACAGGCACCTGCGGCTACGCTAGGCCTACAACGGAAATCGATCTATTTATATAGTACGGTACCGAATATTCTACTTTATAGCTTTCGTTTATATAGCTACTAAGACTATATACGCGACTATACTCGCGTCTTAATATACAGTCTCTATTATCTTAGTATAGATAGTAAGAACCTCGAGTATACGGACTCTCCTACTATACGACGTCTTGTCTCTACTACTAGGTATTAGAACAGCCCTGTTGCTTGATATCTCGTATAATAGCGAGCGCGTACGCTGTCCTATAGTTAGTTAGATATTCGCTTGTCCTTGTCCTTGTCCTTATCCTCGTCCTCGTCCTTGTCCGTATCTACCGTACCCTACTCTTTGATTTCGTACTCGAGTATTAGCCTCGGTCTAATCGGTTTAACCTTCGTTCGATATATATAGAGCTTGATTACTACTACTTCTATAGTTAGTAGAAGCTATATACTATATAGTACTGCTGTTCGCTATATTAGTAGAGTAAGTAGGGTAGAGATCGACTCGTAGTAAGGGTAGACGGGTCGTTCGTAGGGCGTCGAGATCCGGGAAAGTACTATAGCTACTAAAGATTAGATAAGGATATAGGGATTCGGGTACAGAAGAACTAGAACTAGAGGAGGGCAGGCTTAATATAGGAGGGCCGATAGTCGTAGGTAGGGCAATAGGGGTTAGACGAAGGTACTAGTCTACGAGAAGCTAGCTTCCTAGAAGAAACTTAGGCCTTAGTTATTGTTGTTGAACCCGAAGTCCTATAGAGGATAGAAGGGGGGCTGTATATCTGTCGTAAGTATAGGCTTAGTAAGTGTCGGTATCTATATAGTTAGTAGTAATCGGTATAGAGAAGAACAAAAAGCAAAGCACTCCCGATATCCTTTCGTATACCTACGATACGTAAAAGAAGTAGAACTACCGCTAAAAAACAAAGCTATAAGATAAGAATACTAATATATCGACGGAGGAGGAGGGGCGCCGGAGGTCTTTATCTTCTTTAGCGAGCTCAAGTCTTGCTGTTTACGCTTACGCGCGCCCTTAGTAGTAATAGTTACTATATATATAGCTAGTTAACAAGAGCGTATTGCTAATAAAGAAACGGAGTTATACAAGCGGGGAAGGAGAAACTTATATCTCTTAAACTATATAATAGATATATACTCGAAGGCCTTATACCCGACTGCAACGACGAAGTCGTTGTCTAAAATTTCCTTTATATTTTTATCTTTGCTTTTTTTGCTACCGCTCGGGTCGCAAAGCGAGCCGAGCTACGCGCGAAACGCTTTATTTACTATTATATAGCGGTTTACGAAGGCAAGCAAATTAGCGTAAATTTCTATATATATATTAATAAAGTGTTAGTATTAGCTTAGCAGATTATATACTAGGACTACAACTAACTTACTAGTACAAAAGTACTTAGCTAGAGCAGTACTCTCCTCGAAAGAAAAGAGCTTCTTTATCGGAGTCTAGAGGTTAAAGAAGTTCTCTATAGAGAACTTCTCCTAAAAATATTCGATAGTATTATCGAATTCACCTATTCTCTATAGGTTCCGGTCCTCTTCCCGAAGCTTATATATATACGCCTATTATATATTAACTATACGGGAACAGTACTATATAGCATAACGTAGACAGGAGGGTATACTTACAATACAATTGTTAAGGATAGTACGCTTGTAGTTACGCGTCTGCTACGAGAAGGTAGCCTTAGCGGAGATATACTCGATAGAGTTCGTACCGTAATCTTAGCCCTAAACAAAAGATTAGTATATATATATAGTAAACAGTAATACAAGAGTACGAGGGGCAGGATAAGGCAGTAGTGTTAATAGCAACTTTATACTAAAAGAGACAGGCTAAACATACCTAGATCGACTTAATTACCGGATTATATATCTCTTTACGTATTTCGCCAAACAAAAAAGTAGCCTACTTAATCTCCTCTTACAAAATACGATCTCGCTCGGCTTCTTCTTAAGCAGCCTACTTATCTTCGCGATTGCTAGAGGTACGCTTTCTACGGGTCTATCGCTTTCTTAGCTTCGTACTAGCGATACGCGAAGCACTTACGATCGCCTATATATGTCCTCTATTAGTATATATATCAATACTATACTTAATACTATATTTGGGATAGGTATAGGATTAGCTATTACGTCTCTAGGACGTATAGCGGTAGGAGTAGTAGTAGTAGTAGTGCCGCTACTAGTAGGGATAGGGGTAGCCGGGACGAAATCTTCTGCTATAGCGACTACTAGGTAGTAGTAGGTAGTAGCAGTATAGCTAGCAATAGGACAAATAGGATTAATATCTAGTAAAGCGATCGGTATACGTAAGAGGGCGTAGGAATCGAAGTCTAAAAGGATAAATATAGAATAGCTGGATTCTTATACAGACCGAGAGCCTTCTATCGAGGCAGCTACTCTACCTATATATAGTATATATAGCAGCTACCTATCCTAGGTCCTCCGGATAGGCGTTCCCTTCTAGGATACGGTATAAAGATAGGTGCTCCTACTAATACTAAGTTTATACAGATATTACGGCTCTATACGGTATAAACATAGGAAACTTCGAACCTTGTACTATTGCTCTACCTATACCTCTTACTACCTGCTTCCGTTTTCTAAATTATTCTTATCCGAATCGTTCTACTTAACAGTTATTAGAAATGCTCGTATGTTCTTATAACGTATACTAGACTTACGACACAAAAGAAAGAAGTAGACGTAACGTTAGTCGAGATATGCCGCGATTTATACAGTAGAATTACAGTTTAAACTATAATACGAGATACAATATATACAAATTGAATTATACACGAGTAGAAATTATATACAAGATACGTATAGATCATTTTATGTACTGTTATTCCTCCGTGTACATAATACCCCCTCTCCGCTAATGTAACATGATGCATCAAGCCTGTTGCCAAGAGTCCCAAGCCGCGGCCGCGGGTAACGACATCCGGGCCCGACTTCAACAACAAGAAAAAGAAAAATCAGGAAAGGAGCCTTGTCGCTTCTCTTGGAACTTATCGAGACATCTTCAGACATGGAAGGTCACTCACTCAATCACACACTCCTGTGTGTACCTGTATGTATGTATGTACCAGGGATGTCTCGGAACTGCGGCAAAGTGAATAAAATGGGTTGTAGCACGAAGGAATTCTGATATCATAATTGCCAGGTATGTATTTCTATACTTTCGTCCGAGATACTGACATTGCGCAATATCGTTACCGGTACTACCTCCTAGAGTCAGTCTGGTGGTAGTCTTGCGGATCAAAGCGGATAGATAGATGGACCAGATCTATACCTTACCTTACAGTTGCTCTGTAGATTAAAATATTGATGATAATGATGCTGTTGCACTGCTGCAGCTTTCTCGGCGACTGCCTAAGCCGTTGGTATGCTTGCGAGAGGAATACCAACCTTACCTCCTAGTGATCCACCTTACGGATAAAGGGCAAAGAAAAAAGATGATATAGGACCCGCTTGCGGATCAATACCGGAGAGTTGCGAGTCAGCGACCACGTCAAAGCCCGAGAAACTTACCTCATGTGCAGTACAGTGAGGTACTGAGTATAGTACATACATAGGTACCCTAGTAGATACAGTAGGTAGGGTAGGACCGGGTAGGTCGATAGGCCCAGCGAGCGGCACAGCGGCACAGCAATCATCATCATTATCAGCACACCTAGTATCCATCCCATCCCATCCCATTCCACCTCATCATCACCCCTCCCCTCGCAATGGGAATTGATTCCATGACACCAAACCTACCTACCTACCTACCTTGTAGGGTATGCTGAAACCCCCTACCTCTAGTAAATAGGATAGCTTTCCCCGAACCCGAAGCCAGGATATGAATATCCAATAGGCTCAATAGCTTTTTCCTTCCTCATACAGTAGTTTACACCAGGTATGTAAGTTGCTAGGGGTACAGTTAGAGTAGGTTTTTAGTGAACTGACCGACTATCAGCTCCATCACAACCCTCATCATCATCAAGAAGAAGACTTTCCCCGTTCTACTGCCGAGGATCCAGCCGCTCGGGTCTTTTCTCTCACGTCCTACCTCCCCGGCCGGATGATGTACGATGAATTGCCCTTTTGCCGGTGTACATACCTCCTAGTACATGTAGTTTACTTGACCTGACCTTAGTGACCTGACCTGAGCTGAGCCTTGTTAAGCCGAAGTGCCCTCGAGACATGCTGTTAGATTAGTTATGTACCTTACCTTTACCTTATATACAATCACACATACAATCATACATCAGGTATACATATACCTATACCTGTACTTGTAAATAACAATAAATAAACAACGTACGTAAACAAGGTACCTACCTCGTAAACGCGAAAGAGAGAGAATAGAGAGAAGTGGATACACATCGGAACGGGGACTCTTGACGCCCTGCGTTGTGGTTGTTTTCCTTGGCTGTCTACATGTACCTACTACGGGAACCTATCTTACCTTACCTTAGTTCCGACCCACACTCGAGCCCGAGTCTCCAGGTCTGTGCTGTGATGAGGCGAAAGATGTACATGTGGTCATTCATGGGCGGAGGGAGCGGATGGAAGGGGGGAGTGGAGGGGAGAGGGGAGAGGGTACAGGTACGTAGGGCTGGGTGGGCTGGGCTGGGCTGCACCACTCCCCCCCCCCCAACAGTAAGGTAAGGTTACTGCACTCTTCGTCTCCTACCTACGAGCAATTGCTTGATTCTCCTGTAACATCGTTCCTGTTCATGGTACTGCCATTTCAATTGTAGCTGCTATAACACACTTAGCCTCTGCCCCGTTCCTCCCATGTCACCCGCTGTGGATTCGCCATGTAGAAGCAAAGTGCATATCAGTGTCAAAAGGCGTCAGAAGACCTCAGTTCGTGAAGCTTGCGCCCAACGTTCTAATCACATCCGTCCAGCACCATCCCTCTCAGCGGCCCATAAAAGACTATACTAGTAGCACAATTCCTCTTTCGCCTCACCGCCATGCTTTCGTTGGAAACTCGTATCCCACCGCCCATCGCTTTGCTACTGCACGTATAGGAACAGTAGGTAGCCATGCTCCGATTGAAAACGCCTCTTTTGATCTTCGCGGGTACAGGCCCGTCATGGCCTAGGTCTGGCACCACCCACACACGCTCCTTCTATGGTCTATGTCTCGTTATGTTCTGTCTTGCGTCGTATCACTGTAGCCTCCGTATCAGGTACTTGTTGTTGTTGTTATTGTTAAAAAAAGCAAATGAAGCAAATCGCTTTCGTTCGCGCGTCTGAAGCAAAAACGCCGTCTAGTGTGTCGACGCTCATGTCTCGTCAATGCCTTGAACATGAAGGCCTCCATGCCGCTGGACTTTTATGCGCTCTGTAAAATGCAAAAGGTATGCATGCACTCATGAAGCTAAACAGATTGTGTTTGCACACCAGCTACAGGACTGTCGAGCTGGCTGTTGTACGGCTTGAAGAGCAACTTCATGTCGAGAGTGAGATTGTCGAGCCCGTATTGGTCGTCAATGTCGCCGACGGAGCCGACGTCGTGACCCTTGTTCTCATTGTCGCCAACGACCATGCTCTTGATGCGCTTGAGCAAGGTCATCACGCGCTTGAAGCGCATGTCGGCAGGCAGTGTAAAGTCGGATGCTAGCTGGGACTGCAAGAAGCTGCGACCAATAAAGAAGAAGTGAACGCCATCACGGCTGAAACCGAATCGACGCTGGTGGAAATCGGTAGGTGGGTACTGAAGCTCCATGTCATTATCCCAGCTGCGTTTCCACTTTTCGAGAGCTTGGCCCAGACGCTTCTTCTCCTGTTGTGCCGCTGACGCATTCTGCTGCTTGGGACTGTGTGTCTCAGTCGGTGTGCCTTGGCCGCTGTTATCGGCACTATGCGGGCGACTGCTGCCACCGTTGTGCTGCTCTAACCAGTCGTTCTGCGACAGTGGAGTGGCGGGGCCACTGCCGTTCAGGTTCAAGGTGAATGGCTGCAATGGCTGGTCTGGTCCAAGCAATGCCCTCTGGCAGTTGAAAATGCGGATGATGAGGGAATGTATGAGCATGAACTTGGAGTACGCATTGGTTGCTCCCAGTGGAAACGACGCGTACGGGTCGAGCAGTGTGCGCATGGCGTCGTGCATGCTCGGCTGCACCGACTTCCGAGTACCAGTGACGTTCTTGCTCTGCGCTTGCGATCCGTTGAGGCCAAGGGCGTTGGCACATTCTTGGGAGCTGGTAGCATCCCATGCAGCGTCATCCGCGGGAAGCATCAGGTGAATCTCGAGAGGATCAAACATCGGCGTATGGTTGAAGAACATCACCACTGCGGCGTCAGTGACCATAATCTGGTACAGCACACGATTGCGCTTCTCTTGCTCAAGCCAAGACTGCCAATTCCAGTTCTGAGTCTGATACCGGTTTGCTTGCGGCTGTCGAGTGTTGTGCAAGAAGCTGTAGGACTGGTGGCCAACAGGGGCAGAGTCGCACAATTTCATGGCTTTGGCGATGCGCACCAGCATGGGGAACTCGGCCCGTGCACTCTGCCTCTGCGATGCATCCCCATGCCACGTGAAAGTGGTCTGCAGCATTGACAGTGCTTGCAGCTCCTCCACCTCAGATGCCTGGTCGCCAAGGCCTTCGGTCTGACCATTCACAGTGCGAGTGTAAATGCTGCAGTTTGCGTAGACAGTAGCTTTGACAAACTCCATGAGCTGGCGAGTCTGATGAACGCCAATTTCCGGGCTGTACACGGCGCCTATGCAAAGCATCGCAAGGACAAGATTGTTATTCGCGTCCGTCAATTTGAAGGTGGGCATGTGCAAGATTGGCCAATGTCCATGGAACGACGTGTAGTGCTCGGCGAAGTGCTTGAGCCTGTCGACCTTCAGAACACTTTGCAACAGCAGAGCTGCCTGATGATTCTGTAGATGTTCAACGCCATTGGGGAAACAGTGTCGGAGAAGGCTGTCGACCTTGGCCTGAAGGGGGTCGTTCATGCCCCAATTGGGAAATCCAGGGATCCCGTGATCCGTCATCTCACCTCCAAAGCCACCCGGGTGAGAGTAAAGACTACCTAAAAAAGACTCGTTGTTAAAGTCATGGGATACGGAGTAGTCTTGCTTCGTGTCTGGTTCGGTTTTGATTTGAGTATTTCCTTGCGAGCTCGCGTTCGCAGAATGGCTACCGATGAAGCCATCCTGGCCACCTTGTGTAAACACACGGGTCCAATCGACACCGTTACCACTAGTGCTTGGCATCTGCTGATGGTTGTTCACCTGGCTGTTGGCGAAGCGCGAGCTCTGCTGGCCTAAAAAAGACATCTGTTGCTCTTGTTGCTGCTGAGCTTGGTGTCCGTGATAGACATTGCCGTTCATTTGTGGTGGTTGCTGAAAGGGATACGAGTGTTGCAAGTGACTGCCGTTCTGGGCATGCTGGGCGTTTTGCATGGCATACGTGTGGATGCCAGGTTGATAAGGGGCAGACGTTTGGTGGCCTTGGTCCGCCCCTTGCGTGTTCGAGCCAAGTATTCCCAGACCAGCAAGACTGGTGCGCTGACTCAGGTTGCCAGTGCCTATTAAGCTGTTGGCTCTTGAGGATCGGGCAGATAGGTCTCCATTGACATTATTGGGACTGCTACCCACAACGTTGGCATTGTACGAGTTGTTCGCGCCATTCACATCAGGCATACCTGCTAGGCCGATTGGGCCATCTTGCTGACTGATGGACAGCCTGCTTCCATTGTTCGTGTTTCGCCGCTGATGGGCGAGGTGATTAGCGCCAGTCGGATTGCCCCTTCGTAACGAGCACTTCTGGAAATGTCGCTTGAGAATGTCCGAGCGAGAGAACGTATCCTTGCACAGATGACACATGTACGGACGATCACCAGTATCTAGATGAACGTTAGATCTTGTTGTGCACACAGGAGATCAGATACATACGTCTAAGAAGGTGACGCTTCAAGTGCTTCGCGTGCAGATAGGTCTTGTTACAATGTGGGCATGGATACTTGCCGTCGGCGTCCTTCTGGGGTATCATGCTCTTCGCAGCCGTACCCGTACCTTGAGCTGGCGGGTTGGGCCTGCCTGGAGCGCTGGGGAGTATGCCACGTCGTCCCTGGGAGCCCACGACATGAGTGGGCTGCTGCTCATCCTGCATGAATGATGGAGCCTGTCCCATCTGACCCAGCTGCTGACCTGCTTGTGCGAGACTCGGGAGATTGCCCTGCATCATACCACCTGGTGGCATGGGACGAATGTTCGGCAGCAGGGCGGACGTGGTGGCCGGCATGGCTGATGCGCTCGACGATGGATACAGCAAAGCTGGGTTGTACGGGTTCGCGTAGCCGGAGGGTGGTGCCATGCTGCCTGTCGTAGCAGTCGGAGACATGTGCTGAGGATACGGATGCGGCTGTTGTTGCGCGCCTGGCATCGAAGGGTTGTGCGGTGTCGTTGGCGTCGAGGACTGGCTACCGGGCTGGCCATAGGACAGGTTACCAAAAGAGTAGCCGCCATTCTGATTCTGACCGGCTTGCTGTTGAAGAGGTGGAAGAGTGGGCGCTTGGCCTGGCGCAGACGACTGCTGCTGTTGCTGCTGGGCGGCAGGCGAGTTGGTGTTGTGCCCATTGCTCTGGCCATACGCGTAGGCGTGTTGTTGATACTGGTTGGTATCCATACTGCTTATGGAACTGGCGGGAGGTGGTGGGGACTGCCAGCGGGGGGCACTACAGAGTATGCTCAGTAGTGGTGAAGCGCATTCATCGGAAGCGCGTCCCGACTGGCTGATGCCGCTGTGGAGGAATTTCACCGTGGTGTGGAGAGAGGCAGACAGGATCCAGCGCAGCACGATAGCAGGCGACAATTGAACGATGCGAGTACTGTACAGGCAGTGCGCGCCGTACTCGACGACGACGACGAGTAGTCTGGGCGTATGTGCAGTGCAGATGGGAAGCTGATGCTGGTGGATGTCGGCGCGTGGTTGACGGAGATCGCAGCGGGCGGCAGACGAAATGTCCTAGCTCAGCGCCAAGGCCGCTTGGTAAAAAGTCGGAAGGGCCTGCGAAGAAATCCTCACTACTTGTTGCGTCGGTCGTCGTTTGCAGGTGCAGCCCTGGGAGTGGTCCGACGCGGGGCCCAGAGGTGCTGTGATGATGTGATGACACTGGTGGTCGTGCCTCACAGCCGTCCAGTCAGGTTCTAGTTGGGTCACTGTCGCCGAGACAAATGGTGGTGGTGGTGGAGGAGGTGGTGGTCGTTGTGGTGGTCGTGGTCGTGGTCGTGGCTGTGTTTGTGGTTGTGGTTGTGGTCGTCGCCAGGCGCTGAGAATTGTGCCCGTGATGTCCAGACAGAATAAGTTGTCGCTTCTGCGTCTGCGCGTGGAGAGATGTGGATACACCGCTGGTCAGGTACCCGTGCGGAAGTCGTTCGTGGTGGTGAGCACCAGTGCAACAAAGTTCTTGCGACGGGCGGAGGGCTCCACACTTATGCCACTGCTTGCAAGCTTCGCAATGGGGCACGCCTCGCGGATGACAGCAACAATGCAATGGTGATGATGAGAAAATGATGAGCGGCAATGGGCGCCCAGGACTGCAGGCTGCAGGTGATGGGGTCAGAGTGTGTGTTCGACGCAACTTGGAACTCGTTGAGCCAGAGGCGCCCCGAATGCTACGTCACGCCCTCTGGCAAACCTTACTCTATCCAGACTGGCCGCTCTGCCTACTCTCCAGCACGATCAAAAAACTATTCCGTCGTGGCTCGACCATCCCGGCTCGCTCGAATGGGCTCGCCGGCTCTCTGCTGCAGATGACAGGCCTGCCTGGCTTCAAGGTTGTCTGCTCTCTACATAGGGCCGCAAGTCCGCTAGCGCCTCTTGTTCGCAATATGGCCCGGAAGACCGTGCAGAGATCTACGTCCTAACTGTGCAAGCAATAATGCACCTGTCGGCTTCTCCTATCCGAGCGGACGGCGCGCCTGCCCTCGTTGCGCCTCGAGACTCGAGTGCACGCTCTGGCGGACGAAAAAGAAACATGTCCACTGCACGCGGCTGTCACTCACGCCCATTCAATGCTCCTCACATCCTTCGCTTGCCGTCACTGCCCACAACTCCATTGCACATATCGCGTGTAACAGACGCCGTAGAAGGGAGGCAAAAACAGACTGGAGCTGCAAAGCTTGCCACCCTTCGCTCTCGGGCCACAGCGCGCGGCGGAATTAGTAGGGACAAGGGCCAGGGAGCAAGACGCTATTGCCTTGCCTTGCTTTGATCCTCCCGATCTGGTGATGTCTACGTCGCCTAGGATATACTACTGCTCCTTTTCTTGCGCTGCTATGATCTTTGGCGTCCCTGGGTCATTCCATTACTGCGAGACGACGGCGAATATCGCCAGAGGCCCGACGAAGCCGTCGAGACTACGCGCGCTGCACGTCAGAACTTCTCCCCCCATGGTGACCAGTCATCGTAGTCACGTAGTGAGCGGAGTGCCAGCATCCAACGCTCCAACTACGGACCGTGGGCGCCCTCGCGCCGAGACACAAGACTTAAGGCACGTCCCTTTAGCCCTGAATTACTAATCGCAGGTCGAGGTCACATCGCTCCAGACGTGTCTCGCGAGCCATTTTTTCTTGCGTGGCCATTGTCCGACTTTAGCGTAGACGCATGGTATCACTGCTTTGTACGACCAGCAAGCAGTCACGAGCCGAGGGTTACGAGCCGCGTCGACAAGATGCAAAGGCCCTCGATTCGCGGTCGGGCGCTTCAATTTCATCTCTATGTTGCTGCGCTTATATGAACTGCACGCCTACCGGTGATAGCCCGCCACACAAATATCCTGTTTGCTTTGACCGATCGAAACACCCATGCTAGAGTAATGTACGACACAGACAAGCTCACAGGCATCCTTGTGCGACAACCTATCCAGGACGCGAGCCCCTCGAACTTGATGAGACCAATACCTACCACCTTAATGTACCTACCTACGCCAGACGGCCAGAGGCTCTGCAATAATACTACCAACACGACCGTTCATCCCAAGGCATCACATCATCAGTGGTACGGCACACGTGAGGTAGTCTTATAAGAGAGTCTGGCTAAATTATGGTACCAAGTCCATCGCAACCACGTCCAGCTGGGTTCGAATAATGGACGTGTTATCCTCCCAAGTGTCTCAGCTCGCTCGCGTCTACCGAACAACAGAGTTTGGGGAACACGAAGCGTGGAAGCCAACCTTTCGATATACACTCTCGAGCAACTAGTCTCAAGCAATAAAGGTTTCATCTTCTCAGCCCTTGGCACCCCAGATCGTACTCCTCTCAATACCATCTTCCGAGTCCAACTGACTGCCGTGTAGCTGTACACTCAGCTGCGGTTTCTTCGCAATGGTTTGCAGTACCACACAGTATCGTTCCGTCAACTTTCCCAATTTCTCGACTTTGTCCTCTGGGATCTGTTCGCCCTGTTCGAACTTCAGATCGAATGAGAGTCTGATGTCCTTGAACCCCACCGGAGCTTCCCTATCGACTCCCATTGTGCCACGGAAGTCAAGATCGCCCTCTGCCCGCACGGTTCCGCTCTTGATGGGTATATCGAGCGCAGTAGCCACGGCCTTGAGTGTCACACCCGCACATGCTACCAGAGCTTCGAGAAGCAGATCACCACTGCAAAGCTCTCCTGATATCTCGAAGCCATCACCTCCTGACTTGGGGTGCAGGCCAGCAATCCTTTGCTGGGCTTGAGCTACTTGCTTCCCGGTGTCAAGCTTGCAGGTGACGCCGCTCGAGTCCAGTGAGCCGCTCGCGTTCAACGTGATCAATGCAGCAGAGGCATCCTCTTTATACGACGCTTTCAGCGGAGCTTGTTTGTCGCGGAGAGCTTGTGAAGCCATGATCTAGCGTGGTAAGAGATTTGTGCTCGCGAAGCCCTTGGTAGTTCTTGGGGACGCCTGCGGGTCTGAATGGATGCTGTTGACACTGCGAGAAACCGTGATGCCTCCTGTCGGCTTGCTGCTGACTCGGTTGCAGTTGAAGCTGGAAGTCAGGTAGGGTAGTAAGCATTCACGACGTCGCCAAAGTGGAGACTGAGACTCTATATGTTCGCAGCAGAGTTGTGCTGAGAGCCATCACTGCCCCGCCATGCCCCTCTATTGCAATGCCTTGATCCTTACCGCCGAATGGAGCTCCCCGTCGTTCCTGCATAGGTAAAAGGCAATACCCCATCAAAGACTGTGAGGCGCATTAAATTCGTTCTCCGCATTCAGGCAGAAATTGTCCAACGGCCTTGGTTCCTCAGGTGTCTCCGGAGGTATAAGTGGTACCTCCTAGGAGGAAGCAGAAGGTCCAATGTCAAAGGATCCAGCTCTGCACAGTGTGAGCGTGTCGCAACTTCAGCGTTACCTCCTCCCACAATGCCGTATTCCGGATTTCCGTATCGGGCAATCCGGGTGACGAGAGGACCAGCGCTTTCCCCTCACAACGCAGCAGTCGGCAGCACCTCATACCTGGGGCATGGATCGTAAGACTTGCATAAAGTACAGCTAAATGTAATTTATTTTATGATCAGTTCAGCGACAACACCGCAGCACGTACGGCACTATGGCTATTGTTGTAGAGCAAACACTACCTTTTCCATCGAGTACTCTCGATCTTGAGAATGCCACGCGCTGGACCACACTTCTTCCGCTCATTCGACCCTCGCTGAAGACAGTGCGCACTCCGGAGGGGCAAGACCTTGTTGTGAATACCGCCAGAGCCGCAGGAAATCATGTCGACATCATTGCGATTGGCACAGGTGGCAACCTCTCAAGCAAAGTACTGGACAGCAAGCATGTCACAGCTATTATTATCACGCAACATATGGGCGCGAGCGCCATACGAGCGGCGGACCTGCCTCGCGTCTTAGAGTCTGCAGGCATCCAGTGCCCACGTGGTGTAGTTGTGGTGCGAGCAGGGAAGCAAAGGAGACTTGATGTACATCAGTCAGATGTACTAGAATTTCAGACCAACGGAGAACTTGAGCAAGACCACGTTTTACAGCTCCTGAGAACTGCCACAGAGACCACGCGCAGTGATGTACGCAATATCTCGGATATGCTGCAAGCATTTGCGGCAGAGGCAGTCACCACAAATTCCAAGTTCCACGCCGTGAAGACTGATGGCGGACCAGCTGTACTACACCACGATGGCGTGCAGGTCTTCGAGAAGGCCAAAAATGCTGTAGAACGGGACCTGAAACACCTCTTCCAACAACTTAGCCCACAGAGCGAGGACATAGTGTACTCGGTACACTACTCAGACGTGAATGGATTGAGCAGGCTAGAGAACTATATCATCGCTAATGACATTGCAAGCTATCTTGGTAAGAATATAGCTTGCACTTTCCAAGTGATTACAGCTGACACGATTGAATGGTACCTAGACTGTCAAGAAGTACGATACACCCTCTCTCATTCCACAATTCTAAACCACACCGATCACGCTCGGGGTTTCTCCATGTCCGTCTGCCCACTGCCTTCCCACTTCATAGCTGCCAAGCCGAAGCCCAAAGCACATCAGCCCATCGGCGCCACTTCAGGCACAACCAAAACTACGAAGTCCCTCTCACCAACCACACCCAAGATAGTCTTCGAAGATGCCTCTATTCGCAACCGCATTGAAAACGGATGCAATGCCGTGATCAATGAAGAGCTCGTTATCACCGAATACGACACCATCGTAGGTGATGGAGATTGTGGCTACACTCTCCGTGATGGAGCCAAGAAAGTCCTCTCCTTCATCGCAGACAAAGACCTAGGCCAACTCCCAGCAACTTTAGCAGACCTCGTTGCTGAACTCGAAGTCAACATGGGCGGTACCTCGGGCGCGTTGTACTGCATCTTCTTGACAGCGCTGGTTTCGAGTTTAGCATCGGAAGACAGTGTGGCCAAGGCATTGAAGCAGGCTCTAGAAGAGCTGTGCCAGTATACCAACGCTCGCGTGGGAGATCGCACGATGATGGACGCTCTGATCCCGTTCGTGGACACCTTGGTGATGGAAGGTGACGTGGAACTGGCGACGGCGAAAGCGAAGCAGGGTGTGGAGGGCACGAAAATGCTCGAGGCGAAATTAGGGAGGAGTTCCTATCTGGACGAGAGTGCTACGAGAGGTGTGCCCGATCCGGGAGCCTATGGTCTCCTGGTGTTGTTACAGGGCATGGCGAGTGCGTGAGTAAGGTCGTCTGCTTCACACATCGTTGTTCTACTCTACTACCCCAAGGCCATGTATGATTCCAGCGAGCGAGATAGTTATGGCTTCAAATTTCTATTTATGAAACCTTTACTCAAAGTAAACTGCTTTCGTACCATAGGTATATTTCGATCAAGTGGCATAAGATCTGTTAAGTCAAAGTTGCAAACCGACACTTGTTCACCGATATTGGCAGTGCTTTAGAGAAAGTCCATGTACGTACTATCTCTCCAGATGAATGAATTGTGCCCGGGAATGGACATATCCCGAGCGGCGGGCGGGGGGCGGGGAAGTGGAGTGGATGATTCCTTTCATATGCCGACCGACATCGACATCACCTACATGTATCGAATCTCAAGTTTCGTGCGGTGAGGTACAGCCTCAACTTTCCCTCCGCATAAGTATCTAAATCAATCCGAGAAGTTCGAAACCACGTCCAACACGAAAAGGTCACTTTGATAGTTTCCCACCGAAACCGTGTAAGAAACCACAAAAATGAGCTCAACCAAACCCAGAGTCGGTTTTGCCGGGCTAGGGGCCATGGGTGGCGGCATGGCCAAGAACCTGGTGAAGGAGGGTTTTGAAGTAACGGGCTTCGATGTCTACCAGCCTCTGGTAGATGCATTCGTTGCAGCTGGGGGCAAGCCAGCAAAGACACCCAAAGAAGCCGCTCAAAATGCCGATGTCTTCGTTTCCATGGTCGCCAACGCAGCCCAAAACTCCAGCCTGTTATTCGAAGGTGAAGACGCGGTCATCACGGGGCTGGGCCAAGGCAAGACTTTCATTTTGTGTTCGACAACGCCTCCGGCATTCTTGCACGAGCTACGGAAGCGACTCGACGATGCAGGACGTGGAGATATCAAACTCTTAGATTGTCCCGTGTCGGGAGGCACCATCAGAGCTGCAAACGGAACTCTTTCGATATTCGAAGCGGGACACGATCAAGATCTCGATGAAGCTGCACCCGTCCTCCAAACGATGAGTGGCAATCTCTATCGCATGGGGAATATCAGCGCTGGTACCAAAACGAAGACCATTCACCAGCTCCTTGCCGCTGTGAACATCATCACCGCATCGGAAGCTCTCGGCCTCGCAGCAACAGTAGGACTGAACACTCAAGCCGTTGTCGATCACGTCAACTCATCCGACGGAGCTTCTTTCATGTTTGAAAACCGAACTCCGCATATGCTCAAGAACGACTGGCACCCGTATTCGGCACTTGCCATCATTCAAAAAGACGCCATGATCGTCACCGATACAGCTCGCAGAGACCATTTCCCTGTCCCAGTCGCCGACACAGCGGAACAACTCTACTTCCAAGGTGAACAAGCAGGTCTTCTTCGTGTCGACGACGCCGCACTGGTGCAACTCTATCTTCCCAAATCACAGGGCGACCTCGTCAGTCTCGCGTCCTCGGCAGATGTCAACATGGCAAAATCACATCAAGTCTCCAAGGACACCATTGTCCATCTCCTCGCGGGAATTCATCTCGCCGGCTCCATCGAAGGCATGGCATTCTGCAAACATCTGGGCGTGGACCGCAACATCATGTATGAGATTATCAGTAAAGCGGCCGGCTGGAATGCCATGTTCACCCGACCGGATACCATTCAAGCCATGTTGGCCAACGATCAGTGGACTCTTGCAGATTGTCCTGCTGCCGAGCAAGTGGGCCACAACTTGAGTGAGGCAGTGGAGAAGTGTCGAATGCTGCGGTATCCTTGTCCTATGGCGAATATCGCGTTGCAGCAATACTACTTTGCTGGCCTGGCAAAGAAGACGATTGGAAAACAGGACAGAGGTGGACATTCGTAGAAAAGGAAGAAGAAGAAAGAGGTATCTTTAAAATGTCTCGCACCTGCCTCAGGATTCCTCACATGAGGAAAAGCTCCCAAAACTCCCCACCCAAACTCCAGCGCTCGAACAAATACCGTACGGAGACAAACAAACAAACAGCCAGCCAGCCAGCCAGACAAACAGACAAACATCAGAATGCATCATCAATCATCCCATCCCATCTCATTCCATTTTCAATTCCACCCCACAATCCCCTGTCCCACGAGCAAATGATCTCGAATCAAACTCACCCGCCTGCCCACAATCCCCTCCCCTCCCACACCCAAATCAAACCGACTCGCCAGCGAAAAAGGCATTCGATTTTGGATTTTTGCAGGAATTTCAATTCGATGTAGAATTGATTCACAATCAATAGGGTCCGAAGAGGAAGATGAAGAAGATGAAGAAGCAGCAGCAGCAGCAGAACAACTCAGATCGCCATCTCGACTAATGTTTTTAATGAATCCTGTTAGTTTTTGTTCTTTCTGTATCCTTTTCTTTTTTCAAGAAACTTACTGAATAATAAAATGACTACTCCGATAATGACTCTCCCCTCCTCGAGCAGCAGTAGCAGTAGCAGTCGCAGTAGTAGAAGATTCCGACGAAGAAAAATCATGAAGATCCAAACCATCAATAGTGACTGTCGTTCGACCGTTTGCACAATCGTCGTCTAGTCGTAAAGAAACCTCTCTGCTCAGTGTGGCGGGTCGTTTTGTTGATGATGATGATGTTTTCGTTGTTGTCGATGTAGTTGCGCTTCTCTGTATAGGTTGCAACACCACGATTCGACCGCCTTGACTTGCTCTTCCGTTGCCGTTGCACATGATTGTTTGATTGCGTGAACTTTTGGTGGTGGCTTGCAGGTATTGTAATTGTAGGATTTGTATTTGTATTGTATTGTCTTGTAAGAGGATGAGAACGCTTTCTGTATTACAACAGTAGAGGTATATGTGATTGTGGTGGCTTCGAAACGCTTGCTATATGCCCAAGCAAAATCTAGAAGAATTGTACCGGGTAAGGTACTGTGCAATCAGCGTGGGATAAAATAAACAAAGTGGCAGCGGCGACTTTGATGTTCAACTGCAATGGAATAGTCACGTGCAGTCCAACAGGGGTGGCCGCGAATGAATGAGAAAGCTTGAGGTTGATTTGAGCACGTTTCAGGAATCCGACGAGATCAAGTGGATTATTGTCGTACCTGTAAAGGACCTTAGCGCTCTCCGGTGTCAATATACTTGTCAGTACCTCCTAGCGGTGAAGGTGTTCGGGTCACGACCTGTCTTCAGCATCTCCGAATCGTTGCATACTGGAAGGTGCACAGTGGTACGCGCAAATTGCACTCATCGAGTGTTGTATTACCAAACAATACAGAGTCTCCGTCCCTGTCCCGCCCGGTTGAATGGGGTATCAAAATGCTTCAGATTCCAACGCCATCATCATGGAGAGAAAGCACTTTTCTCACTGGTCTCCTTGTTGAAGAAGCCGTGCTGCCCGGTTGAACGCCTCGCTAAATCCATCTTTTCGTTATCACGTTAAGGTGTAGATGTCCCCGCCTCTCTTGTCGTCTATATTCTAATTGTTCTGCGCGCTGTTGGAGCTGGCAGCTTTGTCTGCGCCATTGACAGCGTTGTTGCCATCAGGTACGCCGTTTGTCTCCGGTAAATCGCCATTGGTATCGGCATGTCCATTGACACCGGGGACCTCAGCGATGTCCTGGAGACCGGGTGCTTGGAGCCCATCGAAAATAGGGAATATGCCTTGCTGCTGGCGGAAGTCATTGTGCACAATATTGACCAGGTACCAATTCTGAGTAATCTCGCGGATGATCTTGCGACTCTCGCTGCCTTCGTCGTAGCATTTGCTCCACTCCAGACCCAGATGATAAAACTCATCTCTCCATGCGAGGAAAGATACGGTCTCTACGATGGTGGGCTGCACGATTTCCTTGCCTGGGAACACTCCCCAAGTGACGGCGTTTGGACCACCATCGGTAGGCGCGTTTGTCTTCAGCTCGCCGGTGCAGTTGACAGCATAGTAGGTGATGTCAGGATCGCGATCCATACGAGAAATGACAGTGTCGATCAAGGTCGGCGAGATGAGCACTTCGAGATACTGCTTCTGGTACACATAGCCGTTTCGTGGACCCCAGCCATAGGTCGGGTGCGAGGATTTGACGCCATCTACCGCAGGCTGGGAGTTGATAGTGAGCAGACCACGACTGTTCAACTTGACAAGATCGTCAACGAGAGTATTTGCCTCGTCGTTGATCTTGGCCTCGGACCATGGCAACGATTCAACCTTGCCTCGCATGTAGCCTACGAAGAGATTGACAATATCCTGCATCGATTTGGGCTCACCCCAGATCTTGCGATTCTGCTCATTGGTGCCCTTCAAGCCAATGCCGTACTCATCCAAGCCGCCAAAGGCGGGAGATCTGCTATCTCCCCAGCGGCCGTTCGGGAACTCATCCCAGTCCTGCGTACGTGCAACGTATGCGCGATTTCGGTTTCGCCAAAAGATCGGTCGCACATTCTCTTCTCGTCGATTGAGACCGAGAGATTGCCGCCATGGAAGAGGCTTGAGATCTGGATGAGGACTTTCCGCAGGCGGTAGCAAATCCAGCTTTTCGAGCACCATTGTGACAGCCTGTGCTAGATTCATGGTGTAGAAGTGCAGGTGCATCAGACCAAAGTCAAGCAGCTTCTGGCAGAACTCGACGATCAGGTCACGTCCGACTTCCCTTACAGCGGCATCGTCATTTTTGATGGGCTCTAGTGCCTCCATCCAATGTGGTGGAACATGCGCCTTTGTCCAGTTTGCTCGCCTCAGAAAAGCTGCGTAGGTGGAGATTGGCATAATGCCTGGGATGATCGGCACAGTTTCCGGAATGCCAGCAGCGCGACACTTCTTCACCCAATCAATGAAGATGTCTGCATCGTAGCACATCTGAGCCACGATGAAAGTGCCGCCAGCTTCCACCTTTTCCTTCAGATATATGATATGCTCATCTGCTCCGCAAGTCTCATCCAGTCCCTCTGGGTAGCCTGCGATACCAATGTCAAAATGGTCACCATATGTCTTCTTGATGTGGACAATCAAGTCCTTGGCGTATCTGAATCCGCCCTCGGTAGCCTCCCACTTCTCCTGCTCTCTGGGCGGGTCACCTCTGAGGGCCAGAATGTTGGTGCAGCCAGCTTTGTAAGCTTCCTTCAACGCATCATCGATCTTGCTCCGCTCCATGTCTGTACAGGTCAGATGCATGCATGTCTCCAGGCCATAGGCAGTCTGCGCCACCTTGACCATTTCACAGGTCAGAGACGAGTGCCGGCCACCAGCGCCCCATGTCACATCAATGAAAGCTGGGCCGAGCCCGTGCATCATGTCCATACGGTCGTACAGGTTCTGCACACCCTGTGCCGTCTTTGGCGGGAAGTACTCGAACGAGCATGTCGCCTGGCCCTTGCTGTGAGCCTGCCGGAGTTTTTCGGTGATGTGCATGGTGATCTTCGAGTGCTCGGTGTCGACGAAGCGTTATATCGGTAGTTTCGTGTTGGGTTGGCGGAAGGTGGAGAGTGAGAGTGGACTGTCGGTGAGTGTCAATGGCGGGTCAGCACGACGGGGCCAATAAATGTCGGTAGCGGCGGCAAAGAGGAGCAACAAGAAGAGGGAGGACGGTAGACGTACTGTCGTGGATTGTGGTGGCGGGTGTGATGGCAAGTCGGAAAGTCTGGTTTCAGCGTTGGTGGTTTGCTTGCTTGAAGGTTGCTTGCTTTCTTGCTGGAACTACCCACCTAGTTCTTCCTGGAGTATGCCTTGAAATCGACCAATTCGCCGTAGTTTCCGTTGTATAATGACATTCCGCCGAGTTGATTAGCACACGGTGTGCATGATGGTCGAGCGGAGGGAGGAGTAGGAGGTAGTGGTGGTGTCAGGTAGTGGAATTGGAAATAATGTTGGAGGAAGAAAGATGGAGTGGAACAAGCCCCCCACCTCCCCAAATCTCCAACAAAATCCTCGCTGTGATCACGCACTAATGGAAAAAGTCCCTGTTTGTGCTCGGTCCGACATCGCATCGCCGTGAGTGGTTACGTGCACTACTATTATTCTTCATACATTGTACATCCATGTACCTTAGGTACCTTATTCATTCATCTACCATGACAAAGAGTCGAGGTGTTCTTTATCATCGCGACAGCGGCAGCCTCCTTGCCAAAGCAGCATCGATAATCCAATACGTGCGATTCGGTATGCCGCCGGATGCATGTAATAGTCTCTTGAATGTAAGGTACAATGGCATTATGAGCACATGAGGTCTTGTCCATTACGCCCTCGCTCGGACACGCCACCATCACCACCGCGTTCAGGCGCTAGCACAATGCCCTCCGTCGACTCTCAGGTCTGCTCCCGTCATCCAGCTGCTGCCAGGCGCCAACAAGAAGATTGCTGGGCCCTTGAAGTCCTCCACCGCTCCCAGACGTCCGAGCAAGGCACCGCCCATCCACAGCGGCTCGAGATGTGGCTCCTCTTTCAACAGTGCATCCGTCATTGCTGTACGGATGTACCCTGGCGACAGTGTGTTGACCCTGATGCCATATTGTCCCACTTCTTGGGCCATGGATCTCGCCATTTGGTGAACAGCAGCTTTGCTACTGTTGTACGCTGTGCAGTGCAGCCCACGATTGGCGATCGTCCCAGACATGCTGGCGATCAAGACGATGCTGCCTTTGATGTTATTCTTGATGAACAACCTGGAGGCGTGCTTTGCTGTCAAGAATGTGCCCGTGACGTTTACAGACAGCATACGGTTGAAATCCTCTGCGGGATAGTCAACAGCGAGTGTCTTTTGCTGAATGCCCGCACAGGCAATGATACCGCTGAAAGGCGCTATTCGTGATGTCTCACGCGAGGCAATCTCGTCGAACGTCATCTGGATGTCGTTCTCGTTTGTGATGTCGCACTTGCTATACGTTGCGGAAACTCCAGACTTCTTCGCCAGAGATTGAATGACGACCCATTCCTTTTCTGCTGGTGCGGGCAGAACATCGAGACAAGCAACATGGCCGCCTGCCTCGATGACTGCAATCGCGAGAGTGATGCCAAGCCCTCTGCCTCCGCCAGTGATGGCAATGGTCTGACCTGCAAGAGAGAACAAAGCTGGCGACGGTGCATTGGCGGTGCTGATTTGAGTCTCTGGCGTTGGTTCCGTTGGTGGAGGCGCGAAATCGCTGATTGCACCCGGTGCCATGGCTGCCCGCGGTTATATTGGTGCGTCACTGGGTTTGTGGTAACCTGAAGACTTTGGCGTGGAAGTGAGCAGCGCGACAATGAGTTAACGCATGCGACTGACACGAGGGAGAAGCGAAATATACTCGTTCCATTGCTCAGGTTCGCTGAGTGTGCTCGCTCTCAGCTATGTCACCATAGCGGGCCACCATCAAGTCTGAGTCCGGGGGCGAAAAGCTCTCACCCGACATCGACGTCGTTTGCCAATGCCATAAAATGTTGGTGGAACCCATCATACCACTACTGTGTACGTGTTTGTGGGGACGCGTGGAAAGAAAACAACCCAATGGTGGGGGAGTGTCTGTCAAGACTGGGAATCGTCTGGAATAGGCAATCCGACTGGTGCTACCCATGGCAAGGAAGGGTCAGTGAAGCGCTTCCAGATACTTTGTTCGCGGAAGAGGCAATGCCGTCGCTCCCATCTAGCCGACACGCTATCCTCACTGCCAGGAACACCTCCCTTCTCCATCCCAAGTACACCAAGTACAGCCTTGTACCGTCCAGCATTGGCCCCCGACTTCCCCAGATCAGGATGCGATAGGCTTTGGTCAGCTATGCATAGCAATGTGGCGGCCTGCCCTGCGTGAGGAGGCCACGCTGACCTACGTATTCGCCTTCTTTTTCGTAGGTATATCAGTCCCGTTTCATATGCTCCCCTCACCTTTTTCATTGCTCATTACCTATTGCTTCTATCTTCCACAGCACCTGTTTGAAAACATTGAATTGTAATATACTAGGAATCACGACAACGCGAATACCCACAATGGCACCAGGAGCGATTATCTCCCAGCAGGATGTTGACCATCTGCCCCTTCAACTGGATGGAAAGGGTAGTGGCGCCAGCAAGACCGCTCCAGTAGAGGATATCAAGATGGAGGAGCAAGAGAAGACGAAGAAGGTCCTCAGCACATTCCGATGCCTCATTGCAGATCTTTGCCATCAATTCGGTTGTGGTCATCCTGGGTAAGGACGCCTTCGCATCTATATACACAAATCGCAAGCTAATGGAGCACAGCTCGGCCATGGGCATGGCAGCAATTGGCGTGGCCCTTTGGAAATACGTAATGAAGATCTCTCCTCACAACCCAGACTACTTCAACAGAGATCGTTTCGTGCTCAGCAATGGCCATACTTGTCTGTGGCAATACACATTTCTCCACCTGGTGGGCTTCAAGCAGATGACATGGGAGCAGCTCCTTTCATATCACTCTGTTAGATACGATTCCATCACACCTGGACATCCCGAGATTGAGATCGATGGTGTCGAGGTGACTACTGGACCACTCGGACAAGGCATTTCCAATGCTGTCGGTCTCGCCATGGCTACGAAGCACCTGGGGGCCCAATACAACAAACCGGGATTTGAACTCGTCAACAATATGACGTGGTGCACAATTGGAGATGCTTGCTTGCAGGAGGGCGTTGGAATGGAGTCCATCCAGCTTGCAGGTCACTGGAAGCTCAACAACCTCTGTGTCATCTTTGACAGGAATGAGGTCACCTGCGATGGCACTGTTGATATCTGCCAATCGGACAACATCAACATGAAGATGGAGGCATGTGGATGGCGCGTGCTCGAGGTCGAAGATGGCAACCACGATGTCGAGAGCATTGTCAAGGCGCTTGTGCAGGCGCGTGCAGAGAAGGAGAAGCCTACGTTTATCAACATTCGCACTACCATTGGAGTTGGTAGCCAAGCACAAGGCAAGGCATCCACACACGGTGCCGACTTGGGCGAGGAAGATATCGCCTTTGTCAAGAAGGCTTTCGGAATGGACCCAGCGAAGACTTTCGACGTGTCGGACGAAGTATACGATTACTTCCGTGAGGTCGTGCCGCGAGGCAAGGACCTCGAGAAGCAATGGGCGCAGCTGCGCGAAGCTTATGCGAAGGAGTATCCCGACCTCGCTGCTGAATTTGACAAGCGTGTCAAGGGCGAAATGATTGAAGATTGGACCAAGCTCGTTCCCAAGCTCGAAGACTTTCCTACAGAGGACACCCCATCGCGAAAGTCGGCTGGTCAATGCATCCAGCCAATTGCGTCGAAGATCAACACGCTCATGGTTGGGACAGCAGATCTCACTCCATCGGTCAACATGTCCTGGAAAGACAAGGTGGACTTCCAGCACCCTGATCTACGAACAGTCAGCGGGCCCAATGGCGATTACACTGGCCGGTACATCCACTGGGGTATCCGAGAACACGCCATGGCTTCCGCGTCAAATGGCATGGCAGCCTTCAACAAAGGTACCATTCTGCCCATCACATCCAGTTTCTTCATGTTCTACATCTACGCCGCGCCAGGTCTTCGCATGGGTGCTCTGCAAAGCCTCCAGACAATTCACATTGCCACGCACGACTCCATCGGAACTGGCGAGGATGGTCCTACCCATCAGCCAATCGAGCTCGCAGCACTCTACCGCGCTATGCCAAACTTCTTGTACATTCGTCCTTGCGATGGAGAGGAAGTCGCAGGTGCCACGATCCTGGCCATTGGAGCGAAGAACACACCTTCTATGATCTCAGTTTCGAGGCAAAAGGTCCCACAATACCCAAAGCACTCCTCTCGCGACGGTGTACAGAAGGGTGCCTACGTCTTCATCGAAGAAGAAAACGCAGATGTCACCCTCATCGGTGTCGGCGCGGAAATGCGCTTCGCTGTTGAAGCACGAGAAGAACTCGCCAAGTCTGGCATCAAAGCTCGAGTGGTCTCATTCCCTTGCCAGAGGGTTTTCGAAGCACAATCGAAAGAGTACAGACGATCCGTGCTGGGCTCTGCGCCGAGAGTTGTCATCGAGGCTTACTCGCCTAATGGCTGGGAGCGATATGCTGATGCTGGCTACTCGATGCACTCGTTTGGTCAGTCCCTGACGGGAAATGTGGTGTACAAGCGATTCAACTTTGAGGGACACAAGATTGCGGATAAGGTCAAGGGATTGCTCGAGGAGGTCAAGAAGGATGGCGTGGAAATACTCAGAGGCGATTTCAGGGATTTGAACGACTATGAGCACGATATTCAATTTGCTGCGTATCACAAGAAGTAGGGGGGAAACGGAAATGTTGAACTAGTAGGAAGGATGATTCTTGGTTTTATGTTTGCGATTTAGCGTATGATACGATGAGTGAAAGTTTGCTTGATCACTTCTGTCCTCAATTTTCTGACTCAGGTGCTTCGCTTTTGTTATCACTCGTTTCTGATTTCTGATTTCTGATTTCTGATGCTGTGTTGCGTGATGCTCTCTCTGCCGCTGATCGTGCGCTCAAAAGCGGCTGGCAGTGCGAATCGACGTGAGCAGCGAATCTGGCGGGCGCTTAAAGTACTCCAGAACGAGCAAAAGCTCATTCAGCAGGTAAGGCCCACTGAGAATGAATGGTATTGAGAGGCGTGGAAAGTGAAGGGAAGTCGGAGAGTGAGTGATGAGTGAGTGAGTGAGGTCCAGAGAGTTCGGCCGGCCTTTGCCGAATCGGCTGCAACATCATCATCAGCGCCAGACAGCTACACGTCCTCGAGCATACCTTACACAACAACAACCATGGCTCTCCCCTCATCCGCGTACAAAGACCGACAGTTCCTCGCCGTCATTGGTGATGAGGTACATACATATACCTCTCCAGATGCTCCCATCCACGATCTAACACCCATTTCTTCTTTCAGGACTCCGTAACAGGCATCCTGCTCGCGGGCGTAGGCGTATGTCGCTATCCAACTCTTCCCTTCTGCTTCTTCTTCTTCTTCCTCAGCACTGCAAGCTCTCACAGTACTCTCTGACATCCAATCCGTCTCAACATAGCATGTCACAGACCCACCAGACGCACAAAAAAACTACCTCGTCGTCGATGCCAAAACCCAGGACTCCCACATCGAAGGCGCTTTCGACCAGTTTACGAAGGAGAGAAAGGATATTGCGATTTTGTTGATTAACCAACATGTACGTCTTTCCTCGAACAACACATAGCAAAGAACAATACTCTATCGACGTGAGATGCGTGGAAGAAGAGTGATAGACAGAAAGAGAAAGAGAAAAGCTAATACATCCGCCCCAAACAGATCGCAGATCGGATACGTTCCAAAGTCGACGCATACAACGACGCTTTCCCCTCATTATTAGAGATTCCGAGTAAAGACCACCCTTACGATCCCGAAAAGGACAGTGTGATGAAGAGGGTCAGGAAGTTGTTTGGAGAGTAGAGTTAAGAGTAAGACAAGGCCAAACTTGCGCACGGCACGACACGTACGATGTGCGAAGAAGAAAAATCACAAGAAAAGAAGCTCGATGTGAGGTGTGTGAACACCATGAGAAGATCCCAGCTGCGCATGAAAACAGGAGGAGGAGGAGGAGGAGAAGGTGGTGGTGGTGGTGGTGGTGGTGGTGGTGGTGGTGGTGCAAGGGAGAGAGGGAACGTGAAAGATATATACCCGAGATACCCTCCCGAAAACAAAAGAGATGTGGTTCACAGCTATGCGGACCCTTTTGTGACCTCAGATTCGCGATGTGATTCGTTTCGAGGGACGGAAAAAGAAAGAAATCGGTGATCATACAAACGCTCATTCTCTGTCTCTCTCTGTGTGTGTTTGTGTCTCTGTCTCAAGAATGATGGAAATCGATATCATCTTTCGCGGCAGAAGAACTTGGTTTACATGTAGGTACATGAGTTTGGTGTAGTGCTATGTTCATACATACGTAAATACGTCAAAATACATTAGTGCTCGCTCGCTCTGATTCGCCATGCTAAGGGAAATACTGATACTGGAATATTATATACTCCGACGGGGGAGGCAGAGAGAGAGAGAATGAGAGAGAAGTCGATCCAAATGGATGATGTACCAAAAGACGTGCTGGGCTGGTCAGATGGTGGCGACAACTCAGAATAGTGCTTGAATGACTTGTTTCGCCTTCTTCACACCGCATCTCAATCCATTCGTCGTTGAAACTTCCAGACCTTCGACCCCTCCCTCTAGGTACTACCTCCATCGCTTTATCCAAAGCAAGCCTACAGCCCCTCCTTGAACAATCCAGTACCCACAAGGCCACCTTTTCCAAAGGCTACGGTCGCCTTCAAGCACGTAATGCCATCTCCACCCTTGCTCACCACATTGGCCTCGACACTGTACGTCCCCGGAGGAATCTGGGCTGGGAGATCCACATCCTTGGTCAAAGTGATATCACCCTTCTTCAGAGGACATTCCAGATCCACTTTTGTCACTGTATCGCATAGATCGGCTTCCTGGCGGATGATGGTGATGAGGCCGTACTTGACGGACAAGTGGACTTTGGCGCCATCTTCGACGTCTTCGGCGAGGACTCCGGAGGCGGTGATTGTGAGGGTTGAGCCTCTAGAAGGTGGGTTAGCTTGTATAATCGCTGTAAGGCGGAAGAGTAGATAGGCAGGGAGCTGTCTGGTATCGTCGTCGGAAGCAAAGACTCACGCTTTAGGAGGGTTTGGGCTCAGATCAACTTTCTTGATGGCGAGGATGTCCTCCTTGGGGTCTTTGCAGTGCTCGAGCGGGTTCTCGCCAGGCACCGAGAGGTTGGAGTCGCGCTTGTGGATGGTCGAGCGTGCGGTGGCGGCGGTGGCCAGGAGGGCGGAGGATAGGATGGTGAGGAGCTTCATGGTGGCGCGCGGTCGTCTCTACGTGCTGTGTATACGTGTCGAGACGAGACTATTGTAGTGTGGAAGAAGAGAGAGCGTGAGACTAACGGCTCATGTCGAGCGTGGTATAGGTAGAGGTATAGGTCGGGATGCACACAACGGCGCTAAGAGGACGTCACTGTCCAGCCATGTGATCCTCAGCCACATCTCATCTCATCCCGCTCCCGCATTCGTCTCCACGCAGATTAAGGCATCACTAGTTGGTGCCTGATCGTCTTAGGGGTCCATGGATTTTGGAAGCAACGACAGCTGGTCCATTGAACAGCCATAAGTCAGTACCTACTGCACCACCCATATTCACCCTCCACCTCACCTATACCAATCCTCCCGGTCACTGCAATTGTCCCTTCCTCTGCCGCCACATTGCACAGAGAGGCATATCGCATTCTCGGGCATGGGGAGTCTCTAGAGCGACAGCTGGACTTTCACTGCACTCATATCAGCACCGCCGCTGCGACCCACTCCCCAAAACCCCGATCCATCCCTTGCATACCATTAGACGACTACCACCATGAAGCTCGACGTAAAGGTAAATGCATACTTGCCTGAGCGCAACGAGGTACGATGGATTCGCCTAACATCGTCCAGAGACAGCTGTTTGCGCGCAGTGAGCGTGTCAAGGGCATCGACTTTCACCCCACCGAGCCATGGATCCTCACCACTCTTTACAGTGGCCACGTCTACATCTGGTCGTACGAAACACAATCCATCGTCAAAACATTCGAGCTGGCCGATGTGCCTGTGCGAGCCGGTCGCTTCATCGCTCGCAAGAACTGGATAGTCTGCGGAAGCGATGACTTCCAGCTGCGAGTCTACAACTACAACACTTCCGAGAAGATTACGAGCTTCGAAGCACATCCCGACTACATTCGCGCCATCGTTGTTCACCCCAGCCAGCCTTTCGTTCTGACTGCTAGTGATGACATGACGATCAAGCTTTGGGATTGGGACAAGGGCTGGCAATGTGTGCAAGTCTTCGAGGGGCACAACCACTATGTGATGGGCCTTGCGATCAATCCCAAGGACACAAATACCTTCGCCTCGGCATGTCTCGATCGGACTGTGAAGATTTGGAGTTTGGGCTCAAGAACGGCAAACTATACTCTGGAAGCGCATGAGACGAAAGGAGTGAATCACGTCGACTACTATCCGCAGTCTGACAAGCCATATCTTTTGACGACTTCCGATGATCGGACAGTCAAGATCTGGGACTATACAACAAAGGCGCTAATTGCGACATTGGAAGGCCACACATCGAATGTGTCGTTTGCCTGCTACCACCCGGAGCTGCCGGTCATCATTTCCGGCTCAGAAGATGGCACGGTCAAGATATGGCATGCTAACACATACCGGCTCGAACAGTCGCTCTCATACGGCTTGGAACGCGCATGGTGTGTTTCGTACCAGCGCGGAAAGCAGGGCATTGCCATGGGTTTTGATGATGGTGCAGTCGTAGTGAAGATGGGTCGTGAAGAGCCAGCAGTCTCAATGGATGGATCCGGCAAGATCATTTGGGCACGACATTCGGAAATCCTCACATCTGTCATCAAAGGTGGTGACAAATCTGTCAAGGATGCACAGCCTATATCTTTGCCTTCAAAAGATCTTGGCAGCACTGAAATTTACCCTCAAACATTGCTCCACTCACCAAATGGACGATTCGTGGCTGTCTGTGGAGACGGCGAGTACATCATCTACACAGCACTTGCACTTCGAAATCAAGCCTTTGGGTCAGCACTGGACTTCGCTTGGGCGTCAAAAGACAATGACAAGGACTATGCGATCCGGGAATCACAGTACTCGGTCAAGATCTACCGCAACTTCAAGCCAAAGGGGGGCGACGGCACAGTCAACGTTGGCTACACTGCAGATGGCTTGAGTGGTGGTGTCCTACTTGGTATCAAAGGCCAAGGTGGAATTGGCTTTTTTGACTGGGAAACTGGCAAGCTTGTTCGCCGCATCGAAGTCGAGCCTAAGAACGTCTACTGGTCAGAGTCGGGTGAGCTTGTTGCTCTAGCATGCGAGGACACGTTTTATGTACTCCGCTACTCGAGGGAGCAATATGTGGCTGCTGTGCAGTCTGGCGCCGTGGAAGACGATGGTGTTGAGGATGCCTTTGAAGTGGTTTGCGACATCAACGAGAGCGTACGAACCGGACAGTGGGTGGGTGATTGCTTCGTCTACACCAACAGCACGAATCGCCTCAACTATCTGGTGGGTGACCAGACATACACTGTCTCGCACTTCGACCAGCCATACTACGTTCTGGGTTACCTCACACGCGATGGGCGTGTCTACGTCTGCGACAAGGATGTCAACGTCATTTCATTTGCTCTCTCTGTCAGTGTCATTGAATTCCAGACTCTGGTACTCCGAGGTGAGCTTGAGTCTGCAATGGCAATGCTGGAAGAGGGTGAGATTCCCGAAGAGCAGAAGACGAAGATTGCACGGTTCCTCGAGGGCCAGAACTACAACGAAGAAGCTCTTCAGGTGTCCACAGACAACGAGCATCGATTTGAGCTCGCACTCGGACTTGGAGAGCTAGATATCGCGCTTGACCTCGCCAGACAGGCTGACGTCGAGCACAAATGGAAGACCGTCGGCGATGCGGCACTGGCCCGGTTCAACATTGCTCTCGCCGAGGAGTGCTTTCGTAGCGCCAAGGACCTGAGCTCTCTCCTCCTTCTTTACACATCATCGGCCAGCGAGGATGGTCTGCGGTGGGTGGCAAGCAAGGCGCAAGAAGTCGGGCAACACAACGTCGCCTTTACATGCCTATGGAGTGTTGGAGATGTCGACGCATGTCTCGACCTTCTCATCAAGACCGATCGACTTGCGGAAGCCGTTCAGACTGCACACACATACAAGCCTTCGCGGCTGTTGGAGATTGTAGGGCTGTGGAAGGCGTCATTGGAGAAGATTGGAAAGGGAAAAGTGGCGCGACTGATTGGCTCCCCTGACCAAGATCCGGATATGTTCCCCAACTTTGAAGAGTCTTTGCGACTAGAGCAAGAAGGTGGCGGACACGCCGATCTGATAGACGTGAACGGCGGCGAAGAGGAGACCCAAGCCACTGCCGAGGCGGATCAGGAAGAGGTGGAGGCCGAGCAAGAGGTGGAGCCCGAAGCCGAAGCCGAAGAATAGAGCAAAACAAGTAGTGATATGATAGCGAAAATTCTTGATCCCATTCCTGGGGTTCATATGTGCAAGATTCAAGGACAGCTTGTAGCGTCGCGACGTAATGAACATTATCTACAGGTATAATTTGTCCTCGAATTTCGAAACCTCGGGATCAGATATGAACAGAGTGCAATCGATATTACCCTTCATGATCCCTTGCAAACACCCCCAACGAGCACTGTGTTGTACCCGCAGCATGTCAATAGTCTAAGGTAGGCATCAGTCTTCACTTGCCGTCAAGGCATGTTGGTTGATTGGTTCTCGCTCGTCCAACGGCAACGAGGAGATTCCTTCGTTCAAGAAGCAACACATATCACGTTCGCGTGTCCATTGTAAAGAGTGCATCGTCTTCCGCGAAACTGGATCTAGTTGACTTTTCGGGGCGCTTGTGAATTCGTTTGATCTTTGGACTTGGGGTTGTCTTGGGGGTGGGCAGTCTTGCTGCGCCGCTTCTTACAAACTGCCTGCAGCAGTAGTGATAATGGTGGTGGTAGCAGTGGTCAAGAGAGCATGGTTTGACGCGAGGTGAAAGAGAAGCGAGAAGTATGAGGTAGGTGGTGAAGAGACATACAGACAGAATAAATGTATGACCGAAGTTGATGCGGCTCTGGATTGAGTCAAGGTCAAGGTGGCGACGACATCGGCGACGGTGACGCGATTTCTCCGGCCGCCTGGAGAGTCGAAGGCGAATAGACGTACTCCATGCAGTTAGGCCGATGCTTCATAATCATGCATACATGTACATGCTTGTCTCTTGTCTACCGACTGAGCACTCCGCCATCTGCTCTGGTACTGTACGCTTCTCCTTCTACTACTCCTTCTTCTTCTTCTTCTCCTTCTCCTTGTACCATATAACACCCCATCGCAGCGCCAGCCCATATCAATCGTAGCCTGCACCTCTCCAGCCTTCTGCCACCGCCACCAGAGCCGCAGAGCTATCTTCACCAGGTACTATAGCATGGTCTACGGCCGAGGGCAGGCATGGCGAGCTGCCTGGCGACAATCGCAACACCGAGCCTATACCACTGCACGCGCACCATGTAGGGCATGTCTGGCGCAACTGTCAGTGCGGCCATCAGCACTGTCAGCGCAACGGAGCATACCATCTTTCGCACCACGAGCGTTGCTAGCAGCGTCACGCGACTTTTCAACAACGCCCGGCCGGCGGAAAGAGAAGCCTCCTCCTGCAGATGATGATGCCAAGGACGATGCGAAGGTGGATGTCAGCGAAGCGGATGAGCACGAAGCAAAGAGCAAGTCGGAGCCGACGCCTTCGCCTATACCGGTGGACGGCAAAGCTGCAGGCGCAGGTGCTGGCGGCAGTGGCGAGTCGGGATCAGGCAATGGTGATGGAGGCGGCAGCAAGAAGCGAAAGGGCCCTAGCAGAGAGCTCACCAAAACGGTGGCGCCAGAGGTGTATCCTCAAGTGCTGGCCATTCCCATCGCTCAACTGCCACTGTTTCCGGGATTCTACAAAGCTGTCACGATACGAGACCCCAATGTCGTTGCAGCGGTTCAGGAGCTGCTGAAGCGTGGACAGAGCTACGTCGGAGCTTTCTTGTTGAAGGACCAGGAGAGCAGCCAGGATGTGATCAATGATGCGAGCGAAGTGTATGATGTGGGCACTTTTTGCCAGATCACAGGTGCATTTCCCGCCGGCCATGGCGACGAGAAGTCTCTGCAGGCTGTGCTGTATCCGCATCGAAGGATCAAGTTGAGCGAGCTGATTAAGCCCAATCGAGGCCCACCAGCTGCACCGGAAGCTGAGAAGGTTGCACAGGCCACGCTGGAGGAAGTCTCTCAGAGCGAGCAAGGCGAACAGCCCGAGACGGACGAGAAGCAAGGCGGCGTAGTTGCAAGCTTCGAAGAGTCTTCAGCCGAGAAGAAGGAAGAAGAAAAGGCTCTCTTCCAACCGACGGATTTCCTGCGATCGTGGCCTGTGAGCCTAGTCAAGGTCGACAATCTGGCGGATGAGCCATTCGACAAACGATCGCCCACTGTCCGAGCCTTGATCTCCGAGATCGTCAACACTTGCAAGGAGATCAGCCACGTGAATGCTCTATTCCGGGACCAAGTCTCTGCCTTCGCCATGTCGCAGTCCGCCACCAATATCTCCGAAGAGCCTGCAAGACTGGCAGATTTCGCTGCCACAGTCTCACGAGGCGAGATGGAAGAGACGCAGGCAGTTCTGGAGGCATTGAACATCGAGCAGCGTCTCAGCAAAGCACTCGAACTCATCAAGAAGGAGCAAATGAATGCGAAATTGAGCAGCAAGATCTCCAAGGATGTGGAGAGTAAGATACAGAAGCGTCAACGAGAATACTGGCTCATGGAACAGATGAAGGGCATCCGACGAGAACTCGGGCTCGAGAGCGATGGCAAGGACAAGCTGGTGGAGAAGTTCAAAGAGAAGGCCAATAAGCTGGCGATGCCAGAGCCGGTCAAGAAGGTCTTCGACGAAGAACTAGCCAAGCTTGCACATCTGGAGCCTGCCGCGAGCGAGTTCAACGTGACGAGAAACTATCTGGACTGGCTGACACAGATTCCCTGGGGTCAGCGCAGCGCCGAGAACTTTGGCATTCAGCACGCACGGGATGTGCTGGACGAAGATCACCACGGACTTAAAGATGTCAAGGATCGCATCCTCGAGTTTATCGCGGTCGGCAAGCTGCGAGGCACTGTTGAGGGCAAGATCTTGTGCATGGTAGGACCACCGGGTGTCGGGAAGACGAGTATCGGGAAATCTATCGCTCGTGCGCTGAATAGACAGTATTACCGTTTCAGTGTCGGCGGGTTGACAGATGTTGCTGAGATCAAAGGACACCGAAGGACATACGTTGGTGCTCTGCCTGGTCGAATCATTCAAGCACTCAAAAAGTGTCAGACTGAGAACCCTCTGATACTCATAGATGAAGTGGACAAGATCGGCCGTGGGCACCAAGGCGATCCGTCTAGTGCACTGCTTGAACTACTGGACCCAGAACAAAACAATTCGTTCTTGGACCACTACATGGACGTGCCTGTGGATCTGTCCAAGGTGCTATTTGTCTGCACAGCCAACATGCTCGACACCATTCCTCGACCGTTGCTGGACAGAATGGAGATCATTGAGCTTTCTGGCTACGTCTCGGACGAGAAGATGGCTATTGCAGAGCGATACCTCGCACCACAAGCAAAAGAGCTTAGTGGCCTGAAAGAAGTCGATGTCAATTTGGATAAGGAGGCTCTATTAGAGCTGATTAACAAGTACTGCCGCGAGTCTGGTGTGCGTAATTTGAAGAAGCAGATTGAGAAGGTCTATCGCAAGTCCGCATTGAAGATCATCCAGGATCTTGGCGAAGAAGTGTTCACGGAAGAGGCGGCACTTACAGACGAAGGCAAGGCTGCTGCAGAGGAGTCTAAGAAGGACGAAAGTGACCCCAAGGATACTCCGGAAAATATCGCAAAAGAAACCACAGAGAAACCTCGTGTGGCACTGAAGGTTCCGGACTCTGTTCATGTCACGATTGGCAAGGACAATCTCAAGGACTACGTTGGTCCGCCCGTCTTCACATCTGATCGCCTGTACGACACCACCCCGCCAGGTGTAGCAATGGGTCTCGCCTGGACACAAATGGGAGGAGCAGCGCTCTACGTAGAATCTATCATCGAGAACGCTCTCACCTACAACTCCCGACCAGGTCTGGAACGGACAGGCAATCTGAAGGCAGTCATGAAGGAGTCTACACAAATTGCATACTCCTTCGCGAAGGGTCTCATGGCCAAGCAGTTCCCAGACAACAAGTTCTTTGAGAAGGCGCGGATACATTTGCATTGTCCCGAAGGTGCTGTACAAAAGGATGGCCCTTCAGCTGGCATAACAATGGCGACATCTCTGCTCTCACTGGCACTGGACAAACCACTGGACCCCACAATTGCGATGACCGGAGAGCTAACAGTAACCGGCAAAGTCCTTCGCATCGGAGGGCTTCGAGAGAAGACTGTTGCAGCAAGGCGAGCAGGCTCGAGAATGATCCTCTTTCCACGCGATAACTTGAGTGATTGGCTCGAGCTCCCTGAGGTAAGTTCAATTTTCTCTGCATGTGAAAAGGATCGCATCACTGACATGTTACCAGAATATCAAAGAAGGCATCGAAGGCAAGCCCGTGGACTGGTATTCTGATGTCTACAAGCTCGTATTCTCCGACGTCGACCCCGAAGCAGCAAACCAGCTCTGGAAGAAAGAACTGGCAAAACCACCCAAGGAAGAAAGGGACAACGATGATGATTAGGAATCTCATCTCGATAACCCTTGCCGAAAAATGCATTATTGCTACAGAATCTCGAATGCCCATTCGTCTTCTTTCGCTTCTTCCTCTGTGCATCTCGCAAGTACGGCATGAAGAAAAAAAGAAACATTGCCTCGCCGTGCTGCTTACGGTGGACGCGGCGGTGGATGGATGGATGTATGTATATATGAACCTCCACCGCAACCGTCACGCTGGACGCTATTACGGCCGATCGATCGTGCGTGCGGAGGTTGTTACTCCGCTCTTGTATATACAGTGCTCTGAAGTCGGGTTGGGTCGGATATGGTCGCACTGGCCCTCACGCGCAGGGACAATAGAGGGAGTCACGGAGGGATGAAAGCTGGATGCTTTTAGATACCTAGGTACCTTATCTCGCAGTCAACAGCGTAGCTCTAGAGATCAAGACAGCAAATATGGATTTGTACAAAGAGATATAATTTTTCATGGCATGATTATTATTTTCAGGTATGCTATATTATGTACACTCTGGTTTTTTTCTGCTGGCACGTGTGGATCCAACCAAGCACAGCATAGTCAAGTCAAGTCCAATTGATGCGGCGCCACGACGGACCCAAACGCCATGCTACGTGCTTTGACCTAGCAGCTTCCCGTTGCGAGGAGGCGTTCCGTTTGCACTCCTCTCCTTTGCGCCCTCTGCTTGTTGTGGCGGTGATACATCATCATCTCTGAACTCCACTCCCATGACGAAAACCTCACTCAATGCCTCTAGCCCCGCAACAAACACACAAAGCACACTCGCAATGACAAACATACTGATACTCTCTCCAATCTCTAACCAACTCCCCTCGTCCCTCACTTCCCAGAAGAATCTCAGCGTCAAGTAATCTCCAATGGCCATGACGACTGCGAAGAGACTGCCGCCTCGCAGTCTTAGTCTCTTGGTCAAGATTCCAAGGTTTGCAGAAACCAGAGCAAAAGGCGCTAGCAATTTGAGGAGGAGTAAAGCGCCCTGTGAGAAAGGGTCGAAGACTGGGAGTAGTCTGTAGACGGCATCGAGGGAGAAAGAACTGATTGATGCGATGTTTCCTGTCGAATAAAAGGCGGATTGGAGTAGGAAAAGGAAGAAGAGACAGATTCGAGCATCTGACAGAGTCAAACTTCTGTAGTCTCCAGTCTTGATTGCGAGCTCTCGTTGTTGTGCTGCGTCGGCAGCAGGTGCCAAAGGCGTAGTGACATCGAGTGTCTTGTCTAGCTCATTGGTGATGGAGGCGTGACCGTTAGCTGTGGCGTTCTTGGTGTTGCCCAGTGAACTAGAAGCGCCTTTGGTAGTTGCCTGATCGAGTGATGTCGAGGTGATAGTACTTCCGTAGCCACCGGCTCGTTGGTGAATTCTGTGTTCAAGTCGCACCCAGCTGACAAGCGTGACTGCAATGGCGAAGTAGAAGAGCCCTTCGTAAGAGATGGTGAGGATGATGAAGAGTGGCCCGAATGCGAGGAAGATGACCGCAAGTCGATGGAGGTAGTGGTTCCGGGGACAGATCGCATGTGCGAAGGGTAGGACGAGAGACGTGACTGAATCGACGATGTTAGCAAGTGTTTTTAGACGAAATCTGCGCGCAAGCACAACTTTGCCAGGGCTCTCTGCAATGGATGCGGGTCGCCGGACTAGAGATAGCGTGTGGACCCAAAAGTCCTCGTCTATCGAGGTGAAGTGTCTCACACGTGGGAGGCGCTGTCCTAGCTGGTTCTGTGGTATGCCATCTTGTTGAGAGAGACCTAATGAGTCGTTTGCCCAGAGAGCTCTGGGAGGTATAGCCAGAGGTGGCACGTATATACTGTTTGTCCACATCCAGGTCACAGTCATCTTGGTCCAAGCTGAGGTCCTCTGCGCTCTTGCGCCCTTCTCGCATGCTGATTCAATGGTGCCGTCCAGCCCCGCGGCCATGATTTCGTCTTGCAGATGAACCATTAAAATCTTTCGGCGAGGCGATGCATATACATAGTCATACCAGAAGCCTGGATCTGTTGTAGCCAGGCACCATCTTCGAGGGCCAAACAGAAGCTTGTATGGTAAGTGGATGAATATCTCGAACAAGAATGCTGCGATGAGTCCCAGAGGTAAATAGAAGACCAGGAAAGCGGCCAACCCAATTCGAGCGAATGGCTTGTGCGCCTTGAATGACTTCCAAGGGTGTTCCACTATGCAGAGGACTTCTTCCAAGCTCTCGGTATCCTTTGCATACACGCCCATGGCCAACTGGTCACCTGGTAGTCGATAGTAATGATGCAGTTATGCAATTTGCATGCGTCACGCTGATCGTCCAGTGCTCCGGCCCTGTTCCTGGATAGTGATAGCGAGGAAATATGACCACTTACCAAGTGTTATCCATCCGAGAACCTGCGTCCCAAGTGGCAGTCCCGTCTTTGCTTGCAGAGAAGCGACGCTCGATCTAGTAACAAGCATGGCAAGTCCAATCAACCCTACCTGCGATCCGAGAATCGCGCGAGATACAACGTCTCCGTCTGCCGCTTGCAGTCCCTCTATCGATGTGGCGCTCTGCCTCAGCAACGTCTTCTCAAAAGCGAGGTACAGGACGCCAACAAGAAGGATCAGAAAGCCTCCAAACAGGCTGGGAGGTAGTCAGCGAAAGCACGGTTCTCTGGCATTTGAGCTACGTACATGAGGTTAGAGTTTTCAACCTTGATAGCGGGAAGGAGAGTGAAAATGCTCATGGATGCACAGGCAAGTGCCCAGGTCGTGCATAGAAGCCAATTAGACGTGACGAAATTTGTGCCATAGAACAAGGGCCATGCCGTGGCCGCCAAGTAAAGAATTGTGTAAATCTGTCGATGATAGTAGCTTTGTACCTACAGGGAGTCAGTGGGAAGGCATCGTGGCAGTGTCAGCTCAGCTCAGCTCACCATGATTTCAAGTAACGCCAGGTAGGCTGCGACATTGACAGCCAGTTGAATTGTATCACTTTTGGAGAAGTGAGCAAATAACTGATTTTTGCCTTCAATCAGCGCTCGTCGTCGTGCAAAGACTTCTTCCCAAAACATGACTGGGAAGAGAGCGTAAGCGTAGTATGTGATTGGCGAGTCCTGGAATATTAGCAGACTATAGAGACCGACCAGGATCGAAGCAAAAGTGATCATCAGGCCGGGAGTTCTCTGCACATCGATTTTGCCGTCGAGCATGTGAACATCGACAGCTGTGGTCAAGGCGAAGGCGATCCAGCCAAGATACCCTGCAGTGACCAGAGTTCGGAGGAATAGCCATGCATAGGTTTGCAGATAGCGCAGACCTGCCAATCCGAGCTTGATCAGCTCGTCAGATTGCTTGATGGCAGTCCGATAGTCACGCTTGCGGATGAGCTGCTCGATCGACGCAAGCCGATTCTCCACGCTATGCTCAGCATCCGCAAAGCCGGAGTAAGGCTTGTAGCGGAGGACCGTGGCCATCTTTTCACGCTCCTTCACGTGGTACATTTCCAGTATCTCTTTCGCGTTGGTTAATATTGCTTTCGCCTTCTGTTCGTCGGTTGCGTCCAGGAATGAGAGCGGCAGCTCTCCGACAGAGTTCACTGGGAATTCGAGACCGGCAAGATATGCCATCAGCGCAGCCACGTCTGCCTGTGCAACGTCGTGTCGCCGCACGTGGTCTAGTCGCCAGTCGCTCGAGAAACCATCTTCGTGGCCGGGAGCTTTGCCACGGCGAACTGTCTGCGGCTTGGCCACACCGCTTCCCCATGCGATCAGTGGTGTCCTCGTATTGTCGGGATGACCATCTCCATGACTACCCCAATCACTCATGCCATGATCTGCCGTAAAGATAAAGGCTGTCTGGTCATCATCGTAGAAGTTGTTGATGATTTCCGTGATCTCCTGCACACCCCGGTCAACGATCTGGATGTTTCGAAGATACTCCTTCGAATAGGGTCTGTATGCATGGCCTGTCGTGTCCAGACCTAGTAAGTGTAGGAAGAAGACCAACTTGTCCTGCCGCAGCTTGGCATTCAGCTCTTGGTCCGTCTCTGCATCCTTGAACAGCTGCTTGACGCGATCAAAAACCCAGTAATCCAGCTCCGTGGCATCCTTACTGAAGTCTTCAAATTCATGGCCATATGTCGCATCTTCCACCCTCCCTGGCACAGCTCCAGTCGAGAACATGGGCAAGATGTCTGGACTGCCCCAGCTCCAAGTATGCCTACTCCTGTTGAAGACACTATCGAAGTTGACTGGGTTCAGCTTCCATCCCGTCGTCACAGCTGCCACATCTTCGTACAAGCCAGCAATGAGTGCAACATGGCCTGGTCTCGACTCGGTGGGAACGCGGGTGTGCGAGACACCAAAGGTGCCATGTTCGAGGACTCGGGAGCGCAGGAAAGGTGCCAATGGGACGACGGCATGTTGCGAGGAAGTGTCGTTGACAGAAGCTGAAGGATCTGGGAAGAATTGAAAGGCCTTGTCAGCGCGCAGGCCGTCGCCAACATAGAGCACCAACCGCTTGGCGGGAGCATTCGGCGCATCGACGCCATAAGCTCGCATTCCACGCACAATGGGCGAGACGAAGTAAATGTCAAAGATGGAGTAGATGTAGACGACGTGGAACACCACCGCGATCCCGAGGAATCCGATGCGCCCGAGTCGGGCCATCTTGGGATAGCAGCTTCGGCGTGTAGCTTGCAGAGGGGGAGTCGATGATGAACAGTGTAGTCAGGTCCTGGTTGAGAAGACGTCGGGTCCCTTTAAAGATTAAACATAATAATTGACGAAGCAGCGCGCGCTAAGGCTAGGTAAATCTAGCGCTCCATCAAGGTTTCGCGACCGACAGGGATTGTTATACAGAAAAGTCGGTCGCTCTTTCCATCTCCATCTTCATCTCTCCATCTCCATCTGTACTCTCCACTCCCTTTCCACTCTCCGAGGAAAAGTCTGATCCCTCTCTCTCTTCCTCTCTCCTCCGTTGCTTTGGTCAAGACTGGCATCTCGTCTCACGCCTCAGGCCTCTTCACGTTACGAAAGTTCGTGCAGTCATGGCTTTTGCAGCATCACGCGACGTGACGCGACACGACGCGTCTCCCAACACGCGTTGCAAATGCACTCTAGCCTGTAGGGACCTTGATGGTGACCTCGACAATTCCATTACAATTTCATGACAATTGACTGCATTCGAAGAACCTTCTACCGGCTACATGTAGGAGATACCTCAATGGAACATCCATTCTCACCCGGCCAGGCATGGAAAGCACCTTCCGTCGCTCCCGAGTCCCGCCGCTCCGCTCCGCCCCGCACCGCCCCGCACTCACAAGACAGCTTCAATAAAACTTGACACTCCCGGCACTTTCTTGTAACCCATATACCTCAACCCAGCACCCTCCAAAAGCGACCGCCACTGCGCTTCGCTCCTCTCCAAGGCAGCAAAGTTGCACATCATGTTGATATCGAGAGCTGCAGTCTTGACGTCCCAATCACTCGCTCGCTCCGGCACCACTCGATCAAACAGCAAAAGTGTGCTGTACCCAGCCTTCATGGCCTCCCGAATACGCACCAGAATCTCATGCGCTTTACTCTCAGCCCAGTCATGGATGACCGCATGCATGTAGTACACCTTGGCACCGTGCACGGGATTCGCCTCAAAGAAGTTGTGCGCCATGAGCTCTACTTGAGCAGGCAATTGCGATCGACTCGCAGCGAGAGCATCTACCACCTCTACTCTCTCTTGCAACACAAGTCGCGCACTCGTGTGGCTCCCTGCGACTGCAGTCGCAAAGTTGGTGATGTCTTTGCCATTTCCGCCACCAACATCGACTAGCAGCACTGATTCTTCATCCCACCCCTCCAATACTCGTTCTGGTGGGTAGAGCTCCGTCCAGGGCAAGGAGTCCTTCCTGATGGCAGACAAAAACGCGTTAAACTTCTGATGATGTTCAGGTCGGGTACGATACCAACTCCATCGATCTCCTTCATACTCTGGGACACCTTCCGTCCACTTCCAAGGTGGATGATCCGCATCTTCAGGATTCTGATAGTTGTGACATCGGAAGTACTCCGGCATTCGACGATGTTGTGGAAGACTAGCCTGATAATACACATCCAAACCCGTGATGATACCATCTGGATCTTTCAAGGCCTGGCTAAATTCCGTGTCGATATAAGTGTTTGCTGCATCTGGGCTTTCTGCGATGACATGTTCTTTGACAAGAACTCGAAGCAGACGGCTTAGGAGATCCGAAGAGGCGTGTACTTGCTCTGCAAGGTCTGAAGCCGATTGTGGCGTGGAGCTGAGATGGGAGAAGAGGTTCAGATCTTGAGCGGTTCTGAAACTGGTGAGGAAGGCAGGTTGGACCCATGCGAGATCGTACATTCGCTCCGAGGGTCGTTCGAGCCGGCGGACGAGAGCCCGGGCTTCCTCGAGGGCAGTGAGTCGATCGGCTTCATCTGGAAATGAGGACTTATCCAGGCTGCGGAGTGTGGCCATGGCTTGGTCTCTTTGCTGCGAATGTGAGTCTTTCGACATGCTTGTTTGTGGACTTCTCCCTCTCACACAGACTCACAGTGAGCCCAGCCGTTGGTTTGATTTTAAAATCAGATAGTGTGAAGTCCGTGGTTGGTAGCAGGGATGTTCCGTTATCGGACACAGGCCCGTGGTTGTGACATGCATAGCTGCATATCATTAACTTACATCGTTCTAGCTTGAACAAGCTCGACAGTTGACACGTTGAAGAATGCTATTATTGGCTTCTCCTTTGGGAAAAATTACGCATTGCTTTCTAGAAAAGGTATGAACATGTATCCCTTGTTGAAAACCTAGTCTTCATCATCAATCACTCATCAGATGACTAGATACCTTATTAATCCCAACCTTCTCCCCTCCTCTCCGCAGCAGCAGCAGCATCTAATCATCCTGCCCCGACGGAACCCCATTATCCCACACCGCCAACGTATACGCATAAGCCTGCGAAACATCATAATAATTCCCCTCGCCATCAAACTGACCCAAATTCGTCGCATAACTACTATTCCACGTCTGCGAATACAGCGTACAATACGTTCCCAAAGGATTGTTATTCTTGCTCACAACATACGCCACAAAGAAGTTGACGGGGTCATAGGTCCCGTTGGCAGGTGTGGCGGATTGCCAGTAGGTGTTGTGAGAGGTGCTGGCGGAGGCGCATTGCGAGGGGTCGAAGGGTCCCGAGAAGATTTGGCTGCCGATATAGCTCGTGCCGTCGGGGACGAAGATGGCTGCTGGGAGGGCGACGGGGCCGGTGAAGGCGTCGCAGCTGGGTGGAGGGGAGTTTTTGACGTAGCCTGATAAGGAATGGGATGTGTTTAGTGAAAGCCAAAAGAAAGAAAAAAAAGAGAGAGAGATCTATGCGTTTAGGGGAAGAGAGGACGTCCACACTCACCATTGGAACCAGCAATCACGATCTGGAAATCTTCCTGGAATTGTCCACTGTTGGTGGCAGTGTCTGCTGAAATCGGCAGACCGTACAACGCGCACTTGGCCACAGCAGTGCTATTAGGATTCGAGCAGCCATCACCCGGCTCGACGACAGGATCACGTTCGATGTACGTGTTGAAAGCAGTGCAGGTGGCCGTCGCGTCACATTGCTGGCGGCAGGCAATAGTGTCGTACCCATTGAGGGTATAAAAGCCAAGATAGCCGCTTTGCTGGGTAGCAGCATTCAAGTTCTGAAACACGAGCTCGTAGCCCTGTGGCACGTAGGAGTCGACTGCGAGGTTGCTATACTGGGGATTGTTGACGAAATCTTCGGCGTCGTCGGGATAGGTATTGGGGATTCCTTGGCCGAGTGGACGAGCATCGCACGCATCTCGTGCCGTGAGGGTACGCTTCTTCGATGCGGCTGAAGCATCTACTGTGACTGTGCTGGGTGTATAGGTAGGGATCTCGAAGGCGACAGAGGCAGCATTGGGGGCACCGAGTCGAGTGGGAGGCGGCAAGGCATCAACTGCAGCAAACTCAATATTCTGTGGTGCAGGCAGAGCAGCTGTGAGGCCGACTATCCCGGCCACGAGGAGGGTTTGCAGCATCCTGGGGAGAAGTGAAGTGTTGAGAGGAACGTGGGGAGAAGGTTGGACTGGTCGATGGGGATGATCAACAAAACGTGGTGATCGGCAGGGGGACAGTCTTGCTCTTTGTATACCACGTCCTTTTGGTGGCTTTGGCGGGCTTGCTGCTGCTGCTGCTGCTGCTGCACATGGCTGATAAAAACGTGACAATACACTGATGAGAGCTCCTCTGTCCATATCCGCGTATCATTGCCCCATCTTCGATGCCGACGTCGATGGCGTTCACGAAGCCGAAGCCATCGGTATTGTCCGGGCTGGGCTGGGCTGGGCTTGGGGAGGGAGGCAAGCGTACATGAGCGGCGAGCTGCCGTATGTATGGCTGGATGGCTGGCTGGCTGGCTGGCTGTTGATGAGTGCCGAGTCAATCCTGCAGAAAAAGTATACCTACCTTACCTTACCTTTACACTTCTTTCGTCCCAAATTCATGCCTAGTAACCTCTTCAGGTAAGGCACTAAGGTTATGCACATGCCACATGCACATGACCGGTCATGCGTGGAATCTCTCTGCATACTTTACCTACAATCGACACTTTGTGTAGTGAAAGATCGGGTATAATAACCACAACAATAACAACCACAACCACAACAACAGCAACAACAACACCAATAAATCCCCGATCGCGATCCCACCGCCATGCATGGCGTCAACAGGAGATACATGTATATATTGACAGTGATATAAGTTCTTTCGTCATCAATCAATCAATCAAAGCATAACCAAGTCCACAAACGCTGCAGAAGAAGCTTTCTTTTTTTTTTTGTAATATCGCATTCGCAGCCGCTTTTCCATGTGACAGACAACAACGTGGTCGAAGCGTGGCTTGCACGCGAGAGTAGATCCCGCGGGACATCCATCGAATTTGGCATTTGTAGACCAATTTCTTTCTTCTTTTCATGTAGTTCCACCTCCCGAAAAAAAAAGAATGGGAATAGGTATGTGGCTTTTTTTCGGCAAGCTGCAAAACTGCATTAGTATCTGCCCGGGGCGTAGTTTTAGTGAAGTATAAGGTAAGGTCCAAGGGGAGGCAGACCGTAGAGAAGAAAATGTGCCGCGGAGAGGGGAGGGGAGGGGAGGGGAGGTTGTTGTTTTTACAATGTATTTTCTGGGTTTGACTTTTTTTTTTTTTTACTTAGTAGTCAATAGTTAGTTGAAATATTTACCTAGCGGTCGAGCCTGGGCTTGTTCTAGAAAACTTCTTGGGATCGATCTTGTTTAGTATAAGAAATTGCTTTTACTGGAAACTCGTGTTTGTAACTTTTTTTCTTCGTTTTTTTTTTTTATCTTTTCCTTACTCACGTACGTACCTAACCTAGTGATTTGTATTTGCAAATCTGCAGAAACTACAAGTTACCAATTACTATAGTATTGAAAAAAAGAGTATTCTGTATCTTATACTACTACTAGATCGTGATGATACCTTTTACCTTTCAGCGGTGAAGGCTATACTACTGCAATACTTACCTTACTACATCTAGCCCTCAATTACCGAATTCAGCAGCTAAAGCCGTACATCTGCATGCAACCTACAAAGCTTCACGACGCCCTTTTTCCCAGAATGCTATGCCCTCTCCTCTACCCTCTACACCGCGCCGCACACCGATTGTTAGGTAGGTAGGTAGATATACCTCGGCGCAACAATTTCAGTTGGGTAGGTAAGGTAGTTTCTAGTCAAAACGACTTCTTCGAGACATTTTGCGTACGCTCTGGTTTTTTTTTCTTCTCCAATTGTAAATAAAACAGTAGAGTGTTGACTTTTTTTTTTTTGGAGAAAATCTGTTCTTAATCGAGATGCTTGTGCTGCAAAAAGCATGTTGGTATTAGAGTAGGTATCGATCGGAATAATAATACGATCGTCAGGTAGGTAGGTAGGGAGTTTTCGAGCAGGCAACTCTGCAGAGTCGGAAACTTTGAGTCAAGTTCTTCTTCTCAAGCTTGTAGGAGGTAGGAGGTAGGTAGTGATGTGATTTGCAAACAGGAAGACTTGATTGAGATCTTGTTGATCTGGTGATAGCTTATGCGGGCTGGGGAAAATCGAGTCGAGCACACTTCAACGCTATCGAGGAAAAAGTAGTCAAGTGATGGATAAGTAAAAAGGTAGGGATACAGGTAATGATCAGTTACTGCATACAGCATATGCCGTGCGCTTTCGCCGAGATGGATGTTAATGTACCGCACTGCACTACATCGTGACGAACGATTGGGGCCGATGCTCCAGTGGGCACTTGTTCGAGTCAAAAAATTGTCCGCACATGGCAAGGTTTCCGTATGAGTTTCTGATACAGACTTTTCTCTAGTTTACTTTCTCCTTTGTCCAGCGTCTTTTCGATGACGCGGAAGCGGATGCAACACTCCGCTGATGTTCGGGACTGCTAACCTGCCTTTTCGCGTGAGGCACTTAAGCATATAAGACGTCGCTTCTACTCCTCCATCCCATGTGGTCCCGGCCGCGGCATCGTCAACTCTCGTGCTCCGAGACGGGAGCCATACTCGGCTCGCTCAAAGCTTACTTGCATTAGGTACAAGCGATTATTATATCCTTTTTCTCATGTCCTCCTCTTGTACCTTTTACGTCTGGCTGGGACTGGTCTCTTGGACTTGAGGGCTGACGGCGCTTCCCACAGACTCTGAACCGACGCTTTTCGCGTCATCCGAAAATCCATGTTCGTCGAGGTTCATCGTCCGAAAGATTCCGCTCATATTGCTGATTCCTGCAGCAGCAGCGTCTGTCGGCCTCGTTGCGCGGTACTCTACAAACTCGCGAACGATGCGGATGGTCGTGGGATACCCTGCGTCGTTGGGTAGCCACCAGCGGGTCACGTCCTCGGACCACGTCTCGCTCATCCGCTTGCGCAAGTTCTCCGGGTAGATGTAACCCAGCTGCTCAATACGGGCAAATTTCCTCTGACTCCACCTCGTATACTGTTCTTCTCGTGGCAGGAACAAACTCATGATACCTAAACTGGCTTGACACCCCAAGATAGCCGTCGGTCCACCTTGCCCACTGTGCTGGATGGCATCAAACATCTTACACTTCTTCATCGCAATTTGCGTGAGTTCGGGAGAAGGGGCTTGTCCCAACGCCATGCCCAGCTGAAACTTGAACATCAGATCCATAGCCCAGTGGTCCAAGAGAACGAAGTTCATGGTCGCATACTCTCCCGCGTAGAGAAATTCCTGATCCGTGAAGCCAAAGAGATCTTGCTCGCCTGGAGGCAGCGCATCTGGGAACGACGTGACGAAGCACTCTGGGCTCGTGAAGGCATTCCCGATGGTATGGCCAAATTCAGCAAACTCTTTTGACAATGTCTCCACTCCTGCCGCGAAGGCTTCATCACTAATCGTACCCTGCGCCTTTCCAGCGAAGAGGACCGTCACGTCTGTTGCGAGGAGTCGCGACGTCGCAAAGTAGGATTCGAATCGAGCGCCCAGATTCTTCGGCTTATCTTGCGTCTGCCGTTTGTAGAATGCAGCAGAAGCTGCAAACCATTCGCGGCCAAGTGTCGTCTTATCGCCTGACATGATGCCGGCGAAGAGGTCAAAGCGTATGTACCAGGTGATGATCTTACGTCGTGTCTCGTCCTGCAGGATAGTTTGAGGTGTGAAGAGATCCGTTAAGATCTGGTACGCTGCTCGTTGGTGACCGAGTAGATTGATCCAGTCGCCTAGGAACTCCTGGCATGAACATTAGTACAGAGCAAGCATCGTGGGCCCAAAAGGACTTGCCTCTATCGTAGCGAGCTGCAGGATCGTGAGAAGAGTTGCGACACTGTGTAGTTGCTTTTTCAAAGACTGCTGCAGAAACGCAATAGACTTGTTGTAATAGGACAGAAATCCAGATATGTCACTACTGCCGCGTGCTACAGCGTGGTGATAGGCCGCAAACGCTACGATGGCGTAGAGAAGAGCTGCGCTCCCGTCATTCATGGCGATTTCGAGATAAGTAGTCTTCAGAAAGTCACCGCCGTCGTACTTGAAGGCATAGTGGTGGTGCGACATGTGCTGCTGGTGGAATGTGAGGTAATACCTCACGTCTTTGGGCAGCGTCTTCCAACGCGGGTTTTGAGCGATACTAGACAAGACGGACTGCTGTGACCTGGTTCGCACTGGCTGCGGGCGTTTATGTCGCATGCTCGATCCCGTGGAAGGGGAGGTACTCTGGGGCACTCGTCCGTCGAAGTCTTCCGTCGTTAGCTTCTGCTCAGTCCCAGCTGACATGGGACCATCGTCGTCCCACCCTTCCTCGTTCACACCAGGGAGGACCGATAGTCCGTCGTGCTCGTCAGTTTCCAGGTCACTACCAGACGGACTCGAGCCTGTAGGCGAAGATCCCTTGCGCCTGCTGCTCTTGCTCTTCGCTGTGCTCGGGGCCGCATCGCCTGGGTAGGTACAGTCTCGTTTGCCTTTACGGCACCCTGAGCTGCTCGTTAGCTTGGACTCATCGCTCGTCTGCGGAGATACATACTTTCACAGGTAGGATGACCTTCATCGCACTTTGGCACATCTCGTCAGCACGGGAGATCTCATCACCACAAGTGTCATGACTCACCTTCACTCTCCGTTGTCGACAAGTGTAGCAACCGCTCCTTGTCCGTCGATGCTTCACGTGTTCGGCTCCAGGAGGTTGCCGCCGTCGTGATCGTTGTGTTCCCTGTGTAGGAGGCACCGCTCCATTGGAAGTGTCGAAATCCGAATATGAGCCCATACTCTCCATGGACATGGTCTGAATATTATGTAGTCTTGGCGCTTGTTCGTAACTTTCTGTTGGCATATGGGAAGCATAGCCGTGGGCATAGTAGCTGAGATGGTGTGGGTATTGGCCGTCCATTGTCGATGTCGTACCTCTCCCTTTTCTGTCGCTGTCGGTCTCTCTCCCTGTCTCTCTCACACACACATACACGCACACGCACACGCTCTCTCTCTCCCCCACTCTCTCAGAGAAATAACGCCAGTTCGAATCAACCAAGACTGGCGGAGACTGAGCCTGCAGCCTGTGGGTCGAGGGACCAGACCAGAGTTGAGTGGTAGTGCGAGGATGTGTATGTAAAGTCAACGGAGCACCGCGGTATGCTTATTGCGCCCAGAACATGCAGGATTCTCGATGGATGTGTGAAGCCCCGGCAGAGGCGCCAGCCGTTCCGTATGATCAAGTGTCAGCAGGCGGTAGCGGAAGCCTTTGTGAACCACAACGTGGTGATAACGTGGTGATCTACAACAGCCCAACAACCTCGTTCTGTGTTACCTTGGGTCTGAGCATAAAATTCATTGCAGTTGGTGAAGCACAAGACGATATAGACATAGAGCAAGGCACAGATAGTGTGCCCGCCGACTCATATGAACAGGCCTGGATCAACATGTCGCAGACGGCATCCGCCGAGTCCAATATTCGCCCCTTTGGAAGAGTAGTAGATCCACCAGTTCGTTCGTGTGCAATTAAGGAAGCTTGCTTGATACAAGGGGACAGGCGGGGCGGTACTCAATCGGAGCTTCTTCCTTTTCGAATGGCATGGCGAATGATCGACACCGGGAGTTGCTGTTAGTCTGTGTGCCTGACGTGCAAGGGTGTCGTCCGTTGCAGACCTAGTTGAAATGTCTCGGCGGTCAGGCATAGGACGATCGCCTCATGCTCACTGCATAGATGATAGATCTGCTGCTGCTGCTGAAGGGCCCGCCGCCGCCGCCGAAGGGATGCGGGATGCATATTACCTAGGTACATGTAGTAGTCGCGCTGACAGCCTGACATGTGATTGATAGAGCAACATCAATAGGTGATGCTGACCGACAGCTGGCTGGCTGTTGGCCGAGCAGGCGCATCCTGTAGAGGCTTTCTGTCTTCCCTGGGGAGATCGCACCGGTAGAGAACGAATCCGCGTGCATACATGGTACTCCATGTTTCATGCCCGCGTGGCATTCTTCGTTAGGCGAAAAAGAGCGGTGCCTTCGAGGGCGCAGCAGCCAGAGCAAAGTCTTCCTTGACGGTTGCATTTGACGATCATCACAAGCATCGAAAAGGGCTCCACATTAGATGCAAGGAAGAAGAAATGCCCTGGAAGAGCCGCTACCTGCTAGGAGGTACGGTTGTCACCGCGCGGTGTCTGAGCGTCGAGTGAGTGAGTGGCGGATGCGAGTAGTGGCGGTCCACAGTCCGCCGCTCGGGACCGGATACACTAGAACTACAAGGTACAGTAGATGGGTAGGCAGTGCAGGGCAAGAAAGGGAAAAAAAACAATGGTCGACCACGGATTTCTTGGGCGTCAAAACACCTTTTCGCCCGGCGATTGCCGCCCGGCCTAAAGCATCAGGAGCGTTGAGAGTGAAGTGCACCCCGTTGGAGAGTCATCCATCGACAACTAACGGGGATCCATGATGCCTCCGCGTGTGGGAGTGCATCATTGCATGAAAAGCTGAACGCCACCTCCGTGCCTCACAGCGCATGGCGACGCATGGCGGCCCACTCGAGCGCTTGGATCATGCGATGCAATATAACAGTGTTCCTGGCGGCGTGCGGAAGTTGGAACATCATACAGAAGTACAGTACCTCCAAAGTCTGATGGGGGGACACAGCCTCACGGGTTGGAGCTTTGTAGTGATGGTAGCAGTCCGTGCGGCAGACAGGATGTTGCCGCCATAAACCTACAAACCATAAACAGACTCCGTTCAGCAGGGTACCGTATCTTGCCCAGGAACAACTCTGAGTTTTCCCTTTTTTCTTTTTCTGTTGCAACTTGCAAGGAGGACAGTAGCTCGTATATGGATAACGAGTCCAGTACGGACTGTACGGCCTTTGTGAGCGGTGCGTCTTGAGTCAGGGCCGACTGGCCGTCGCTCGCGTGTGTGTATGTGTGTGTATTGGTGCTGTGGGAGTGCCCAACGAATCCCCACGACTGTTGTTGGCCTGGACAGTAGCGGCGAGCTGACTCTCCTTCTCGCGACAGTGGTACAGGACAAGGACGTTTGAGGCCGTTGCACGTAATGTAGCAAAGACGGACGCTGCGGTAGGACGCGTTATGCTTCTGAAGCAGTCCGGCCCGAACAGGCCCATTGTCTGTAGGCTCGGGCCAGCACTCCAGCGGTGTCTCAGTCGAACCTGTCCGAGTGTCTGCCACTGCGGGATCGGATCGGATGATGATGATGCTGATGATGCCAAATGCTGATGATGATACCTGTTGCCTGTAGATGGCATGTGTGAGGCTCAAACTCGAGCGAAGTTGCGAAATACTCTGCCCAACCACTACCTCGGGATCTTCGCACATGGCAAAGCTTCTTCATCACGGCGTGCGAGTCCGTATCCGCCTATCTACATATACCAAGGTGGGTATATTGATCAAAATAGCCACCTAAGTAGGTGCTTTAGGCAGCACACAGCGGGCAATACTACCTAGGTACCTTGTGGACTGGCGCTCTGCAGCGGATGTAGTCACATACCTTACGGTACATACAGTACCTCAGTAAGTACCTACACTAGGAGGTAATGTACCTACATACCTACTACGACGGGCGACATTAGCAAGCACAACACACACGCACACACCCACCAAGCCAGACCAGCCCAGCCCAGGCCAGCCAGCAAGCAAGCAACCTGAATGCTGCAGCAAAGCAACTACATGTAGGTAAGGTACAGAGTTCTGTGGCCCGACGTGAAGGCATTAGGCATAAAGGTATCAAGTATGTATGGGCGCCATCGTGGCGCAGCCTGGCAGCCCTGCGATTACTGGATACATCCTAGTCACCACACGGATATGAGGGGGCGCAGATCCTGATCCTGCTTGCAGCTGGCAAGGCAGACCTGGGGAAGACTTTGATGCCGCCGAATCTTGTTGCTCGACTATCCAGACCATGAATCGATGAACCGACGATGATCGGAGGCAGGCCATGTCTGATAAGACCTCGGTGGTATATAATAATCATCACTACTGCATCATCAGAGTGCAGAGATGGAACGCCGAGCTGTCGTACTGTTACTTCTGTATACATGGACAACCTTACCTGGCGCATGCCCATGATCTTCGTCATCTATGCGCCTACACCCTGCAAGCACATGGTCAGCTCCACTCCCGTTCGTATGGTGTCATGCACGGGCGGCAGATCACAACTCCCCTAACAAGGTATCTGCCTCGTCCACCTGGCCCGGCCTGGGTCAGTTCATGGGCGACCGCCTGTCTGCCACCGTGTGTCCCCCCGTACATGTCGTCGTGGTCGTGCGCTTGGTCAGTGTTCCAGTAGGCAACATGCTCTCATCATGCGCCGCATCGGCTACCTAACGCTATACCTGGGACAGCCGCCTCTCCACACCCACCGGCAGTGAGGTACGAACAAAGTAGTCCGTCCTAGGAGGTATCAAACCGGCGGAGGTGTGGCTTACTTGGCACACTCCCCAGTGAATCATTATTTTCCCGGCTTGAGCGGGGATACTACCAGGTACCTGAGATAGTGTAGTCTGTAGTCTTCTCCTTGCCCACGTCCGCTAACCCTCTGCTGCTATGATCAGCAACCGTGAACTGCCGATTGATGATGTTGAATAATAATGCCTCACTCGTCCAGCCGTCCACAGGTAGGAGGTACCCGTGGACCTTACCGTGATACCCCGACTGCGTCCAGGAGGTACTGTGCGCTGTGGCTGCCAGCTGGCAGAAGCTCTTCAGCTCCGCAACTTGCGGCTTTGCACAGGCCACTGCGCATGATGAAGAGACAGGCCATGATCATTTTCGGCTAATATCATCGGGTGATCTGTCCATGTGTGTGTGTGTGTGTGCATGTGTGTGTATGCTTGGGAAAACATACATCCTACAGCTACCAACTACATGTATATACCTCCTAGAGTCACCAGCTGGCGAGCCACTGTGGCTCAATCGGCATATAGCTTCGCCATATGCTAGCGCTGAGGCTCCATCAGCCGCAAAACCAACTGCTCATATGCTGTGCCCGCCGCACTTTGGTTACAGGGTATTAATGGATCACGAACACGTGTATGTGTATATATACCCATACACCTTACTGCTGTAAGGTAGCCAACTGTGCTGTTCCATTGATCCGCGAATCGCATCAATACGAGCCAATGCGAGGGGCCCGTCAAATCACGATGCGGCCGAGGTCTCCCATTATGTCCGACGCTGATCCCAGCATTGCATCCTCCAGGAGCCCAGGACCATCAATCCTAAACTCACCCAAACTAGAAGTATGTCCGAAATTCAGGGCCTGCAAACCAAAACACCGACTATGTACTGCAGGCTTGGCTTGGCTCTTGCTGCACTCGATACCTAGTCGACTCCAGGTCATCACGATGTAGATGTCTACCTGTTTGAAGGGCGGCTACGGTACGCTGCATCCCTTGATGCGGAAAACCGAGCCCGACTTTTCACAGGCAACCTTCTCGGCTTCGGCATTGTTTGTTTGGGCTGGCGCCGTTGCTTCTCTGCAATGGTGTTTGTATGCAGCTGCGTGTGTACGGTATGAATGCCTCAAAGGGGGGTTTGATTCAAGTCCATTGTTGGTCTGCGAGCTATCAAGAGCAGCACGAAACAGTGTACGGCACTCTGACATTCAGAGCATCGGATTCACGGCACTCACTCGTGAATCACAGTGTGACGAAGTTCGACCAGGGCCCATAAATGCACTCCGGCCCTCCTCCGCCACTGCGGAAATTCCTACAACTGGCTGCCTATCTGGCACAGTATGCAAGACCGGCTTCACCCTGGGCCTCCTCTCCGTCTCAGCTACATCGGGATGAACTCTTTGCCAGAATCGCGCCGCAGGTGTCTCCAGCCGCAGGATGTCAAGGGCGTGTCCCTTGTGCCGCAGCACTGAGACGAACATGCCTACACCACGAATTATCGACCCATGTTCACTAGATTGCCAGCGGACTGGTGCTACTGGTCAAGATCCATGTATCTGTTCCGGACCCGAACATGAGGCAGGGCAAGCGGACATGGCGCTGCTGAATAATGCTGGAGGTGCTGCCGAAGTACTTCCTATTCGACATTCATTCACTCGCTCTGGTCGGCCCTAACTGGATGCGTGCATATGCCTGGAGGGCATCACGCTCTAATTTGTGTCAAGCATTCACAGAAGAGGGTAGTCTCCCATACATCTACGGCAGGCGCGGCACTCGTCGATGCTTGGCTGATTGATCTTTGCCTCACAATGTACGTTGTTGAATACACAGGGATACCACTGTTCCCACTAGCCAAGTGGTATAGCTCACTGGAAACAGCGTCACAGTACTCTTATCCTTCTAGCGCGATTAACGACGGGACCACCTATCGGACTGCCCTCACCCAACTCCTTCTCTTCCGTAATCTCGGGCCCACAAGTAAGTACGACACGACGTCCCAATATGGACAATCCGAAGCCTGCTCGAGACACATGCAGCGTCTCCGTGTTCCAAGACCTTCCGCCGCGGCGACTCACCCTGTGCCAATAACAAGGTCCATGCACTATTGAAGTTCAAGGTTAGCAAAGTTGGATGGATAATCGGACAGATCAAGTGCAGCAGTGGACGTGCATTTCCGTCATGCTATGGGTGGGTTCGTGCCTCGACCGTTCGAGCAAGATAGACCATGCTTTTGGCCGGCTCTTCTTGAAAGCCCCATGAGACTTGGCCAAGTCACTACGTGATATCCCCGCGAAGTCGGCCGACTCGCGTTCTGTATTTCTGACAGTGTCTGCAGGAAGAAAGTCGGATCTCACGGTCGTTCAGTTCAGTGCCTCACTCTGCGCCTACAATGATTCAGGGGAACGCTAGACGACTTCTGCACCGTCCGACCTCCTTTGAAATATGTGACCTGATGGGCCTTCCACTCGACCAATTGTCATAGCAGGTATGAGACTCTGCGGCCATAGTGCTTCGCAGCACTTGCAAGCCTGAAAAAGGGTCAACTTCGTCGCCGTGTGATCCCAATCATGATATACCCGCCTCGCTGCGCAAAGCAAAGCAAGTGTTCACAGTTCACCAAGGAGTGTGTTCTGGCCGGTCAGCCCCGGACTGCGACAATTCCACGTTGACGTAGAGATACATAATCGAGTCGCGTTTGTTCGTATCATCGTATGTTTGGTGGTTGATTTTCCATGGTATGAAAAAACCGCGGCACGTCGGAGGTATTGTTTTGACGTAGGCACCAGTACCACTTATTGGGGGCAGGAACGATGATCAACTCTACCCACGGGTGCAGCGCATTGCTGCGCCCCTCAAAAGAGTCTATGGAGGCAATTCAAAGGCTTTGGGAGTGGCATCCATATCCTTAGTCAGCTTTCATATCCTTAGTCAGATATTAGAGGCCTAAGGCAGAAAATTCTAACGCCCGACTGTCCGCTCGCCCCACTGGCGCATTTCAACAAATATCGCCTCATTGACTTCAGCCAACCTGCTTCGGTACAAGCATCATGGCAGCCGCAGTAGCAAACCCGCCCCGAGGCACTGACTGGGCAGACGATGGCGACGACGCGCCAGATCTCAGCAACGCGATTCCCGCGCCACAAATCACCAAAAACAAGGATGGCACTGAGACGGTGGTGACCATCTTTATCAACGAAGACGGCAAGAAGGTCAAACGCACACAACGCATTCGCCGTAGCGTCGTGAAGAAACGAGAGAATCCACGAGTTGCAGAACGTCGAGCATGGGACAAGATGGGGATTGAGGCTGGCCGCGCGCCAGGACCGCATCCAGACACCACCACACTCGGAGAGAACATCATCTTTAGGCCGCAGGTGGGCTTCAAGTCAGGTGGCGCCCAGGAGAAGGCACCAGAGGAGGACAAGAAGGCGGAGGCACTGAAGAAGATGCAGATCAAGTGCCGTATCTGCTCGGGAGATCATTTCACAACAAAGTGTCCTTTCAAGGACACCATGGCGCCCACAGGCGAGGATGCTGCTCCAGTCGACATGGATGCCATCGCGGGCGAAGATAAGGGCGGTCTGGGAGCTGGCGGAAGTAGCTATGTTCCACCTCACATGCGAAAAGGCGCTGCTGGTGGTGGTGGAGGAGAGAGAATGGGTGGCAAATTCGAACGAGACGATCTTGCAACCCTGCGTGTTACAAACGTGCGTCAATTGTTGCTATCAGATGTCTGTCGAACTATGCTAATCCACGTCTTAGGTGTCCGAATTTGCAGAAGAAGGCGACTTGCGCGAAATGTTCGAGCGCTACGGCCGTGTTACTAGAGTATTCTTGGCAAAAGATCGGGAGACAGGCAGAGCAAAGGGTTTTGCTTTCGTCAGTTACGCCGATCGGTCAGATGCTGCACGTGCTTGCGAGAAGATGGATGGCTTTGGTTACGGGCATCTCATCCTGCGTGTCGAGTTCGCGAAGAAAGCCACTACTTAAGAGATATAGAGAGGCTGATGTACTCGTGATTCATGACAGGGAAGTACTTCGTAGTACATCAGCGCGTCACTGAAGGCATATAGATAAAATGCACGATCTCATGCTCTTTCAGCCCGTCATTGACGCGGTGTTCACATGACTAGGTCCATGCTTCCGCTCAGATTTGGCCATGAGGGCTGTGGCCTTTACAGCAGCTTTGTCGCTACATACCCACTCGACTGGAGTCACTGGTCCTGCATCCGGGGCTATACTTCGACTCTCACGTCTGTAGCACGGACCGGACAAGAGTGGGAACACCGCTCGTTCAGCAAGCTAGAATCTGGGCCAACCCATCGAGCGGGCACGGCGGTCCCTTGATGTCAGACTTCTCGGGTTTGACTTACCTCCTAGCATCAACTGTGAGTTGTGATTCTCTCTGGATCGATTCCGAGTCCAAGTCGAAGAAAAGTAGGATCTACACATGGAGGTATCAGCATTTACCGAGCTACCTAAGGCGATCTGGGCGCCATATGTTCTTCTGTAGGAGCGACTGTGGCCGATAGCATGCCCAAATTTCTGCTCTCAACGTGCACAATACAATATTTGGGCGTCAGCCACACCGTACCTGAGATGACACCACCAGACGTCTTTCTCTTCTTAGAAAACACGTTGAAGAACCGGCAGGGACAACAAGGCAGCGAAAACGATTTATCAGCAATGTAATCAGGCGCTTCTTACGTCACCTCATGCACCATGTAAAAATGTATTTCAGATTGAACAGTGGCATCGAGACCAATATATTTCACCAACACCACTGTTCACCATACCAGACATGACGCGAAAGTTAGCTATCGTCGGGGCTAGCGGCAAGCTAGGTTTCGCGACGCTCAATGCTCTCCTGGATCATAAGCTCCTTGCGCCAGAGGACATCGTATGTACCACATCCTCTTCAACAGGAGCACAGAAGCTACAGCCAGCTCGTCAAAGGGGCGTCGAGGTGCGATCTGCTGAATGGGATGACCGGACGTCGTGGACGTCCGCCCTGCAAGGGTGCTCGAGCATGTTCCTCATCTCTTCTGCTCGAGTCGAGAAAGACTTCAACGAAGCACCTCCAGGCCAGGGTCGCGAGAGGGATCACTTCACAGCACTGGAGGCGGCCCAGCAAGTCGGAGTCCAGCACGTCTATTACACCAGTCTGGCATTTGCCAACCCGAGCTTGAGTCGAGTCATGAAGGCACATGAGCGCACGGAACAGTATCTCAAGGAGAGCAGTTTCACCTACACAATCATTCGCGAGGGCCTTTACAACGAAAGCTGGCCTCTGTATCTGGGCCACTACCACTTACCCAACGATAACGACAGAAGCGAGATCGTCGTCGCTGGAGACAGTAAAATCAATTGGACATCAATCGAAGATCTGGGCCTCGCGACAGCGATCATCCTCACCACCTCTTCTTCTTCTGACTACCACAACAAAACGCTCTACCTAGCACAACGTCAAGCCCACACCCTCGCCGAAGTTGCCGCCATGGTATCCCAAGCTCGTAGCAGTGAAATTCAACTCCGCGTAGTTTCGCGAGCGGAACACGAGAGATACTACATAGAAGAACGAGGCGAACCTGAACTATACATCAAGTGGTGGAGCAAGACATATGATGCTCTCCGCGCCAACGAGTGCGAGATGAAAGATGACGATGATGATCATTTGGAAAAACTGCTCGGCAGTAAAGGTCGCAAACCGAAGCACATGTCTGAGACGGTGCGGGAGATGATGCTCTCTGCTACTAGCTAGTAACTAAGGTAGCAGGTAAAAAAACAAAAAGTCTGCTGCTACCAGGTATGTATGGTATTTGCGTGTTATTAGCACAAGTGCATACCTCTTGCTGCTGCTGATGCTGCCTGTCTAGGAGTGGAGGGGAGGGGATTAGGAATTGGTGAAAAAGGCCGGGCAGGCAGGCAGTAATGTACTTACCTCACTTACCTTATTAAGCATTTTCAGAGTATCATTCTTTCCTCCAGCCCAAAGATGTTTCCTCCTTACCTACCCGCTTATACTTCTTCAATCATAAGTCACACACACATACACAGGCAGGCAGGCAGGCAAGCTGAGCTACCTGTACCTACATACCTTACCTACCTTACGTAGGTACCCTAACTTGCCCACGCTGCCTGCCTACCTACCTGCCTACCTACCTGCCAGCCAGCCAGCCAGAAAACGATTTCATTTTTCATTTTTCATTTTTCATTTTTCATTTTTCATTTTTCATTTTTCATTTTCCATTTTCCATTTTCCTTTTCTGTGCAAAATGTTCGTTATATTACCTATCAGGGAGGTAGGTAAGTACCTGCATTGGTAAGTCAGTATAGATAGGGGGAAACAAAGGGTCTGTATGCTGTTTTAGTAAGTACATTTCTAAGTACATTTCTAGGTACGGATGGATGGATGGATGAGGTCTCTCTGTTTAGGGAATATAATGTAAATCTTGGTTTAAGGGAAGAGGAAAGGAGGAAAGGAGAGGAAAGGAAAGGAGGAAAGAAGGGAAGGAAAGGGAAGGAAGGAGAGGAAGGAGAGGAAGGAGAGGAAGGAGAGGAAGGAGAGGAAGGAGAGGAAGGAGAGGAAGCAGAGGAAGGAGAGGAAGCAGAGGAAGGAGAGGAAGGAGAGGAAGGAGAGGAAGGAGAGGAAGCAGAGGAAGGAGAGGAAGCAGAGGAAGGAGAGGAAGCAGAGGAAGGAGAGGAAGGAGGAAAGAGAGGAAGGAGGAAAGAGAGGAAAAATTTAAACCTTCTTTACTACCTGGCAGGGTTGATGGTTGATGGTTGATGGTTGATGGTTATGTGTGTGTGTGTGTGTGTGTGTGTGTGTGTGTCAGAGAGAGAGAGAGAGAGAGAGAGAGAGAGAGAGAGAGAGAGAGAGAGAGAGAGAGGAGGGAGAGGAGAACCCGAGAGTGAAGGGAGCAAGTAAGATAGAGGGAAAAAAGGGAAAAAATGTCAGGTCAGGTAGGTATCGTACTGTTACCTCCAATGAATGAATGAGATTTGAAGAATTCTGGCCGCCGGCTTTTTCTTTGCTCATGTTGCAAGTTGGTTGGTTAACTCAGGTTGGTAATAGTACAATATATAATACAGTACAATACAATAAAGTACAGAGCGAATTCGTCTTCTTCTTTCGCTGATATCCGTACCACAGGTCGTCGCGTTCATTGTTCTCCGGCCAGAAAGTCCAAAGTTGTTCGTATACACTTATCGTCATGATTTTGCTGCAGTGAAGCTCCCCTCCCTCTCTGTCTGTGAGATGGTCGATATGTCACTGGAATCCGTGGGACATAATAGGTCGAGTTCTCGACCCAACAATCCGAATTTGCGACCAGGGGGGTTGTAAAGGAAGCTGTCTCCGCCCCAGTCATGTATTTCGCTGCCGTAAGCTGTAGGGGTGCTACTCGACTGACTGGAATCAGCTCATGGCAAGCGGTCCCGATGCCTTTTTTTGAGATTGAATCGTGGTTTCTACCATTCTGTTTGCGTTCTTGTGACACATGTTGGAGGATTCGTCAATCGTGTATGCTTGACAGGATGCAATTCCTCGTCGACGACGAAGATTTTGTCGAGTGAGGTCCTTGGTATTGGACGAGTGCGAGCGCAACCGCGCTACCTTGATATCGGTCCTTGTTGGTGCTGTACAAGCAAACAAGAGCCCTGGATCTGCCCGATCCAGTCATGTACGAGTTCCTCACTTTGCGTGAATGAGCATTTGATCATAGAGATCGCCTGGAATCTTCCGGACAAAGCTGACCGTGTAGTCGATGACTTGGCGTGCCCTCAATGGCTTGAAGTCTGGCTTGGGACTGGAACACACATTAGCGAGTACCACAACCGTGAGTAGACGGCACCTTACGTAGCGCTGTTCAACAGCGACTCTCGTGCCAATACCAGCTGGGAGACGATGCAGAGGAGATTCAAGTGAGGTCCATAGGCAAACAGAAAGTCCCATAGCTGCAGCACTTCTGGTAGTGGTGGTGTGCAGGCGCAGAGGGTCAGTACGCTGGGAAAGGCGTAGATTTCTGCTTTCATGCCTTTCGAAGCCAGATGCGAGGCTAGTTTGGGGTCTACAATGGGCAGAATCTGGTCAATCAGGGCGAGGCCTTTGTGGACGCCGTCCATGCTTCCTCGGACGTAGCCCGGGACTTCATGGACGATGAAGCGAGTGAAGGCGGCAAAGGCCTCTGCTTCGCTCCGCGCAGCATACAAAAAGGGCGCAGCCATCACATTCATGCCTTGGACGTATCCGATGTGCGTCTTGCTGAGGTCCCCGGGGTCGCTCGCATCGGTGACGGATGCCACGGAGCCCAGGGTGTCGCGCGTACTGACGGAGCTGGGAGAGTGGAAGTCGTGGCCGTCGAGACTCTTGGGAATGCCCAAGGCGGGTGGCGAGATGCATCCAGTCCTGCGCGACTCGTCGGCGTCATTGAGCTTCCAGGCCACGGCATTGAGGACGCGGGTCAGGCTGTTCTCGGTCACGCGTCTTCGAAACAGCGGATCCGTGGTCAGAGTGCGAAAGGTATCATTTCGAATCTTGGCATATGCAGGCGAGGCACCGAGCTTCACCAGATCCAGATAGGTGTCGGTGTTGAGGGGCGGGGCGTTGAGCAGTATCAACCAGACGTAGATGCGCAATTCCGACTACTCGCTGTGGTCAGTATTGGGGGGGTGTTTTTTTTTCTTTGCTCTCCCACCTCAATCCTGTGTGAGGGTATGCGATGCCAAGAAGAAACATACCATGCCGTCGCTGTTGGCCGGTATGCCGTCCAGCAAGATCACGCGCCGGAGCTCTTCCAGGCCAGCAACATGGTCGCCGCCCGTGGGACCTTGCTGGAGAAAGGGTTCCAGATGGGTCATTCGTCCTTGGATGTGGTGTTGTCGTTGTCTGAGTGTAAGTCGGAGTCTGGGTGAGAGTCTGGGTGAGAGTCTGGATGTGAGTCTGTGTCGGAGTCTGTTATCTCGCTATGTCTGTGTCTGTATTGGGTATCTGTTGTTGTTGTTGTATCTGTCGGAGACGAGTGGTTCCCCAGGCAATCATACCTTATTATCATGGTCAGGCATGAATTCAGGCAAGCATGCTTGGTCATGGTCAGGCATGAATTCAGGCAAACATGCTTGGTCACGGTCAGGCATTAATTCAGGCCATCATACTCGGTGATGGTCAGGCATAAATTCAGGCATACACAGAGCAGCAGCCGGGACGTGTCGACACCTTTGCGAAACATGAGCACGTGATCACGCCCACATTCACTCCGAAGCAAAGGACTGTCGGCTGGCTGGTCGGCTAAAGAAGCTTGGCATACCCCACAAACCAATATGGATACTGCAATTGCCCCCGGACATGAAGCCGTCTTTGGCATCCCTCTGTGAATGAGGTTGGATTGCATCATCTAGACTCGCTCTTTGTTCAGCATTGATTACCTGACCTTGCCTGATCCATCTAATTAGGCACATATAACGGCAAATCACAAGCACAAAGAACCACAATGACAAACCAAATGAACAAGCTTTTCTCGGTACATGCCATGCATGCTTCGAGCTCGCAGGGAGAAGGGAAAAAAAGGCTTCCAGAACGACATGTCACTGCTCGTACAGGGCCCATCTCCCCAACAGGCCACATCACCCTTCGACGCATATGTCAACTTATAACGACTTAATCACGTCTTTCAGCTCCACAATCATTGGTTTCATGCTGCGCCAAATGGGCCACGCTGTCCTTGGCGCACGTGCAAAGCACGTCAGGACCAGCCGATGTTGCGAGCTTGGTCGGCTCGTCGTATGGCGTGCTTCAGGCTAAACCCTGTTCTCCTTTGGCAACCATTCATTGTCACAATGCGTCTGGTGTCGAAGTGTCGTCGGGCCCGCAGCTGCGTAATCCCAAGGTTCATGAACCTTCGCTCGCCTCGTCGTCGTCGTCGTCGTCGTGGAAGGATAGAGAGAGAGTGAGAGAGAGGGGCAGAGAGGGACTGACCGAGAGACTGACCCTTCTTCTGCTCAATCGTTTCTCACATCCACATTCACACTCCTTGGAGCAATATACACCTGCTACCTGCTACCTCCTACGAGTGCAACACTCAACGAAAGCCACTTCCGACACGCCGGTCGCTAAGCGGAAGCAGATCCAGCACCAGATATCTCCTACTGTATCTCACAGTTCGAGCTACCACTCCTCTAGACTGCCCTAGATCGTGCTGGGTGCGCGTCTTTGGTTGAGCAGATCTCTAGTAGGTTGTGGTCTCCCTCCCGTCGGGACAAGGCCAGTGCGCCTCTCGTTCCTCTAGCTTCCACGTGAAGCTTTCGTTGGCGCCATATATCATACCGTTGCCCAGGAACCACTCAGCGTCCGCTCACAGACTCTTACCTCTCCTCCGTCATGGCATCTACAAGCACCAAGCTTGGTCATGGCTTGGCCAAGGTCCTCGGGATCAAATTGGATTACAGGAACGACAGCCCAGCATCAAAACTGTCACGAGGAGAGTCCGTCTTCTCCGTCGACAGCGCCGATACGTACGTGGAACACGAACCGACAGCGTTAGAATGGTTACAAGACATCACTCCCAGCGGCCGCGACATTCTCACCTATCTCCACAACCTGTTTCCCTTCACGAGATGGATCCTGCGCTACAACGTCCAATGGCTTGTCGGAGATCTGATTGCTGGCATCACCGTCGGCGCAGTCGTGGTCCCGCAGAGTATGGCATACGCACAATTGGCTGAGTTGCCAGTCGAGTACGGTCTGTACTCGTCGTTCATGGGCGTCCTCATCTATTGGTTCTTCGCGACCTCGAAGGACATCACCATTGGTGTGAGTATAATGCTTCCATCTTGCGTCACTTCATGTTGCTAACGATTGGCAGCCTGTGGCAGTCATGTCCACCATCGTCGGCAATATCGTAAACCAGGTTGCCAAGAAAGACCCTGACATCGAAGGCCATGTCGTAGCATCCGCCCTTGCTGTCATTGTCGGCGCGATTGTCTGCTTTCTCGGTCTTGCACGTCTTGGCTGGCTCGTCGAACTCATCTCCCTCGCTTCCATCTCGGCTTTCATGACTGGCTCTGCCATCAACATTGCGGTGGGACAAGTGCCGGCCTTGCTGGGCATCAGCAGCAAAATTGTCAACAATCGCGCGTCGACGTACCTGGTCGTCATCAACACCCTCAAGCATCTCGGCTCCACCAAGCTTGACGCAGCTTTGGGTCTCACAGCGCTCCTGATGCTCTACCTCATCCGATCGAGCCTGAACTATGCCGCGAGGAAGAACCCCAATCATAAAAGACTGTACTTCTTCCTCAGCACTCTGCGCACGGCATTCGTCATTCTGCTCTACACTCTCATCAGCTGGCTCATGAATATTCATCTCAAAGATCACAACGCAAAGAACTCTTCCATTGCCCTCTTGGGCTCTGTTCCCCGCGGCTTCAAGCACGCCGCCGTGCCGACCGTGAACAGTCATATTATCAGTCTGTTTGCAAGTGAGCTTCCGGCGTCTGTGATTGTGCTCCTGATTGAGCACATCTCCATCTCCAAGTCGTTCGGACGTGTCAACAACTACACAATCGATCCATCGCAAGAACTGGTGGCTATCGGTGTTTCTAACCTGCTTGGACCATTCTTGGGAGCTTACCCCGCAACTGGGTCCTTCTCTCGCACAGCCATCAAATCGAAAGCCGGTGTGCGCACCCCGTTCGCAGGCGTCATCACTGCGGTCGTCGTGCTGCTTTCTATCTACGCCTTGCCGGCGGTCTTCTTCTATATTCCAAAGGCGGCCCTGAGTGCTGTCATCATTCACGCCGTGGGCGACTTGATCACCCCGCCCAATACCGTCTACCAATTCTGGAGAGTCTCGCCGGTGGAGGTGCCAATCTTCTTTGCTGGTGTGATTGTCACAATCTTCACAACCATCGAGATTGGCGTCTATGTGACCATATCCTGCTCGGCTGCAGTGCTTATCTTCAGGCTGTTCAAGGCACAGGGCCGCTTTGTTGGCAAGGTCAAGGTGCATGACGTGATTGGCGATCAAATCACCGACAATTCCAGTGACGACAAGAACCCCACGGGCATTGATGGTGACGGTAACTCGGGCAAAGTGGGCAGAGATGTGTTCATTCCCTTTGGCAACGAAGACGGCTCCAATCCGGCAATCCAGGCTCAGCACCCTTACCCAGGCGTCTTTATTTACAGGTTCTCGGAAGGTTTCAATTACCCGAATGCAAACCACTACCTCGACTACTTGACTAAGGTGATATTTGCGCAAACACGGCGAACGAACCCTCACAGCTATGCACGACCTGGAGACCGACCATGGAACGACCCTGGCCCAAGGCCGGGTAAGGAGGTCGATGTCAACGACCACAGACCAACGCTGAAGGCTATCGTTGTCGACTTTTCCTCGGTTAACAACGTGGATCTGACTTCGATACAGAATCTCATCGACGTACGCAATCAGCTCGACCGGTACACGGCGCCTGAGCGCGTCCAGTGGCACATTGCTTGCGTGAACAATCGCTGGACCAAGCGTGCCCTCGCGAGTGCTGGTTTCGGGTACCCTTCGATCGAAGGAGAAGGCTCATTCGAGCGCTGGAAGCCAATATTTAGTGTTGCTGAAATTGGCGGCTCCTCTAGCGCCGCAGCTGCGGGTGACGAGGCATACAACAAGCTTCACACGTATACATCTGCCAAGGATGTGGAGAGCCACGGACATGGAGCAAGGGATGATTCATCCAGCGATATCCAAACACAGCTTCACAGTTCATCGGCATACAAATCTGGCGCTGGGGTCAAGGTCGCAGTGGTGCAGGGCCTCAACAGGCCGTTCTTCCACATTGATGTCACGAGTGCAGTTCAGAGCGCTGTGCACAACATACAGACATCAGGAACGAGTGCTGATTGATTCAATGCGAGCTGACGGAAATCTTGTACATGTTACCGCGACACAGAGAGAGCGTGTGTGCGAGTGTGTGGTGTGTGTGAGAGAGAGGGATAATGATCATGATGACAATGACGATGATACCAGACATGAAAAAATACATTTAGAACACTTACTTCCACATTTGTAATGTTCTCCGGCCTCGATCTCCCAAGTCCCAAGTCCCAACCTTTTAAACTCTGGTATGATCATATCGTGTCAAGGTCTCCCCCTTCTCTGGCTCTGTTGTCAGGTCAGGGATGAATCCTTGTCGGTGCCAAGTGGAGTGGGGAAATGGGACTGTTAACTGTTCCACCGTTGACCGTTCTGACCACCAACAAACAGTATCATCATCGTCGTCATCGTCCTACGTACATGTACGTGTACAATTGTACAATTATACATCCATCAGCTTCCCGAAACTTGCGCGCGAACACCTGCAAACACCTGCAAACAGTATATACCGAACATGGCCTCAAGCTCGGAGACACCCGTATCGCCCATCGCCACACGAACCCCAGATCTGACCTTCACCATTCCCGCCATCAACGCCCAGCCCGTCGAACTGGACAGCACGCCCACCTCTCCCGAAAAGACTCGTCGACTGGCGGCCGCAGCCTCAGGCCAGGCTGATGCATCGCCGAGTAGTTTGGTGGATCGAGAAGTACTTCTATCTTTCTTTCTGACACCTACCTGATCCTCATGCAGACGACAAGGCGAAAAGCACTCTCGCTGACCTCGGTTTTAGCACTTGAAACAGGTCGTGGAGAAACGTAAAGCAGACCCGGCCGTCCTTCAGGATATCCCGCAACTCCCTGGGCCTCATGAGCTGGAGAAGGTCGAAGCAAGTCATCCTCCAGCGACGGGCTAGGAGTTACCAGGAGGAATCGCTTTCTTGGCCCAAGAGCAGAGTGTGCCATGTCTTTCTTCTTCTTCTTCTTCCGAAATAACCACCATCCCTATTGTCGAACTCTTCATTCTTACAAGGACCAAGGACCTGCGATGGGTCTTCAGAGTGACCTTGTCAACTGCTTCATGGCTCTGGCATGGAAGGCTTGACCATGTTCGAATTCTTCGCCGCCGGAAAGAGCGTGCGCTATGGACTTTTCTTTGTTCACTTTGTGGCGAAGTCGTTGTTCGGACGCAAATGTCATCCTTTTGACGCGGCATCCCATTTCTTTGTCTGCCTGGACATCGTTCGTGAAATTCAAGATGACTCCGGTACACTGCTGCAGCGTATACTTGTCACATGGAGCTGTTCATGAGTGATAGACCGCTATCGATATTTGGAACTACGCAAGCTGCCTGGAACATGCCTCAGTCGCAAACGACAAGTTCGCCTCTGAAGAGACCGCCGATCGGATCGCCATTGTCGACTACGCTATACACGCAACCAACGGTAGCGAGACCTCCACTGTTGTTTAGCAAAAATTCGTCATCGTCATCTTTAGGTGGCTTAGAGCAGAATATCCCACCGAAGAACATACCACCATTCCAGGCTTTCCTGCTGACGACGCCACCACTCAAGCATGACCCCGATAAACCACTTCCGCCAACTCCTTCACAGATACCAGCGGCGGTTGATGACTACGATACAAGCTTCAGAAGAAGATCGAGCAGTGTATACAGCCGCACACCGAGCTATTGGGCTGTCGAGTCTATTGAATCCTGGCAGACGAACGATCTAGAAGAGATTTCGAGGACTGTATTACCACCAATCGCTTATAGTGTTAGCGTGCCCGACTTCAAAAGCCAGGATGCAGCCCCGGCATTTCTACAGCCTCGCAAATTCTCGCCATTACTTACTAGCCCTCGGATGAGCATCCAGACCATTAGCAGCTCTAACCTAAGCTCTGGGGCCACAACAATAACAACACCACCAACACCAACAATGCTTTCATCGACAGAGGCGCCCCGTCAGAAGCCTGCCATGATTTCTCTCCACGAGGCGAAAGAGACGTTACATGCTCCTGGTGCTAAGATCTTATTGCCCGAGGAGTTGCGCGCTCAGGCAGGCAGAAAGAATACAAGAGAGTCGCAAGGACATGTGCGATTATCTAGCTCAGATATATTTCGCATGCATGCTCCACCTGAAGCTCCTGTTGTCGCCACTTTGGTCGATAGACAAGGCAGAGTGCGCAGCATTACCACACCACCTGCTACTATATCGCAATTCCTGGACGATGTTTCTCCACCTTTAGACAATCGGCTTCCTTCGGTGAATGCATTTCCCGTCGGAAGTGGGCCAGCACGAGAAATGGTACCACCGACGCCCACGGTTGCGGAGCACTTTTTTCAGCAACAAATGAATGGCATCGATAGTGACGAGCGGGGAAGAGTGCGAGAAAGAGGTAGAGCTAGCCTCGATGTATCGAAATACAAGTTCCCGGCTTCTCCTGAGACTTATGTGCACGATCCATATCGCTTTCAGATGGGTGACAAGCCGACCAACACAGCTGAGGAGTACCACACGTTGCTGGCTCAGACTTACCAGAAACCATCCCCTGCTACCTCCGAATATGATTCAGATGATAGCATTCGAAGACATATGAAGATGATACCCCAGCCGTTGTTTTCAGGCAAGCAGCCGCCCGCTCGCAAGTCCGGTGCTCTTCAAGGATCTGATAGCTCGCGATACGGAAGGAGTAGTCAGAGCTCGATGTCAAGTCGAGGCTCCAATAGCTTCAATTTGCGCCTGTCAATGTCACCGACAGGGTCACGGCGCACCAGTGGCGGCAGTGGAAGCGGCTTTGGAGACATTCCAATCTCACCACCCAGACAAGATGTTCACAAGCCACAGAGCATATCTGTAGGAAGTAAAGGAGCCGCTCGCCCAGCAGAGTCTCATCGCTACCATCGTGACAGTAGGTTCGAGTCAAAGTACTATCCGCAGCCACTCCAGCGAGCAGATCGTACTGCGTCAATCGAGCAGAAGCAGAAGAAGAATCAGAAGAAGAGTAAGAACAAATCCAGACCGAGCTTCTCCGTCACTTCTCGACCGGTCGGCGCATCCTCGCACAGACAAAAACCATCCAAGAACAGTACGGAATCACCAATGACAAGCCCGACGCTCGGAACAGGTTATGCGGCCGTATTGAACCCACCAGGAGCTCCACTACTGACCAAGTCCGTGATCGAAATGAAACTCAAAACACCATTATCGAGTCCACAGTCTTCACCACTCGGTAGCAATCCTTCGACGCCTGAACCGCAATCATCTACATCTGGACATGGCAACGTTCCATTGGACGAATCCCCCGTACTCGGAAATAAAAAGCATTTTCTTCAACGAGTGGCAATGAAGAGTATGAGAAGGGCAAATCATAAAGATGACAATCATGATGATGATCACAATAATGACAATAATGGAGAAGTTAGAGGAGAAGGAAGACGACAAAGCAGAAACCAATTTCCAACAACAACAGACTCCCCTCATTTAAATCGAGACATCAGTCCTTTCTCAAAACCAACAACACCACCCCCTCACCCCTCACCCCACTCTCCCCATCTCTACCCCCGCAACAGCATCAGCATCACCAGCAGCAGTCCTTCCACAACAACAACAAAAACATCAACAAAACCCTCGATGAAAAAACTAGAATTACCCCCGCATCTAGGCTGGTCAAATGACAAAAAGTTCGAATTCGATTCAGCCACTACACCGCCTCCAAGTACGCCCGTTTCCGCGAGATCGAGAATCAATTTGTTGATGACGCCGTCGAGGTCGTCGCCGGGAGATCACCACGAACAAGAGTGGGAGCGGGGCTTTGCTGCTCGTCATGGGCGAGAAGGGGAAGAAGAGGAAGAAGAGGAGGAGAGTAGTCCGACGACGACTACTGATAGTTGGAGAAGAAAGGGGAGTTTATTTGGAAATGTGCGTGATAGATTCGTGGAGAGCAAGGCTCAGAGGAGGCGAGAGGATTTGAAAAAGATGATTCGGGTTGTGCCGAATCAAGGGCCAGTAGCAGAGAGTAATGGAGATGGAAAAGTCGACCGCAAAGCCAGCGTTACAGCACCAGAGGGTAGGAGGATGAGCATATTTTCAAGAAGGTTGAGTGAGTTCAATTGGGTTTGAAACATTTGGGAATATAAGATGCAATCTTCGATTAAGATTCCTTTGGACATTTGTTTCTTCCTTCAGACCGCAAACATGCGCGACATTCATGGTATCGTAAGTTATCATACTGCAAACCCCTACTTCTTGCCCATGTGCAACGAGTGCTTGATTTTATCCATGGCACCTTCCTTATGGGCTTCAGAGCCTGTACTATCGTGGGGTCCGCCCTTTGCGCCTCCAGTGTTGGCTGCTGTGTTATCTGCTACTTCGGCTGTTGATAGTGTTAGTGCATGATGATAGTGTTGCTGGCGGTGGGGCCTCGGACTCACAGGTTGGTTGTCCATCGCTGCTGCTCACACCTTGACCAGCGTCAGAGCCGCGCTTGGGTGGCAACTCTGGCACGATCTGGCTCTCTCCCCAGTGCTTCTCTCCCAGCTTCTCACCACCTGCAGTTGGAATGGAGTCTGGGTTCTCTGCCTTGCTGCTACCGCCTTTGTGCGCCTTGGAGTGCTTGTCCTCATCGCTCTTCTCGTGCTTCACGCTCTTCTCGGTCGAGTCTTCGTACGATTGCTGACGAGGCTCTGAGGATCCCATCTTGTTAGCACTGGAGTCTGATCGTTGTTCGGGCTTTGTGCTGTGACTGCCGGCTCCTGCAGCTGGGTCTTGTGCTGTGGACACAGGGTTCGTCGAAGTGGAAGGGTAAGCAGAAGTCGTGCTATTGGTCGAGGTGTTGGTGCTTCCAAGAGCTTCGCTCCTGCCGCTGTCGGTATAATCTGGTCCCGTGCTGATGGAATAGCCTGCTGCAGACATCAGTTCGGAGTTGCCTGATGCGGAGGGCTTTGTCTTTGTCCGATCCGGAATGTCGGCAGTAAAAGCGGCGGTATTTCTCTCATCATGACGGGTCACGCCGGGAGCAGCTGCACCAGCTACAGCAGGAGCAGCTGTCGTGGCGCCGAGTTCGGAAGGAGCAGTGACGTTGCCTTTGTTCCACGTAGGCTGCGTGTCCTCTGTCCTCTTCTCTTCGGCAGTGCCAAAGCCAAGAAAGTGCTTGACCGTGTCGACGATGCTCTCCTGCTGCTGCTCCCCACTCTCCACAGGACTCTCCCTGTAGGATGTGCCGCTGACACCTCCAGCGCCCTCGCCCATGCCTCCTCCAGCGGAGGGGGCGACTCCTGGATTGCTGGCGGCAGGCTGCTGGTGAATGGGTTGGGTCACTGATGGCGAGGAGTCCGTACCTGTGCCTTCTGCGGCGCTCGAGCCGCGCTGCATGCTCTGTTGGTTGGCCTGCGTCGCCTCCTTCACGTATTGAGTGCCTTCCTTGTGGATCTGCTGAGCAGTGGTCTCCGAACCACGCGGCTCCGTGGTGGGAATACCGCCCACATCTGACAAGTTCGCGATTAGCCTGGTTGGTCTCGTATGCTCCGTCTGCGGTCCTTACGTACTGCTATCTTGGAGGGCAGACATGGCGTGGCTAAGCTGGTGTTGGGTAGTAGAGTGCGAAATTAGGTAGTTAGGTACTTGCGTGCAAGAGTTGGAAGGCAGGATTGAGGGAAGCAGGAAGACGATAGGATTATATAGGTATGGCCGCTGATGCTAGGAGGTACCTCCTAGCAGGCAAAGGTTCCATCACAGAGCAGGCAACATGGCAAGGCAACATGGCAGACCGACCAGACCGACCAGACCGGCTGTGCACGTGCAATGCGATAGATGTATCATCATCAGCATCCAGCAGCTACGTCAAAGGTGGCACGAAAGGCTGGCTGGCTTGCAGTGGAGTGCCCGCCCTAGCCGCGCCAGGCCTTGTTCCAGATGACGATGGATGGATGAAACGGAAATCTAGCAGGTAAGGTACAGGTGGAGGTAGCTTCCTGACAGTCCTCTCCCGAGCGGTCATCGGAGGGCAGGCAAGCGTGGAGTGGTGCAGGAGCCTGTTGTTGGTCGGTGGTAGAAGGGAGGAGGTACCTGGTAGCAGGAAGGAGCGTCGTAGTCTGATGAGGCAGTTGCTCGGGGCGGTGGAGTGGCGGGGCAGGTGCACGTCATTGAGGCGCGTCTGGGAACGCGTGAGTGGCGGTGGTGCTCCACCTGCTGCATAAGCCAAAAAAGCATCGTGTCTTTCAATGTCCCTGTGATCTTGTCGGCTTCGGGCAATAACGTCGATAAGGTACGGTAAGGTAGGTAGCTAAGCATTTCTCTCCAAGAGAATAAATAGCTTAAGCTTGTCTCTCTCTCTCCCTCTCTCCACATCTCTCTCTGCAACCGGTCCCTGTGGATCGTCGTTTCGTCCTTGGTTCGTCAAACCTCGCCCCAGGCTTCTCCGAACAGGCGCGGTATGCATTGATACCTAGGTAATGCGGCATCAAGGCATCACTTCTACTCAGCCTTGCTATCCATATCAGGGCCGCCATGGCCAATCGGCTTTAGCATGATGATCATGCTATGATCATCCGGGCGCGATATCATGCACCTCCGCCCAAGCGCCATCTGGCGAACAAGACCATCGGTGTGAACTTTCATCGAGAACGTCCTGCGCTGTACAGACAGTATGGTTCCATGTCTACACACAAAACCTGCGTCATCTTCCCTGCCCGTACTGGCAATACAGACGCTGATGCCCTAGAACAATCGTCATCTCTCCCTGCGCCGCGGCTCAAATCCCCGAGTGAGCCGTCCTGTTTGGTATCTCAACCTCCTTGGCCGAGACAGCGCCATGCCGTATGGGATCATCTCGCCCCCCATACCATGATCAAGGTAGAAAAAAGAATAAACATTAACCGGCAATTTGCACACATGAAAGGAATGTCGCTCGCCATCCAGCTCCTAGGGCATGGGCGAGCGGGCCGTTGAGCAGGAAGAGAGACAGAGAGACGAGAAGCATTACCTGCCTACTTCTCGGGCTTCTCGCTTTTCCTCTTGCCCCAAATCGACCGTGATCTGCTTCTGCCACCACCTGCTGGCCGTTCGCCTCTCGAGTCTTCGGGTATCGGGAGTGCTTCGGCCTTTTCCTTTTTGTCCTTCTTCTCAACCTTGTGTTTTGCGGGAGCTTCGATGACAGGTGTCGTGCCAGTGTTAGCACCGTCCATATACTTCGCCTTGTAGATCCTGCAGAAGTTCATGTTAGTCCTCAGATATCAAGAAAAAAAGACAAAAAAGAACTAGTTGCAAAGGGGACGGATGTTGCGCACCAGCTGTTCCCCGCCATACTCATCCCCATATCGGCCGCTTTCCTATACAATGCAGCCGCCCTCTTGACATCTTTCTTCACACCCACGCCCTGAGTATAACAGAATGCCGCCTCGGCAAGCGCATCGACATCTCCCCACGAGCCCGCAATTTCGTAGCACCTGACTGCCAGCGCTTTGTCCTTGGTGCAACCCCAGCCGTTCATGGAAGAAATACCAAGCTCGTATATCGCAAGCGCGTATTGCGCCTTGCGCTTCTTCCGCTCGGCAGGATCGAGCTTCTTGCCATTGCCCGACGTCGAGTTGAACTTCTCCTCTGCATTCGCAACGTCCATGCCGGCACTATCAATCGCCTGCCGCAACCACTTGACCCCTTCGGCCTGGTTGGCTCGCATGCCCCAGCCATGACGGCACGCCAGCGCATAGAGCAGCATGGCCGTGGGCAGACCTGCCATGGCTGCCAAACGCAGGTGATATGTGGATTTGTTGGTGGCTCCGGCGTCATGCGCTTCGATGCCAATGTCGAGATGTTCTTCGGGTGTGATATCTGCGGACAGAGCTTTGCGATGGAGAGGCTTAATGGTGCGATCCGTACTCTCCGTCTTCACCGAAGGTGATGACCGATGAAGTGACGCCACCTCGGACTGGTAGTGCAATGATGCTACCTCGGACTGATGGAGTGGCGAGCGATCAAAGGACGTCTTAGCTACTTCTTGCTTCTCCTTTCCACGCGGCTCTGCCGAGCGGCTTCTTGTGGTGTTGGGATGCATTACCAGGGTTCGACCTACTCGCGGTCCGTCTGACAGCGCTGGCGAGTTGGAGGAGTCGAACATGGGACTGTCGGACTGATTTCGTTCATGCCCTCGTCCTTCATGTGGATGCACGTGCCCGTGCTTTGTCTCCCATTCAAATTGCTTCTGAATCCAAGAATCTCGGAATGCTGTTGACTCACGGTCAACGGCTCTTCCGCGAGGAAGCGCGGGTTTCGCAGAAGTGTAGGAGGAAGAACTAGTACCGCCTGGTGTCATGTGCCCATCTTCCGTGAACCCTCCTGTTGGATGTGCATGTAGACTGGGCGTTGCCACATCTGCGACATCGTCTCTATGCATGGAATTTCTGTCAACTCTGGTCGCTGCCGGCATGCTATCGCCAGAGTTACCGCGAGAGATAGCTGGTTTGAACGCAGCCTCGGTGCTATTACTCCGATCTGATGCCTGACGATAAGGTATTCCCGGTCTTTGGTCACAGGATGGCCGACTTTCAAACGACGGCCGAGGGCGCATCGCGTCGAACGAGGGTGTGCTTCCAGAGCTACTCATAGGCCGAGAGAAGTTGTTGAAGGTCAAGCCGGGTCCTCGCTGCTGTTGCGAACTATTGATGGACACTTCGGATGTCATGGAAGGCGACCTGTGCACCGGACGCATCCAAGGTGAATAGGGCGATTGCGGGCGCGACATATTACTACTGCCAGAAAACTTCCGCCCTGGAGGTTGCTCTTGGGATCCGTTTGCCGATGCAGAGTCTTCATCACCGCTGTCTGGCGGTACCGATCGAATGCTCTGAAAGCTCCTAGATGCTCTGGGAAAGCGTGGTGACTGGGGTGGTGCCAGGCCTCGTTCTCTATCTGATCGCTGTGATTGCAACGATCGTTGTGACCGCTGGGAGTCATTCGTCCTGGTCCTGGGATGGGAAGATATCGTATCGATGCTGTTCGTCAGGCTCGGCGGCACATTTGGCGAAGGTGCCTGAACGTTGACATTCGGCTCTACAGGTTCCGGTGAAAGGGCTCGTGGGATTCCAAAGTAGTCTCCTGCGCTGTTAGCCGCATCATGCGGGTCTTGCGAAGGACGTTCCTGGGCATCAAAGAAGGGCGTGGGCATCACTGGCACCTCTGGCACTCCATCGTCGGTGATGTACGACGCTCGGTCCAAGGTGGGATAAAAACTCATCGGCCTTTCTCTCTCCGGACTGTGCGTGGCTACTTGGCCTCCGTGATGCGAATGTGGGCTCGTCATGTCCTCTTCCTCCTCGGCCAGGTCGGTCATCCTACTCTGATCGCTGATTGAGCGGAAGAAGTCTGGCCGGTTCCTGAACTCTTGCTCCACCACCTTATGGTCCAACCTGCTCACCCTCCGCCCGGCCTGTTGTTCCCTCTTCTTCTCCTCTGCCAGTTGCTGCTTCAGAAGCCGTCCCTGCATCGCAATGAAGTCCAGCGGGGACATGGCCGGCGGCGCTTCTCCTGCTCGCGGAGACGGCAAGTCTCTTCCCAGGAAGGGCATGCGCGGCTTGTCGAAGACCTCATCTTGTGACTGTTCGCCATTCCTCAGGTTCAAATGCTCGGGTCGCGGACCCATGGTGTATGTGCGGCACGGGTGAAATGCTCAAATTCATGTGTCGTGCTGATGATGTGCAGCATGTGAGCATGTATTCGCGATGACAAGTCTTGATCACAGCACTCGAGCCCGAGTCTGAATGTGAATAGTTTGTGTGGTAGGGGTGAAATGCGCGACCGGACTAGATTAGATGGCGCTGCCAGTGGTGGTAGGAGGTAGCTGTAACGAACGGCGGGCGGCGAGGGTATCTACGCGCCTGGAAGAATGGGATGTTGCTAGTGGAAGGCAGTAATGAGCGAACGGCGAGGGTGCTGGCGGAATGGTCAGGTATGCAGGTCTGTTGCGCTGTAGGATGGGATGGCGAACAGTGTATGCTGTCGCAGCAATACAGTGCAAAGTAATGTCTCGCAGCCTCTCCTCCACAACCACCACCAAGGGCAAGGGCAAGGGCGAAACACGCGCTGGCCGCCTCCTGGACTGCACAGCACAGCACAGCACAGTATACCTAATACAGCTCCAGCTAGCCAGCACGTGATGTGCAAGCCAAGTCTCGATCTAACCACACAGCGACGGTCGGCCGTAAGTCTGGCCAATGAAAACGTCCATGCGCCTCCGTCGTGCTGCAGCCAAGCTCCCGCTAAGTGATTCTACGAGGAATCGCCGCGGACCCGCTTTCCATCGTACTGCAGAATCTCTATCGGAGGTTTTGCTACCTCCTACCTCCTACGATACGATTCCAATCTCGTTGGCGCCACAATTCACTACGCGTTGCTCTGGCGGTCACCCTAATAAGTGCCATGGCTGGGACACGAGATCATATCTGTCACAGGAAGTATTTCTGTGGCACACGCGTTTTGGGACTAAAGCAGACTAACCAATAATTGCCGACGCAGGTCCCATTTGTGGAGATACGCCACTCTATATTTGGTAAAGGGTTCGTCGAATGCTTTTCCATTTTTCCATTCAACCTTCTGGAAAATCAAATGGACGACAGCTGATGCTACCTCCTACCTCCTACCTCCTAACTCGGTACAGGCGTGGCAACTGAGCGGCGATGATGCCAGCTGCTCTATCGCCACTGATGCCAGAATGGACAGGCTCTCATCTCCATCCTTGGAGATGTCGTAGCTTGTAGTGTACCTGCAGCAGTGCATATACATACTGTACGAGTACGGACGCTTCAAATTATGCGTTCGCAGAGTGTTGACGCTTGCGAGTTGGACACACGTTGCACGAAGAGGGGACAAAGCGATCGGCTCACACCAATCTGCATATGCACCGCCCTGCTGAGAGCGCCAGATGCGGGGAGCGAGGGGAGCGGTTTGCCTCTTCTCGTCGGAACGATGATAGTTCATCTGTCTGCCTTATCTCCACCTGAGGACGAAGCGACACCTGCGATGGCAAATCGGGCCGGTTGTGTCTTGAACATGGAATTTGCCTTCCCATGAAGTGCATGGGCATTCGAAGCACTTAACCACAGCGTCTTGCTTCGCCCACTTTGCCAGCTGATGTGCAACTTCCAGAGCAAAACGGCCGTTCCTCTCTCAGGCCTGTTAAAGTGGGTGTCTGCGGCATTATAACACGTAAGTTGAAGGAGGTAGGTGGCAAGAAACCATCCAGAAGTTGTCAGCGAGGCGATTGTCAGCGTCATGCTTGGATTGTTCGTCATCCCTGAGGCGCAGTAGTAAACGACTCTCTTCTCGACGAACTTCCAAGCCTGTCGTTTGAGGTTATGAAGCGGCATGCCAAGAACATCTGCAAATGTTACGGCTTCGACATTTGTCCGTCACCACCGCACATCTTGTCAGCCTGCCCAGGTGGTGAAACTGAGTCGACACGGAGTGCTGCGCGCAAATTTAGCTGCCGCAAAGACCGCTGCGTCGTGTCCCTCCAAAATCGTCGGCATTTGGCACATGACCATAGCCGGGCACATATGGCAGGATTTAGCAGGGGATACTGCGCTGTCTTATGATCGTCTCAGCAGTATGAGGTGACAGTAGGTACGAAGATACCTCAGCTATGTGCAGCATAGCACGGAGCTCTGTACGTATGGCCGATGAAGTTAAGTCGCCGGAGTTTCTTGATTCTCTTGTTGCACAGTCAAATACTTGGCTACTATGCCTGCTGCTTCCTTCGTGACACTCATATTCTGTTCCTCATCCGCCTCCTGTTTTCCTGCTGTAGTCTTGATCGGCAGGTATTGCGCCAAGATTGCAATACTGATGCAGTCCAGTAGGGTAGGTAGGTGATGAGTACAGCTTGTACCTCCTACAGGTACCTTCTAGGTCAAACCAGTGTTTGCTCGGGTTTGACTTCACTCACGCGGCCAAGCCCGCCGCAGATCATTTCCAGCCCCCAAAAGACACTACTGCACCAAAAAGGCATTCCAACTGCAAAAAGATGAGAAAAAAGATATAATCTCCCAACGCGGGATCGAACCAAAAATTTTCTCCCAACGCGGGATCGAACCGCGGGCCTTTTAGGCGGCGACTGGTAAGCCTAGGTTTCCTAGAGGTATTTTTTGAAAATATGGTATTTGCTTACCTCAAGATGACAGTGTGTTGTGACGCAGTTACAGTCTTGCGCTCTTCCAGCTGAGCTATTGAGAGTGACATGACACTGTGTGTCATAATAGCTTTAAGATGAGTCATCGTGGCGTCAATGAGAAGTATATACCTCAGCCGCATCACAGCACAAGTGAGGTACAATGCGCTTCATAGCGATCGTTTCTACCCGTCAGGAGTCTTACCACTTACACAACGAATTCGATCCCTTTCTTTCACCGCGGTAAACTACCTGCTTCGCAAAACATTTTGGCGACAAGCACAGTAGATACCTTAGTCTTGCCGAATATCAGATGCGAAGTCAGGCGCGCCAAGCTTGTTCAAAGTAACGAACAGCGAGCGCATATTTGCGTACGAGTGGCCTACCTTCTCGCTCACTGGGTGACTTTGCGAATGAGGATCTCTATCAAGAAACACCTGGGAGAGTGCGTTTGAGGCTGGAAAGTGCCCCCGCCTCCCTTGGTAAGCATATTCTTGACTCTATACATCAGAATATAGTCTGCTGATACTATACAGCGCGGACTTGCTATAGTCTTATATCGAGTTCTGCGAGTTCTATTCGAACGTGACAGGGCAGGCTTAGTCCAGTACAACCGCCGTGACCACTCCGAGAAGCCTATGCGTAGCTCAAATACGCTGTCATAACGAAGCATCGCTATATCGTATGTACAGATGAACATGACTTTGTCTCATTGGCAGGAAATTCTGCCAACATAATTCCAGACACAGGTTGAGTGCATTCCTGCACATCTCGCCTGTGAAGTGATCCGGCAGCCTGCTGCTGCTGAGTGTACTAGAGTTATACTCGTAATATCTTGTTCAGGAGATTGGTCCCTCGTTTCCGTAATCGCTAGATACTCCATCAGCAGTGACGATAAGCAGCGGCGGGTTCGAAATACACTGCTGTCCCCAGTCGATGCAGATCTGCCGAGTTGCTACCAAGCTGTTAAATTTCATTGTGATACATGTACTTGGGACGAGACCCTCCATGATTGATAGATTGGTTGATCCTCCATCCGTGCCGTCAAATGCGACCTCCGTAGGAAATAAGTGTAAGGTAGGTTTCGTATACTCTTTCTCGCATGAAAAATGCAGTAAAGTACCCCAGGCTTTTATTCCTGCCTGTACTCGCTATTTATCCCTTTCGCTTACTTTTGAGAAACATGTCTTTTTAATTCCCTTGGGCGGTTGGGCTATCTCGCCTCGTATTTATTGCAGGAGGAAGGAGGATGTCTTCATAGTAGTAATATACCTAGGATATATGCTGCCCTAGATTCGGTAGCGTAGTCAGTATCGATACCGATAGACTGGTATTATAGACCAAATCTAAGAGGACATGTACCTACTTCTCGCGTCGCGTCTAGATTAATCATCTTCACAGCTACACCCGTTATCAGGCACAGACACGTTAGCTTCGATTCGTACCTTATGTAAAGAGTCGTTCACTCTGTCTTGGACTTTCAGATTTCTCTCCGGTATTATAGGTCCGTAGGGGCCCTTGGTTTTGCAGTGGCGCGCTGAGTTCATTGATGAGTGAAAGGAAGTTGTTGAGACACTCCACAGAAGAGTGTCAGTAAAAAAGGGTGAAGATGGAGGAGGGGCGGCTCGCTTCGTCACACGACGCGGACCGCGAACTTCTTGAGCTTCGTGCTTCCCTTGCTCACCTCACCACCACATCCACTTCGCGCTTTGCGCCAGAACGCATAACGCGCCAACCGAACCTCGCACCATCTCCCTCACGACGGCATATTGCTACTGCAGACCTCCGCCCGTAATTCCGCTGCGCTGAAAGACTTGCGCCATCGAACAACGACGCGAGAGACACGGGCGCTCACTTCGAAACGGCGACATCACCTCCGACAACGACAACTGATGATAGTACGAACACCGCTGCCAGCACTCCGGCGGTGCGGTGCCCACCGCTGCCACCGACATGCCGGCCCTTCCTGAAGAGACCGCTGATGCGCCAGGTCTTGCGCCGCCCGAATACAGCGTCCTCAAGCAGCGTGTGGATATCGACATCGACTTCCCCAACAAATCGCTGAAGGGCAGCACTGAGATCACCATCCAGCCGCTGATCAAAGACCTGCGCACTATCAAACTGCACTGCCGACAATGCAGGCCGACGCAAGTGCAAGCCAGCGGCATCAACGCCAAGTTCGACTACGACGATCCGTATCGACGGACGCGCGTTGGCGACAAGACCACCGTACACCAGCATGGAATGCTCAAGTCGAGGATCCAGAACTCACTTCGACCCAATCCCGAACCTCAATTCGCCATCATTTTGCCTTCGAGGTTGAAGATCCAGGAATTGCGCGTGGACCCCGCAACAGCGCTGCCAATCTCCGAGTATGCGGTTGCGGCCCTGAAGCAGGAACATGACGCTGTCGCGGTGGCGGATACACCTGTCATTGAGAGGCTGCAGCAGCAGATCTCGCAGTTCGCGCCCATCAAGCTCACCATCGAGTTTGAGCTGGATGTGGATCGAGAAGGCATTCGTTGGGTGGGCTGCGATCCCGGCGATCAGAGATATCCTTACCTGTACACGCGGCTTGAGGCATGGACTGGAAGCACATCAAGTCTGTTCCCGTGCGTGGATGATGCGACAAGTAAATGCATTTGGGAACTTGCGATACGATGTCCGCGGACACTGGGCGATGCCTACAGAAAACCAAAAGTGGAAGCGTCGGTGCCAAATGGACACGTCGAAGAAAATGGCGACGTGGAGATGACAAATGGCGATGTGGTGATGACGCATCCGAAACCGAAGCAGGAGGATGGAGAAGAGTACCTGATTGATATGGCTGGAACGGATGCTGCAATGGAGTTGACTGTGCTGTGTATTGGCGATCAGTCGGAAGACACCGCAGATCCCGAGGACGACACACGACACACAGTCACCTTTACTTCGAGCGACGCTGTTACTGCACGGCATGTCGGTTTTGCCATAGGACCCTTCGAGCACGTCGATCTTACAAACTTTCGTGCAACCGAGGAAGAGGCCAAGCTGGGTCAAACTGCTGTCAAAGTTGACGCTTACTGCTTACCTGGGCGCACTGCAGAAGTGGAGAATACATGTTATCCTGTCTGTCAGGCCGTTGACCACATTTCCGTTAATTGCGGACGCTTCCCGTTCTCGACCTATCAAATGCTGTTTGTTGATGATATGGTTGACAACACTGCTGGCGCGGCTGGACTCACCATCTGCAGTACTCGTCTTCTTTTCCCGTCAGAGATTATCGAGCCGCTTGATCGGCACACGCGGATACTGGTCCGTGCGGTCGCCGAACAATGGAGTGGCGTCAATCTTGTGCCCAAGGAATCTTCAGACGCGTGGGTGACTGCCGGTATCAGCGGGTTTTTAACCGATGTGTTTATGAAGAAGCTTGCCGGCAACAATCAATATAGATGGGAACAGAAGCTCGCGGCCGAAAAGGTGTACGACCTCGATGTCGACCGTCCATCCATGGCGCAGCTGGGCTCCTTACTTCATCTGGATCCTGCTATACGAGATTTCTTAAACCTGAAGTCAGCAGTAGTACTTGGTATCCTCGATCGCCGGCTGATCAAGGCCAGCGGCTCAACAGGCGTGCTACGTATCATCAACAAGATCTTCCTCAACGCCAAGACGGGCGCTCTCAGTAACGGCGAACTTTCAACGGCTGACTTCCAGCGTACCTGTGAGAAGTTGGGTCACAACAAGCTCGAGTCTTTTTTCCGCCAATGGGTCTGGGGGTCCGGGTGTCCCATATTCTATGTTCAGCAGCGCTTCAACAAGAAAAAGCTCGTTGTAGAGATGACCATCTTTCAGAGACAGCTCGAGCGGCAAACGAAACCCGCTTTCGAGGCTTCGAACTTCATGCGCGAAGTCAAGGAACACATTCAGGAAGTGTGGGCGCCAGAAGTGCAACCGGTATTTACAGGACCCATGACCATCAGAATCCATGAAGCCGACGGCACTCCCTATGAACACATTGTCGAGATCAAGGAGCCGATCACGAAGCTGGAAATTCCATACAACACGAAGTACAAGCGATTGAAGCGAAGTCGACTCCAGAAGAACAGGGCTGAAGCGGCCAATGGCCAGCTCAACGACGAAGATGGTCAGAGCGCGTTACTGTATTGCTTAGGTGACATCTTGGCAACCAACGAAGACAAGGAAGAATGGAAGCTAGTGGACTGGTCTGCTGAGGACGAAGAGAAAATGAATCAAGAATCTTATGAATGGATACGTATGGATGCCGATTTTGAGTGGATCGGGAAGATTCATCTGGTCATGCCGCTGTACATGTACATCTCACAGCTGCAGCAAGATCGGGACATCGCGGCACAGTACGAGTCGATGCGATACCTGCTTGCCTCGAACCCTCATCACGTTTCGCTCAGTATTCTTTTGCGAACGTTGATGGATGAGCGATATTTCCACGGCATTCGAGTCATGGCTGCGGAGGGCTTGGCCAAGCTCGCCAAAGACAAGCTCATGGACATTGGTAAGCATCAGCTGATCAAGGCATTCGAATGGTTCTTTTGCGAGACGGAAGGTAATGGACCTGTCATGCCCAGGCCCAATGACTTCTCCAGCAGAATCACCCTCATCATGCAATGCGCCATACCGGAAGCTATGGCAAAGCTGCGAGACGAGGATGGAAAGGTGCCTATGGATGTACGAGAGCTGTTCCAAGCTCTTCTTACCCATAACGATAACGCCAATCCCGACATCTCTGACTGCCATTACGTGGCCACGCTCATGAATTGCTTGGCAGACTCTTTGGTGGCATCCAAGTGGGACGGCGGCAAGAAGAAGGAAGTTGTTGCACCTGAACCAGAAGTACCACAGTCTTACACCTTCGAATTTGGCGAAGACGAGGAGGATACTGGCATGATGGATGCTGGTGGGCCAGTCAAAGACCTCATTGACTTTGACGAAGAGCCTGTTGACCCAGACGCGCCATTCACGAAAAGCGCAATTGATGCCATCGAGCGGCATCGACGACTGGACGAATACGTCGTAACCTATCAGAACCTCTACTCGGTCACTGCAATTAAATGTCTCCAAAAGCTCATCAAAGCAGGCGTCGTGAAGGACAAGACGGTGGAACTGATGCAGTACACCAGCCACAGCACAGCAGACAATGTTCGGCTGGAAGCTTTCCGATGTATGAACGAAATAGGTCTTACGAGGAAGCCAGCTGTGATGAAACACCTGCTGCATTCTTTGTCTGATGACCAATCTCCCTACTTTCGCGACCGCTTGACTCGGCACTTTGGCGAAGCTCTCGGCCACGTCGCTCTCGGCGACGATGAGCCTGAACAGCCAGCACCTGGTCCCATTAACGATGGCGGCTTGATACTGGAGGAGGCTCAGAGCAATGAAACGAGACGTATCGAGGCGACCAGAAAAAGCACGCCCGAAGGTGCTATCGCTGCCCTGAAACTAGCATTCGCCGATGATGAGACATTCAAATCCGCTCTTTGGTACGCAGCAACGTCGCCGTACTTCACGCTCGACGAGGTTGCGGCTTTTTGCGATGTTGCAGATCTGATGTTCGATGCCGTCACCTCATTAGCATTGACAATCAAATATCCTCTGCCGTGGAAAGTCGAGCACACCGGCAAGGGCAAGTTGCGCTTCTACACTCATGGCAAGCAATACCGAACGACGCCGGCCAAGAGTATTGGTCTTTCTTGGGACGCGTATCAAGACTTGGAAGATTATGGCCTAAGATATACGGGCCCACTCTCCGCGGAGACGAAGAAGGAACTCAACAACAGAGAACAAGCGAAAACCCTCAAAATCAAAATCGCACGACTGGAGCGAGAGCAAAGAGAGCGTGAGAGTATGGAAGCGACAATTGCTTTGCAACAGCAAGCCTCCTACATCATGCCGCCTCCTGCTTCAATCCCTCCTACGCCCATAGACCACAAGTCTGGCTTCAAGCTAAGTCTCGGTGGTCTGAAGCGCAAGGCTAGTGTCGACATTGGCGCTGCATCGCGTGAAGCCAGTCCCAAGGTCGTCAAGGTCAACAAATCTTCCACTCCAGGCGGAGGAGCAACGCCTACGATCAAGAGACGTGGCTCCACATCTAGCAAAGCCGGGAAGAAGGGCGCTGGCTCTCCTGTGATTCTCCATCTTGGTATTGCCAACTCTAGAAGAGCTTCAGACATCGTATCGAAACCTCCTACACCCGGAAGATATCCCAGCGGTCAACCACCTGCGAAGAAGATCGTACCCGTCAAAGGTGTCGCGCACAGTCGACAGAACTCCATCTCCATTGCTGCTGGAGGACCGTCTCCTGGACCTGCTGCGTGGAGCCCCGTACCGCCCAGTCTGACCTCACCGGGTGGAGGCGTGAATATGAATGTTGGCGGGTTTAGAAGTTTCGGAGAATCTGCTGCTGCTGCCGGCCTCGGCAGCGGAGGCGGTCTCAGCATGTCTCCCCCGCCCGCCTTGTCGACTTTTCGCTCCTTGTCGGGCGGCAGTGGCGAAATCGCTACTTCTGGCGTTGTGAGCACTGGGTTCAGAAGTCTGAGCGGAGAGGCTCCTAGTATCAGTCCGCCTGCACTTGCCTCACCCAGTGGTCTTGGGCCTGTAAATAGTCAGACGAAGCCTTCGCCGGGCGGGAGTACAGTGAAGAGTCTGACGAGCGAGCCGCCAAAGAAGAAGTTCAAGCTCAAGTTGGGGGTGAAGCCGAAGGCTGAACCGCCTTCGCCATCTGGGTAGAAATTCGGACGGGCACTCTTCGGATGATGGTAGAAGGTCAGAGTCATGATCCATTTTAACATGATAGTGACACCGCGTTGGACCACGCAAAGGCACAGTGCTCCTACGCTGGATCATCAAGCTGAGGCGACGCTTGCTTGGCGTGGCGATAAGTCAAGTGACACAAGGTAGATGCAACTATGTATATGTTCATGCAGCTCTCCAGATTTGCTGATACCTATACCTTCTCTTTGCCTGCCCTTTCAGTACAAGCGGTGCCCATCAGCCATCCAGATCTCGACTCGAGCTTAGAATATTGTCAGAGGTTCGATCAGTCCAGTAGCCTCTGTTAGATGATGTACTCATAAGCCTTGTGCAAAGGTGACATGCCCCATGATTATTGCGTTACTCCCGTCATTGAGTTCAGGGCATTGTAGAGTTCCGAAGGGGGGCTCTCATCGCGCGAACCCACTGTGGATATGAGCCAAATGTTGCGATTCCAGTAGATATGGCTTTTCACAATTTGGCATTGATCATTTCGTTCTCTTAGCATTGGAGCATCCCTTCGTCGTCGTCGATGCCTTGGGATGGTCGTACACGGCGATTGATCTACTCCCTTGCGTCCCAGGCATGCCAAATTTCATTCTTATGCAGATGCGGCTGACAAGGTGCGAACCCTGGTGGTACTTTAACTTTTGGCTTTCTTTGGTCATCATGATCGTGACTCATGCTCGAGCTCACTTTAGCAGGACACATGGAAGTTGAGCGCGAACCAGGCTCTCGTGAAGGATATCCATAAGTACAGCAACCAGATACCATGCTTGGGAATGTACAAGTGGACTCTTCGGGGCCATGAGAGGACATTATGATGGTCATGTCGGCTTCTGAATCTGCGCTTTCTGCCTCTCTTCATCAGACCACAGAACATCGATCTTGTCAGGCACATGACCCGTCAGACCTGTATCTCCCTTTGCCTGCCCCTTCAACATGAGCTTGACAGTGCCTGCTTTGGTCTTGTCCAACAGTCCTACACCCGCGCCCGTCTTCTTGTCCATCAACCACCGTTCTGCGCCAATCGAGACATCATACTCTTCCCTGATGGGATTCCCCATCACGTTGCAGAGGAAGCTGGGCACGTATAAAACATTGCGCAGGACGACTTTCGAGTTCTTGGGGCCTTTGTTCCTCTTTGCAGCTTCGCCGTAGAGTTTGCGCACTTCGAGCTCCACGGACCCAATGCCCTCGACTGGTGATGAGGAGTCGCCGACACTGCTGCTGATGTGGGAGGTCAGTGGTCGGAAGTCTGTGAACCAGTCGCGGTGGTTGGCGACGTGGACGTTGGATTCGAAAGACCAGACCCAGTCGATGTTGTACGCTGCGCCTGCAGGTGGCATTTTGTAGGATGCCAAGGTCGTCAGCAGAAAGCGCATACATGAGGTGTACATGGAGGTATTTCATATAGGTACGACTTTGATTATGTAAGCTCTACCTGCCCACACCCTGGCGAAACCTTCCCCAGCGACCTCACGTCCTCTCTTTCTTGCGAGAACCTGCGAGTGCCAACGGCACAATGATCTGGTACCACCAAAGTTCAAGCAAGCATCGGACACATGCCACATACCCGTTGGCTGTTGCAACTGCTACTCCAATATCAACGCTTAGGTGCGTGAGGCTGCGTCAGGCGTTCCTGGGCTGCGTGAACTACCAAACCTGCGGCTGCGCCTAGACCGTATGTTCATCGAGCTTTGCTGTGTTGCATCTCGCGGTTGGTGGAACATGACTACATGTCTTTCTCGTAGGCCTGAAAAGAGAGTGGTGTTGATGATGGTGAACTGAATGGACTTGCGGCTAGTCCAATTTCGCCTTCAGTAGAGACCAGGTCGGCTATCACATCTTTGTGTCTTCGGACACGTCGTTTCTTCAAGTAGGTAAGCTTCGAATGGCAGGAAGACCTTGAGTGGCGCAGACTGAGCTGCTTGGCAGTGACGATGGCCATTCCCTGAAGCGAAGCTTGAACGCAATGTGCGATGAGGTGAAGCTGAAGCTGAAGCTGACGACTGGGAGATTGTGCTAGCTAGCTGATCCATCGCCAGATGCTGCTCTGCGAGTAGTTCTGTAGCTCACCACCTTCACAGAACTTCCATCGACACACCAACATTTGCCTCCGGCTCCACCTCCGACAACAGTCTCGACCCGTCCATAGCAAATACAATCTCGAACACCGATTAGAATACCCTGCTCAAGATGCGGTGCACCCAACTATTTCTGTTCGCTACCACCCTCGTGGGCGCGATCGCTGGAGACTTGACCTACTACGCAGACGCCCTGAGGGAGCAAGACCTCTTCCAAGTGCATTTATTGAGTCCTGCCAAGATATCAGCTCGGTACATGTAGGCGCTTGCGGCATCATCAATGATGAATCTGATTATGTTGTCGCCATCGGCCATCACATCTGGGATACTGCCCAGACCAGCTTAAGCCCAGGCAAGAACCCTTACTGCGGCAAGAAGATCGCGGCCACGCTCTCAGCAACTGGGAAGACGGTCACAGTCACGATTGTCGACAAGTGTGCAGGATGCAATGACGAAAGTCTTGACTTCTCGGGCGGAGCCTGGGACGATATCATCAACCGCGCGGCACCATTTGAGGGCCTCCGGTGGCACTTTCCCTAGGTGTTGTTCCAGTCCCCGGGCGGCAAAACTGGGATGAGGATTCCGAGGAATCGAAATCAGACTTTCCTTCAGTCATCTCTGTGTCCCAGCGTCATTTACAACGATGGTGTTGCGGTAGATGCGCTTCGAGAAGTTAGTTGCCTTTCGAGAGAGGCCAGCATATTCGGTGGATGAGAAGTAGCCTCGTACAGGTGGCTGATTCTGGGATACATCGATTGACTTGGAACGGACACCTCGGAACTTTACATCCCTCTGTGCAACGTGATATTCTCTCAGCCACCTCATAATTGCTCCTGAGAAAATGTGGCTTGTACTCCGAGCTGACCTGTTAAATACTTGCACTTCCGAGGCACAGTATTCATGTCCACGTGTATAGATCTGTACAACACTGACCGTGGTTCCATCTACCTGACTTCATCACATCTCACACCACGTAGCACTATCCCGCCGAGAAGGTCTAGCCTGGACTGCGCAAACCTTGGAAAACGTGAGACCTGTTCAAGCAGGTTCCAGCTCTGCCAAAGGACCTTAGCATTTATAGTGTAGACCTTACCAAGGCGTTCCGACTCGTTGGACACGCCCTTGTTGGATGCGCAGTCGATTGTGTCCAGCATGTGAAGCCAGCTTCTCAGGCGTCATGTACCACTTCCAACACGCTCGATGTGTACAACCAACCATGAGCGCAGCCAACAACAGCTCACACTGTTGGTACTGTACGTGTATTCTAGTATGGCTTGTGACGAAGTGCTCGTGATATCCGTAGCCCCTTCGCGGATTGTGCGTCGCCGTAAATTCACTTAAAAGCTGAAACCTTGATTCTCAGAACGCCACTTCTCCTTCATCATCACAACAACAACAACAACAACAACAGCGGCAACTCGATCCTGCTTCCTCTTCAAATCACCCACGACTCAACTTCCTTGAACAACCAGAAACAGCACCTGCGACTACCTTGCAGCGAAGTCTGCATCTGCATCTCCAAGGTACTGCTGTTTGCTGCTGCCACAACATTTCGTCTCTCGGCACGTGGCAATCTTCACCTCGAGCTACATTGCGAAGATTCCAAAGATCTCGACCAATCTGGACTGCAGACATCTGTCCAATCCTGCAGACTCATCGGCATTCATCACCATCATCATCTTCAGCGGCCATCCATGAACATAGCCAGCAGGCGCACCTGAGATAACACCCTCCGAGCTTTGCCACAATGCCGCCGAGCATCTACACCAAACACAACGAGAAACACGGGAGCGGAAAGGCGCTTTTCCTGATCGTATCGGTCGTGACGGCGGGACTATGCAGTCTGTATCCGATAGCTTGCTTCAAGAACTACAGCGCCAAAGAGAGACGCAAGCAGAAGATGAAAGCAGCGGAAGAGGAGAAGCGCAAGAAGGAGGAAGACGCGTACCGTCCACCAAAGCAAGTTCGACGTCGATCTTACTCTCCCGTCGCTCATCTGCCTCCTCCACATCGTCGCCGTTCGTCCTCGAGACGCCCGCACGAGAACCGCCACGGCAGTCGCCATCGGAGCAACTAGGAGAACGAAGACTCTCCCGAAACGAGCTCTCGCTCTCACACGGGGCACCGGTCGAACGACCAGAGCCTGGACCAGGATCGACAACATCGCCATCATGGTCACGCACCTCCGAGGAAATATCATCACAGCTCTTGGGACGGCGTACTGGCACCGATGCCGACCTTTGCCGTGTAGCATCAGATTCGATACAGCAATATAGCTCGGACATGAGGTCACTGCTGGCGAAGACAACGTTGACGATACCACACGCGCTACCACCCGATCTCACCATTGCACCAACACCCAGTTCTAGTCATTCCCATCATTCCGCCAATTCTATATCGTCGATTACCTCGAACGAGTCCTACGCGAGCAGCTTTGCCTATGGTGTTCGAAGAAGCAAGCCGGACCTGAGACTGCTCCGAAAGGGCAGCAAACCTTCGCAACATCTCAAACCAAAGCCATCACTTCTCAAACCAGCGGCAGACGGCCGACGCTCGCCTTCATTCTACCAACCTAGGGTAGTCGAAGACACTGGGGTCATTGCGTTGACTTCCAGACCTCTCACGCCATTACCACACACAGTGATACCAGTGTCCCTGACATTGTCCGAGTTGTTAAAATCAGACACGATGGTCAAGCCCGTCCAGAGAGTGAACACTTCTGGGTCTGATACCATACAATCAAGGCGGAAAGGGCATGCTTCTGCACTGAAGCCCGCCATATCGAATCTGGCACTGTCTCGACCGATTCTGTCCCAGCAATTCGTCGACTCTACAGTGCCGATCGAGCTACCGCATCGGCGTCCAGCAAAGGCTTCTCGACAATTACGCTTTGATGAAACCTTGCACATGATGTATAGTGGACGATCGTCGCCTCGTGGCTTCGCGGTGAACAGCCACCTGAACCAGGCAGATCCAGCTACAGGATTCCGAAAGAACAGTCACATTACCGCACGGGCTCATAAGAAGCACAATCCAGACGTCACGCCGCCCGAGAACGAAGCCGATGCGTCTGGGGACACAGTCTTCCAGTACGGCGACTCATACTTCCATACTTTTGATAACAATTTGAAATACAATAAGGAGCTTGTACCCGCACCGACACGTGCCAGTGGGAGGTTTCGTTCTGTGGTTCAGGCCATATCTGCGGCGACGTCGCGCAGGTCAGAACAGGTTGGAGAGACTATAGCAAAAGCGGCAGTTGGGGTTCCCCTGGCATCGACCTCGAAGAAGAGACCTTCAAGCGCATTGTTCGGTCTATCCAGGAAGTCGACGGTTAAGGTGGATATGAAAGATGAGACACTACGCGGAAATCGTACTGCTCGCAGGTCGAGATCTAAGGGGAGGAGGTTTGGCACACCAGAGACTTCACCCCGGCCGACACCGTTACCGATGCCAGAGACCCCCATCATCACCTTGGACACTCCGACCTTACTGGACAGCGATGGAGACCGGAAAGGATCCATTGTGCCAGAGCTCCGGATCCCTTCATACTGTTCTCGACCAAGAATGCGCCGCTTCGACAGTGAGTGGTCCTCATGTCCTTCGCCCGGCCATGCCTCACCAGGATCCAGCGAGGCAATTTCAGAATCGGGCTCTACGTCACCGTATCCACAGCGATCGCGGCGTCAGCGCAGGTCTTCCTCGGAGGCGCTCTCTCCAATGAGCCTCGCGCCGATGGGTATGACTCGGATGCCGCCTGTTATACAATCTCGAAGCCCGCACACTGACTACGGGGAAGCAAAAGTCACAGAAGGTCATGTTTCACCAGATCTCAGGCCACGTCCAGGCGTTGAAGCAGCGTCGGGAGCTGGTCACGAATCACCAGTTTCCAACACACAGAAGCCCGCGAAGGCTCTAGCTTCCACATCTGTCGTCGAGGCTGGGGCAGTACCCACGAAGGCGAGTCTGGATCAGATAGGTGTACACTCCAACCGCATTCTCAGGAGAAAGCCAAGCGTGTGGAAAGGCGTGAAGCATGGACTGCGCAAGATGTCGTCACTGAGAGGCTTCCGTGAGGAAGAAGCAGTCAGCAATGATTGGAAGACATCGGCACACAAGCGGTCTTCAGTCATGCCCAGGATATCATTGCCAAGCATTAGTCTTCGAGCGTCTCGATCTTCAATCAACGTGCGCAATGGAAGACTCGTGCGAAAGGTATCTCGAAGCAGCCAGCTCGAGCGAGCATAGAGTGATAGCGATGACGAGGCGCTTTCCGAGCATGAGAAGACGGCAGGTCGTCCTGGAGACAGCCAAAATACTTTGGGCCTTTCAATGGGAATAGCAATCAGACCAGAGGACTTGGTTGTGACGGAGTTTGAGCAGACGCCGTTCAGCAAGCGATATTACGACGCTATCCGTGCAGAACAACAGAGTATCCGGGCACTCATGGATGAAACGATCGAGCAAGACGATGAAGCAGATGACGAGATTGTGCTCGGGTTTGAGCAGAATGTGCCGGATCACCTTCCGAGCAGTCCTGTTTGCCCTCTCAATCCGAAGCACAAAAGCGGCGGCAAAGCCATCTGCCCGCTGCATGGAAAGTACAAGAGGCGAAAGTCGTTACCCAGTCCACGGCACAAGGTGGAGATTGTATTCGACACGAGGGAAGAGCAGCTCGACGCGAGAGCTTTGGGGCGAGGGGGCGAGGGGGCAGAATTGTTCCTTGGCGGTCGACTGGAAGGAGAGTCGTATCCATCGTCTGCGGCTATGGAAAGGCGACGCCTGCAAACGTCCAGCATGGGCAGCGATGGAACGGAGTCGATTGTGGTGCAGCTACGTGAGGTTCGATCACGGCCTAGACGGCGTCGGCGGGAGCAGCGAAGCTCGGAACATCGTGGTCGGAGCTTGAAGCGAGGCGAGTCGGCGGTGGATATTCGGCGACGGCGTCACCAAAAGGCGCGGAGGTGTATACAGCCCTAGGTCTGGTGGTAGAGTAGTCATTCATGGTGATGAGGGGGGGCAAAGTAGGTAAGGTAGTCAAGTAAAAGTATCATAACGAGTGCATTCAGGTTGGTAGGATGAGAAGCGGTATAGCATTTGGATGAGGACAAAATCAAGCAGCCGGACTAGCGGCTCTTTCCGAGAAGCTGACCAATGGCGTCCATGTAACACACGGCTTGAGGAGCGCTAAAGCGGCTAACTGCAGTCTGCCACGAATGTACCTTACCTTGCCTTCTACCTCTCGTCTCTATTATATACCTCCTAGCACCTCTCTTGGATTCTATACCTACCTTACCGTCGCTGTTGCCGTAGCCTTGTTGCTATAACTAACTTTTCAAATTTGTGTCCTATTCGGTAATCTCTCTAGCTTAGAAGAGAGAGAGAGAGAGAGAGAAAAGAGAAGAAAACGGCTACTAATAGCAGATAGGTACTTACCTAGGTATACTATCCTATACGCTGTTTTGTTTGTTTCCAAAAAAAAGAGGTAGAAGAAATAAAAAGACCCTACCTTATCTATACTACTTAGCCCAGTTTGAGATGGCTATATACCGTAGGGGTCAGGTAGTAAGACACCTAAGGTCAGGTAGGTAGGTAAGTATTTCCAGACCGGTCAAACGTAAGATAATGCTCACTTACCGGACATTGCACAAAACTTTTCTCCTCGGCGGTAGAGCTGCTTCACTTACAGGACTTTTAGGCTTGTGCACGCACTGCTTTACGGAACACTGCTTTGCTTTGCTTGCTGCCCCCCGGAGCTATCACCTAGCCGAACAGGTACCTAAACTCCGAATTGGACAACACTAGTCTACCTGGGTCCAGGTCCAGTTTCCAAGGAAATAAAAACAAGGGCTGGTCGCTCGGCATACATGATCCTGTCTCCTGTCTATATATAAGACGCATCGAGCGCGAATCGTAGGCTGGTGGGGTGGGGAGTTGGTACACTTGATGATAAATCTCGGGGCATACATGGTTAAGAATGACATTTTATTTCACCCAGCATGTAGGTACTTTGTGAAACGAATGGAGGTATAAGTAAGAAAGAAAGAGAGAGAGAGAAAAAAGAGAGACGAGTTCTAATTCTCCTGAGATGGGTGATTACGTCCATCCATAACCCTTTTCTTTCTTTTTTTTCCTTTATACGCACGCACGTCCGTCCTCCTCAGGCACGTCCGTCTATACGTCTTTTAGTTCATTCTGCCCCCCTCTTACAAGAAGCCCGCTCCGAACCTACGCATGACTCTGTCACCAGCAGAACCTCCAACATACCACAGAAACGGTGAATATGCCTCCACCAGGTACGTACATATATACAGAGAAGCTGAATGAAGAGATGGAGAGAGCTACTTTGTTGAGTTTACAAAAATAAAAAAAGTCGAAACAGCCATCCCGTCATCGCGTACGATAACCCGAAAAACAATATCCAGTTCAGCAGCACCACCACCACTGAGCCTATGCCTGGCAGTTCGTCGGGTCCAACAATCATCAACAACGGACCGAAGAAAGCACAGCAACACCAACACTCAACATCATCATATAATCTCACTCGATACCTCCAAAGCCCCAACCGCTACGAAAGAATTACCCTAGCTCTCGGAGTCTAGCCCGAAGTTTCTTCGTACACAAGTCGCGCGATACAGAGAGATACAGTAGGTACATGTGCACAAGTACATGTAGTCGCGCGATAATGCAAAAGCTACTTCTAGGTACATGTAGCAAACAAGCGGCCGTGAAAAGATTTTACCTTAGGTACCTGTAACCTTTGGGGTTTGAGGAGGATGTCCTTACAACGTGTCAACGTATAGCGAGTTTTTGAGTGTTGTTAGCGCAGGGCAGGGCAGGGCAGGGCCGGCCGCTGCCGGAACCCGTTTGTTAAGGAGGTATCTACGGCTTTGTAGCTAGTCCATAGAACCTGGCATGTTAGCACGATAGTGTTGTTCGCTAGAATTACAATACACCTCATCCTGATCGGATGGTCGTTTCGTTGTGTTTCGTTGCATAGGTACCAGTAGATTGCTTGCGCAGCTCTCTGTTGGATTAGTCATGTAGCACTGCCGGCGGGCGCACTCTAGGGATGAAGACAATCTTGGTAGCACTTTTTGTAATATATACGCATTGCAGTAAGCGCAACATTACAGTAGACTACATACTCGGGTACTCGAGCGTTCTTAGTCGAGTCAATGAATCCTCGGCTTTGTTTTAGGCAAATTGGTATCTCTTCTCACTCTCACTCAAATACTACTAGTCAGCGCTGATCTCCACTGGGCGGACAGGATCGAAGTACGGATGTGACTGCGCCTCTAGTGCAGTCAATCGTTCCTGCAAGTGGTTAGCAATCGCCTTTTTTTAGCAGACATGTTGCGCGGTATACCTGATGATCGTAGCGCAATAGCTTGTCGAGGAAGTCTATCGCTTCGTTGCTGATGAAACGTTGATTTTCGGAGTTGACGAACGCCTGCCAGCTCTTTTTGGGAAAGCGGCCAAGGATGTCATCGTATTGCGCGTCCAGCTCAATGTCGTACTTGTCCAGGTAATCGAATAAGTCTTCGGTTCCCAGGACCTTGGCGATCTTGACCAGCTGGTCACTATTGCTATTGCCGTGGAAGAAAGGCTCTTTGCGGAAGATCATGCTAGCAAACATGGCACCGAGAGACCACAGGTCGAGGCTGTAGTCATATTCCTGGAAGTCCACCAGTAACTCGGGGCCCTTGAAATACCGACTGGCGACGCGGACGTTGTACTCTGTGCCTGCGTGGTAGAACTCGGCCAAACCCCAGTCGATCAGGCGCAGCTTCCTGTTCTCGTGGTCGATCATGACGTTGTGGGGCTTCACGTCTCGGTGCATGATGCCTTTGCTGTGGCAGAAGTCGAGCGCCTTCAGCAGCTCGAGAATGTAATATCGCACATCGTAGTCCTGGAACTTGGGATACAGCGTGCGAAAGTCCGTGTTGTTGATGTGCTCGAAGATCAGGCTCGGCGTCTTGGATTGACTGTCCCGGACGACATCGAGTAGAGCGACAATGTTGGGGCCGCCTGACAGGTTCTGCAGGATCTTGATCTCGCGCTTGATCTTCTTCTTCTTGACCGGCTTGAGCACCTTGATCACGCACTTCTGGTAATTAACCACATTGACACCCTCAAACACCTCACTGTACTTTCCGCGCCCTGCCCTGCTCGTCAGTCATGGCCGCACAACGGGCCCTGAACAGTAATCCTCTCTCACCTATCTTGCGCACCACCTCGTAGTTCTCCAAGACTCCCCAGCTGATATTCACGCTGTCGTAGTCCCAGTATGCGCGCGGCATCTGCTGGTTGACATCTGCGTACACCCTCGCCATGCTGACTGCGAGAGCCTGCCCCGGCTCGAGTTGGCGAACGGCCTACCCACCCACTGTCTGCGTCCCTTCTCTCCCGGTTGGCGCAGGCGCGACGAATACGATGCTGTGATGATATCGATCTTTAGAGCGGCTGGTCGATTGATGGCTCGATTATCGAAGACTCGTCCAGAGATACTGACGGCGCGACGGTCGCGGACTCGAGTAGGGTGGCGGCGGCGACGGCGCGTGAAAGTGTTGTGGGTGCGCAGAGGTGTGTGTATGGTGCAAGGACGAGCGAGGAAGGAAGCAGAGCCCCACCAAACAGAGAACGCCCTCGTCAGTGACGCTTTCGAGTGACTTGCCCTGCCTGCTGTTCCCTCCCACCACATACCACATCCCACATCCCACACCACCACCAACAACATCAACACCAACATCACCATCACCATCACCATCAACTGGGACGGCACTTGATGGAACGGTCATTGCTACAGCGACTCGCCGTACCAGGCGTGTTGAATCTCGTGGCAGTCTTGGCCTATAGCTCGCAATGGCTCTTCCACCGCATCGAACCAGGACCACTGCCCGCGGGACAAGCATGTGTGTTCAACGTGCTGGTGGCATGCATCTTCCTGTGCTACTGGCGAACCTGCTTCACCGATCCAGGGAGGATACCCCCAAATTGGCATGATACTATCCTGGAGGCTGGCTCTGAGGCGCAACAAGCTGCCTCAAAAGCTGCAGCACAGAGCAACCGATGGTGCAGGCGATGCGAGGCCTACAAGCCGCCGCGAGCACATCATTGTAAGACGTGCCAACGATGTATCATGAAGATGGACCACCACTGCGTCTGGACGGTATGTCTGGCATTCGCCCGGTAGTAATTACAAGGTTGGTAGGTAACGATTTCTCAGGCCAACTGTGTTTCTCATATCACTATTCCGCATTTCATTCGCTTCATTACATACGCTGTAGTCTCTATGGCGTATCTCGAATACTTTCTTTATCTTCGTGTAGCGCCTATATGGGAGAAGAGACACCTACCAAGCGTAAGCACTACGACATAAGAATTAGGCATGCCGAGCGGGACGTAGCTTACAATCACAGTACTTGGGACCATCGGCTCGGCAGCTGAGCCACGTTTTTTTCCTGTGCGCTCTCAACTCGCTCCTCCTCTTCGCCCTTACGCTCCTGCTTGGACGCACATTGTGGTCTCTCGCAGTGAATACATGGACCATCGAAGGATGGGAGATTGAAAGACACGATGCTGTCCTGAGACGTGCTCATGTTCTAGGCGGCTTTCTTCAGGATCCCGATGGAAACAAGATCCGCATCGAGCATCAAGAGTTTCCGTGGGACATCGGCATCTGGGCGAATATATGCCAAGGCATGGGAAGCAGGAATCCCCTGACGTGGCTCTGGCCCTTCTCACGCAGTCCATCAGTGGAGAGCGGCATCTCATATGAACACAATGAGATTGACGGTATGTGTTGTTGACAAGGCCACGCATTGAGCAGTAATACTCACGTTACATGACAGATCCCAGCAAGCCATGGCCACCACCTGATCCGGATAGACTGTTTCGAGTAGAACGTAAGCCTCTGGTCGGGGACGGCTTCACTCGATCATGGGACATTGAGGACTTCAAGAAAAGACAGGCTGCTGATCTCGCCCGTTATACTGATGGCGATGGCGAGTACGTTGTCCGAAGAAGACCCTTCCACGAACGACTCGAGGACATGGTGACCGATGATGGCTATGCATACGGCAATGGAACTTATAACGACAAAGAGGACGCCGATTTTGACGATGAAGACGTTCGCGGTAGGCCTTCGACCAGAGCGGACGAGGGAGAAGAAGCCTGGCGCAACAAAGAAGGCGAGCGCCTGGCAGATTTTGGAGTTGATGAAAGCGTAGACTTCTACGACGAAGACGATGTGCCTCTAGCAGAGCTTATCAGAAGGCGACAACTAGCGAAGGATACGTAGTTCTGCATTCACTTCTGTAGGATTAAGAGAAAAATTCATACAAAAAGTCACCTACCTTATACACACAGTCCTTAGTCATCACTTCACTGCCAAGTCTGGGCTTGTTTCACGTGCCGTCGTGCCGTCTGACGACATTGGTTGGCATGTCCGGTCAGCGGTGTCGATCAGATGGATCTGATCCAGCTGCGCCCCGAAGCTAGGCACTCGTATACCAACGACGGCGTTGCTATGAGCGACTGCTTCGTGTATCACGAACATCCAAGATGACCTGACCTACGACACTTCATGATTCTGCCCAACAGACCGCCCGTACACATTGCCTAACCTCACCTAATCATCCGTCATTCGAGCGCTGGGGATACATTAGTACACAATGGGCGACCAAGAACACTACTCCTCCACCGCCCGAGCGCTGGCATCGCAATACAACGACTACAGCGACGACGAATCGAACCTCGCCGCCCCGACCTTCCACCGCAGCAACTCGCACTCGCCGCTCTGGTCGCGTCGCTCTCTCGACTCCACTCCTCGACGACCGCAACGGCGACGAGACAAATACCTCCAATACGCCGAGCAATACTACACTCGCGGCTACTCCATATGGACACACCTCTCCCCCCTCCAACGCGCCGGCGCAATCTTCTTCTCCATCTTCTTCACCGTCCTCGCCATCCTCGCCATCACATACAGCCACTCCATCTTCCAATACCTCGCCCCCGTCGCCAAACGCTGGCGCAACGCCCCCGGCGGCTGGCTCATCCTCTGGCTCGCAACGTTTTTCGTCTCCTTCCCTCCCATGATCGGGTATAGCACCTGCGTCACGACAGGAGGATTCGTGTTCGGCATGACCAAAGGCTGGTTGATACTCTCCTCGGCGACGATTCTCGGCAGCACGACGTCTTTCCTCCTCAGTCGGACGGTGTTGAAAAACTACGTTTCGGATATGACGAAGAAGAGTGCAAAATTCTCGGCGTTGGCTATGGTGCTCAAACATGATGGGATTAAGCTGTTGATCATGATCAGACTGTGTCCTCTGCCGTATAGTTTTTCGAATGGCGCGATCAGCACGATTCCGACGGTGACTTGGCAAAAGTTCATGTTGGCGACGGCGATTGCGAGTCCGAAGTTGTTGTTGCATGTGTTTGTGGGGAGACAGTTGGGAGTTATTGCGGAGAGTGGGGATAAAATGTCTTTTGGGACCAAAGTGGTGAGTTATACGACCATGGTGATTGGCATTGGGTTAGGGATTGGGACGGGATATTTGATCTACTCGCGTACAGTGGCGAGAGCGGCGGTTTTGGAGGCCGAAGAAGCTGCTGCTGCTCGAGGTGGGAATGTGAGGAGAAGTAGTGGTTCTGTGGGAGGATATACTGATGATGGTGATGATGCCGATGAGGAGGATGCGAGGCAAAGGGCTGATGTGCTGCGAGAGAGGCAGAGTGACGTGTCTTTGCATACGACATATGAACATGACCTGGAACGGGGGTATAGAGATGATTTCACAGATGATGAAGATGCTACGGAAAGAGACGTCTTTGATGCGGGAGACGGAGAGACGGATGACGAGAGCAAAAGCTCCAAATGATATAGAAGAATGAAACTTTCTACGAAGTCTTATGTGCATGGCGGCATGATCCTCAGAAACTACCATCATCTTGAGCGCCCGGAGATGGTGACTCTGACATGATGTGCTTAAGGCCTTCATACCATTCATTCCCCACTGACCCACCTAGCTTCCAAATACTAGGCAGTCTTCCTTATGATGAACCACCTAATAGGCGCGAAACGAAGTGAAACGCCCTCTCCTCGCAGTAGGTACCTACCTAGGTACCTACCTTATGTATATATAATCCACGCCCGCCCACCTCCCCATCCCGATCGGGTATCATCGAGCGCCTGGTCACGTTCCCGTCGCGACTAGGGTGGAAGGTAGGTAAGTAAATATCCAATTCAACAATCCCGTCATCAGAGGTATCCGTGACTTACTGTATCAGACGGGATCCAATGACTTTGCATGATGAGGAGCTCACTTTTCTTGATTTTCTGCGTCGGTTTTGGTCTTATGGGTGGTGGCCTTTTCCTCGTGTTCCTGCTCGTGTTCCTGGTCTTGCTCTTGCTGGGGCTCTTGCTGCGGCTCGTGTTCTTGCTCTTGCACAGACACTGCAGCAGTTCCAGTCTTTGAAGACGGTCCTGTGAAACCGTGCTTTCGCTTGGAGCTTTGCACCTTCAAGCTTCGAGATGCACGATCACGCTGGTTTATCGAACATTTCGTCCCCCCACGATGGTTTCGTCGAGTTTTGATGGGTTTGTCATGAATTGAGAAGTCGTCTGGCTCCAGCTCCTCTTCATAGACCACTTTCCGTTGCTTTCGCTGTGCGGGCGGGCCGCGGTATACACTGGGAGGTTCGGTGCGTCTTTGCAGGCCTAACAGGTCGACTGGTTGACGGACTCCGTCTCCGGGATAGATCCAGAATCGAAGACTGTTGTGTCTAGTATGTGTGGGTGAGTTCTGCCGAATCCATTCCAAGCTTAATTCGCCCATTTCTTTTCCGAGACCATCGGCTCGATCTCCCAGATTGTCTGCCTCGAGTGAAACTCTAGCCCGGCGGATGCGAAGTGAAGGGCAAGCTTTGAGTACTAAAGATTCTTCGGCCCCATCCATGCGGCATTCCGGCATGTCATAGTTGCGGTTGATCATGACGATGGGATTTGTGGAGCTTTCTGGCGGGTAAAGAGGAAGCTCCAAAAATACGCAAATCGTCAGCATTCGCAGCCGCAGGATTCCTCTCCAAGCGGACTGGGGACCACCAGCGGCCACAAGGTACGGTGAAACCGAGAGATTGTCGAGATTCGGGAGGATGGCTAGCGCATCTCTCAACGCAGCCCGTTCTTCTGATACCCAAGACCGGTGCTGCTCCTCAGGTGCGCCGCCCACAATCTTCACAGACCTGATCTGGAACCGCGTTCTCTGTGTGAGGCTTTTGGTGACAGACAGAAGACGTGCCGCGCTGTGGAACGTGAAGGAAGAGTCGTGCCAGAATATGGACCCTGCTTCGCCTGCAATCTGCTTGTTTGTTCGCAGTAATCCGAGGCCACCTCGAGCACAGCAAGTTTTATAGCAGTCTTGCTCTAATTTCTTTCGCGTCAGCTCTTCTTGGATTTCCTCCGCTGTCATGGGCTCCGGAGGGGCGCTTGCTGGTATCGGCCAGTATGTGGTTTCAGGCCCAAAGCGATGGCAGCTGGGTTGGTGCCTCCGGTAAACAAGGTCGGGCTCAAATAGCGCGAGCTGGTATATCTGATTACGAATCTCTCCCGGAAGTTGGAGAATCTTTGGTTTGGCGCTGTAGCTGACGATGTTTAGAATTCTACGTGCTTTGGGGAGACCGAGCAGGTCGTCGTAGACAGCTGCCATATTGATGGCAGTTGTATGTATGAGGATGGCAGTCTGGTAGAATGTAAATGTAAGGTAGTATGTGTTTTGTGACGGGGAGCACAAGAAGTGCAGTGCAGAAGGTAGTATGTGTTTTTTGACGGCGAGCACAAGAAGTGCAGAGCAGAAGAACATATAGTCACTCTAGCATGTATGGATCCTGCTGCTTAACTTCAGGGAGCCGTATTCTACCACAGTAGTAGGCTGGCGACAGCCATAGAGCAGCGACGAACCCACATTTATAAGCACCTATGACTGACTACACAGCCAGAGTACTCCCGCAAAGGAACGCAGATGAAGCAATTACTTGGTAGTGTAGAAAGTCAGCCGGACATGGCGACGTCTGCATCAGCTGGATGACTGCAAATCTGCAATGGTGCGTTTGGGTTCGACACATCACGCGTGAATGTGCCATCCAGACTTGCTCTTCGTCTTGCGCTTGATTCAAGATCTATGGTGTCCTGTAAGCTGTAGGCCGTCAATACCATTAGTCGAGCGTGTCTGCGAGCGTAGGAAAGTCTTAAGCGGGACCGTGCGGTTTAGTTTTGTGTGTCCCATGGAGGAGGTGAAGTCAAAAGCATGCCCGAGATTTCCCCGACCATACTGGGAACATTGAATCTCCATTTGTCGGTCATCTGCTACGGCGGCACTCATCAGGTACATAGTCCCCCAAGACAAGAACGACTCCCGTGGGACGAACACGAAGATGCCTCCGCGCAGCATCAGCGTTCCTACAGGGACATTCGCTAGCCATGTCAAACACCTCCGCGCCCAACGACGGTCCGCCAGCACTGCCGCCTCGAATCTTCCCACCGCAGCAGCCCTCCCCGAGATAGCTCCCGTATGGCGCTCGCGAACAGAACCTCTGACGCGCCTGGGACAGTCCATTACGGGCGCGATGGAGTGGCAGACATCGACCTACTCGTTCAACAAACAAGCTGTCAAGCCCATTCCCGTAGTCAGCGCAAACGTAGAGAAGCTCATCCATAACTATGTCACCATGAAGCATGTGGACAACGAGGGCAAGGACGTGCGAGCCATTCGGACAGCGCTCGCCTTGAGGAGGAAGAGCGCGGAAAAGGTTTACGTCTCCAAACCGAAGATCAAGGATTACGGCGATCGAGTGGAGGTGAAATGCTTCTTGTGGGATGGGGGGGAGGCCATTCGAGAGGAGTTGGAAAACATGAAGCGTGGAAGCAGCAGTGGCAGTGGCGGCGGCGGTTACAGACGGAGAACGAACGACAGCGATCTCCTCTTAGATCCCAAGCAACAAGTTGGGTTGCGGAGTCTGATTGCGAAAATGTATGGCAAGCAGGTCGATTTGCAGATGATCAAGATCAAGCGACCGCATCTAGATGCAGATATCCTGGCCGCATACGTCGCGCAAAGACTCCGAGATCGACGCTTCACACCACGAAGAGTGATTCGAGACGCCACATGGAGAGCACCTTTACCATCCGCCCAAGCAGTCGCAAACATCACCAACGCCAAATTACGAGCCACTCCCCAGAAATTCTCCTGGCAGGACTTCACAATCGGCAACGTATCACGAGCAAGCGCCACAGGCATCGTAGAAAGTCTCGCCCTGAGCCAAGTCAGCAGTATCCAAATCGAAGCAGCAGGTCGTTTAACAAAGCGTTTGACCGCCAACCGATCTGCCAAGAAAATGACACGGAGAGGTACTACTAACAAAGGTCCCGCATATATGCTTCGAGGCTTCCGCAAAGCACATACCCAATTCGCTTTTGCGGGCGGGAAGAGAAGAGTCGGTCAATTCGGTATCAAGGTCAGTGTGGGCCATACATAAGAAGAAGAGCTCCCGCCCGCCCGCCCGCCCGGCCCTGTTGTATCTTGTGGTGCTGGGGAGGGAATTGTGTCATTGGTAGTAGAACGAGGTGTACAAATATACCATCATCATATACCTACCTACTTTACATTAGGGACCTGTGAAGAAAATGTCTCACTTCATTGCCAGCGGAGAGAATAAACTTGTATGATTCAAACTTGATGAGCGTATAGGTGCTACAACAGATCAGACTTTGGGGGAAAAAAGTACATGTACATGTACATGGATGGATGGTTGGATACCAGATAGCAGTTCTATGTTCAACGTTGACATGTACAATAGACAGTATACAATGAATTAAGAACTACCTTACATGTATACCAAGCGGACAGACAGGCAGACAGGCAGGTACCTTATCACATGTGTACACCTTCAGGTACCGTACTGTACTACTAGTAACATGTGACTGTATTTGACTCTTCCAACACATGTATCAATCATATCATTATCATCCTCAAACTTGCCCAGCCTTTTGTCTGTCGTACGTGTACCTCGTAGCGAAATCATAGCGAAACCATAGAAAACCCACGGAATTATCAATAATGCCTGTCAAGCAAGCAAGCAAACAAGCAAACACACACAAAAACACAGATAAAAATCCTTCTTATAAAAGATATTTATCAACCCACGAAAGCCCCCGACTTCGACTACCTACTACTACTACGATAAGGTGGTATCAACAAAACAAAAATAATCAGCAGTCCAGCCCAGCCCAGCCCCGGACATCTCCTCCTCCTCCTCTGCTCGCCTTGCCTCCTCTCTCTCTTCCCCTCTCTCTCGCTCTCTCTCCTCTTGCGGAAGCGAAAAAGAAAAAAATAAATCATGCACATCCAGCCAGCACAGACAGATATAATAGAAAATATTTCGGGCATCATCATTTCTCTTCAGTCGAGGAGAAGAAAAACGCTGCACACGCTAAACGCTGCGATGTATGGTACGTGTGACGCGCTGTAGTAAAAACAAACAGAACACATCGACATTAGGTTAAGTACGTGAGTTGGGTATCGTGTGAAGCAGAGCTCCAAGAGATGTAGTGTCGGGACGGGTCCGGGTTCATATTCAGCGTTGCTGGTGTGCACCCTCCATGTTGCCAGTAAGTTCGGCAACTCTGGCTTTGATACGAGCAACGCGGGACTCGATGGCTAAGCGGTTTGTTAGTAGATATCATGCAAAGGTGCTGGAGGTCCGACTTACTCTCCTCGCCGCTAGTTTCGCCATCATCGGTGAGCCTGCTCGGTCGGCTTTGTTCTGTGGTGTCTTCGCTGTGGCGTGCACGCTCAGCTCTCTTGTGCGCATTCTCACGGATTTGTGCCCAGCGATCTTGGACAACGACGGGATCGTGATGATCGTCCATGGTGGTCTCTGACTGACGATCGTCGTGTGGGTCTCCCCGGCTCGTTGGTACCACGAAGCGATCATGGTCATCAGCGACAGAATCAGCCTGCGAGACCACCGAGTGCTGGCGTTCGGGGGAATGGTGCTGGAAGTTGCCCTCATCAGGCAGGGGTGACGGGCGATTACTGATATCCTGCGGTATGGCTGATGGTGTGTGGTCAATAGGGCCCTGATCGAAGCGAGAGAATTCGTCCTCTGCAAGAGTACGCTCATGAATGCTACCAGGGGAAGCCTCCGTGTGCGAGTAGTTCACGTTCGGCGTGGATGCTACGACGGCAGCCGCGACAGCCGAGTCCTGCATTGGCCGCTCGACGGTACTCTCGCTGACCCGCGGAGAGCTGGCGTGATTCCTGCGCATCAGAGACAATCTTCGGCTAATGGCAGACCCTGGTGGAACAAGACCATCACTACCAGGTCGCTGGGCTTCGAAAAAGTCTCCTCTGTTGTCGGCTTCCTTTTTCTTACCGAAGAACTTCTTGAAGCCACCAGTAGCTCCAGGTTGCTTCTTGGCCTTGTTTTCGGAACTCGGTGGAGCCTTGCTGTGCATAGCTCGAGCAGCTGCCATCGCAGCAGGGTTCGATTTCGGTGAAGAAGTCTGCGCTTTCCTCGTGCTGTCTGATCGGTGTGCTGGATGGTCGGCGACTGGCGGCACTGGCTTTCGTCCAACTCTGGTAAAGCTTGATGTGGAGCCGCTACCGAGACCGATTTCTTTGTCGAACGCGCTGACAGGTGCAACATATTTCTCCGCTGGCGCTGGCGCCGGTGGTGCAGCTGCTGATGCCTCCTGCTCTTGATGCGTACCATGAGCAGCTGTGCTAGTCGTCGAAGGTACCAACGAGGGGGCACGATCGTCGGCCAGCGGCGCACCAAAGACGCGCTCAGCTACCGCCTGAGGGGACGCTTCTGCAGGAACAGCAGGAAGATCGCGCGAAGGTTCCTTGCGGAGAGCAGGCGAGACAGGGGCTGCTTCTGGCGAGGCCGGAGGTGGCGCAGTTTTGAAATTGCTGGTAATGGGTGACAAGCTGTTGTTCGACGCCTTGCGCACCAATTCTTCTCGCGACATGCCTTTCCCTGCAAGGCTATCGCCCAAGTACTGCTGGCGAATAGCTTTCTTGTCATACGAGCTTGCCCATTTCATGGCAGGTCCCGCTTCAGAGGAGATGCCGAGGGTGAGCACACTGTTAGTCTTGGTCGAGGCCTCGTCATCAACTCGTCCGCGGCGGGCTGCATCAGGTTCAGGTGTATTCTGCTGGCTGCGTGCAAGAGCCCTTGCCGCTGCCTTGATCTTGGCGTGCTGATCAGTGGTAATGCTCGTTTTGCTGGGCGTCGCAGATAACATCCGTTGCGGTGCCGCTTCCGTACTTGGGCTCTTCACGAATGAGCGATCTTTGCGACCCAGTCTGCCACGTTTGGTGAAGCTGAAAAGGCTCTTCTTCGGTGCGATGTATACACCCTCTGTCGGATCAGGGGAGGCACCCTTGACCTGCTCCTCCATGATGAGCCATGCGCCATTCGAGATGGTCGTCTCAATCAGGGCACAGCGTCCAAAAACAGCTTTTCGAAGATCAGGCTCTTCGCCAGCCAGACTGGTCATCCACACCCACCAAAAGGCATCGTCGAGCTCCACATTCGCGATCGCGGCAAGCTCCCCTGGCGCAAGATTCTCGTCAATCCCTTCGAGGTGACCAGCAGACGATGACCGACTTCCGAGAGGTGGTAGTACCTGTGCAGGTGGGTAAAGCAGGGTTGGAGACTTCGCTGTGCCATCATCGGAGAAGCCAACAGATAAGAAGTCGGCCCACGACGGCGTTGTTGGCCGGCCCGCATCAGCTGTCCTGGAGCGAGGTTCCTGTCGTAAGCCTTGGCCAACCGTCTTCGTGGAGGACCCATTCACACCAGTAGAAGGCTTTTGTTCCAGGGCCTTCTCGTCAATATCGGAGAATCCCATGTTCGAGAATGCGGACCACGACTCGTCAGCTTTTGGCAGACCTTGTCTAGAACGTGCGATGTGGGTTGATGCATTCGCGCTCGACACAGCAAATAACACTCGTTTGCACTCGTCGGTGAGGGCATCCACTGGATCTTCAAACTCGGCGAACTCGCGTAGCACACGGTCGCGATCCCGATATTCGAAGTTCTTCGCTCTTCGGAGCAATGCGAATGGCGTAGGCGAGACTGAGTCTACCAGCATCACCACTCGAGGCGTCGATCGTTGCAGCAGTGACGGCTTTTCGGGTGGGTATTCCGTGGAAGCCAGAAGTGCTTGCAACGAACGCGGAATCCGCTCAATCACCGTCAATGACGGATCTGTGTCTGGCGAAAGCGAACGCAGATAGGCGAAGAAGAGGTGACTGGAGGCGTCCGCAGCCTTTTCCCACGACTTGTAGCCCCCTTCGAACCCGATGCCGTCGTCAGAGTGATCGAATGCCCACCAGCCTGCCATTCGAGACAACTTGCGACCTCCCAAGCCATTGACTTTGCCGTGGGCTGCTACTGCGGCCAACAGGTCGTAAAAGTCCACAATGATGCTTCTGCGAGCTTCCGAGTCTGCACCAATTGGTACGAACGTGTCAAACGCATTCCGGGCCATATGAGACTCCTTCTCGCCAATGCGAAAGCCCTCGTAGACTGGCCATGATACGACACCGTTGGGCATGCGACTCCAGCACCACTTGATAATACTGCAGAGCACCAGAGCATCTGTCAACCTGAGCTCTTGCTTGAGCGAGTCTCCTCGATACTGTGTCCCTCGCTCCGCGTTCGATTTGTAGAAGTTGTGAATGAATGTGCGGGCGCCTTGTGGGTCAGTGTTCGGCCGGAACGGTAGGAGCATGAATGGCGCCTCCAATGCCTCCGCTGTAAGGTGGTTGGTTAGCTGTCTCCGCGTGCCACGTTGCCGGACCTGGAGCATGCATACCTCTCTTCTTCATCTCGGCGGTACATGCGTGCACCAAATCCACGACCTCGTCTGGCTCAATCGTCGTGCTCTCCCATCGTGACTGCCAGCGCGCGGGCCGCTGAACAGCAGGCGTGCCATTCTCGAGATCGCCTTTCTTCAATGTCGGCTGCACTCCCTTGCTCTTAAACCGAGAGAAGAGCGGCATCGTGGAGAGACGGTGCCGCTTCCACCTCTATATATATATGCAGGCTGATGAGGTGAGGTGGTGGTGTGAGGTGTGCAGCGAGTGCAGGGTTAAGGCCCCTGAGCGATTGATGAAGCGATGCGATCGGGCCCAGGAAAGAAGGCAGGCGTATAGGCAGCAAGAATGTTGCCGGTCCGAGTGTGGGAAGAAGTCGAAATACAGGCAGGCGGGAGGTGCTCGGCAGATATGCACAGTGACCGTTGGTATGATGCGCTGGCAAAGAACGCGAGTAGGTAGTCCTCAGGGAGCCTGGCAGTAGAGGTATTTCTATTGGGCTGAGTCGCGTGTTGCAAATAATCGCGTCCCGGCCTGACCGTGGTGGGAGAGATTGGGGGCGGGCCTGTTCACCTCACCTCACCTCGTGAAGTGATGGCGTGGGAAACGTGAATATTTCGAGGTGGTACTCCACACACACACATACACACTCTCGCGGCGTAGTGAAGACAGAGTGGTAGAGGGGAAGGGAAGGGAAGAGAAGAGAAGAGAAGATGATGCAGGAATACGGCCAGCGAAGACAAAAAGCGCGACTGCGCTGCAGCAGGACAAGTACAGGTAAGGACAGAACGAACGCATGCAATGCGAAATAATGAGCGGAGCGGGCAGAGAAAGGCTGGTTCACAAAGCTGGCGATAGAGAAATCAAGAGTGTCAGGGGCTCAGTGCACACTATCCTTGAATGGAATGAAGCTATTTGCCGATCGCTTTGCTGTGGTCCCCTTCTGCCTGTCATGCAGCCATGTGCGCCTCTCCGTCAACAACAAGATTTGGTGCGAGCCTGTACTATGCAAGTCCCTTTCAGTCCCTCTTGTGAAGACTGTGATCTGCAAAGCCCTCCGCCGCCATGGCGCTGGGTTCGTCAGCTCCTGTGTTTCATCATTGTGGTACAGCACACTGAGCACAGTGGTGCCAGGGACCTGTACGCAATGGCTCGCGGAAACATGTGATTGCGCACGAGCAGGGAATCCGCCCAATTCCAATAAAATTGATACTAGCGCACGGCAGTGCGGCCGCTAGAATCAATCACTATGGGGGGAGTCGGCTAGTACATTTGTAGTACCGTCCTTGGTTGCTTCCATTCACTTTGATGCTTCTTCTTCTTCTTCTTATTCGCAATAAGGTAGACAACATTATTGCTCCTTCAACCTCCTTCTACCTCGCGGCTGTCGAAACTATAACGAGCGCTTCAGAGTAGGCTTACGGCGTCTCACGTGTTCCCTTGTACTCTAGGATGTAAGGTAATTCTGCACTGCCTCACGGTCATCTTGCATGGAGATATGCTGTTTACCTAGGCTGCAAGTACGAGTGCCCGCTTCGCTACCGCCTACAACATCTTCGTCCATGCACAGCCCGTGGTACGTGCAGAGGACCTCCAGAGCAGCTGATAAGTAGAGTCTGCTGTCTACCTCATATAAGATATGGTATGATGTATGATCAATGCAACCAAAGGGTCCAAGTCTGTACAAAGATCAAGTGACATCATGACTATTGTGAGAGGACTTGAGGTACATGTACCCATAAGGGATACATGTATGTCTACCTAACCCACAACGCCAACCACACCATTGTACACCATCCACACTCTCATGCCAATCATCCCAAGACGCATCCAACCCAACTTCTCCATCCCATCCCGCAAATTTGTCCCTCCCATCACACTCTCCCACCACAAATTCTTCTCCACATCCGCAATCACCATGGTCAAAGACAAGGAAACAGTCATTGAGTCAGTTCTATTCTCCAAACCCCCCCGCGGGCTCTCTTCCCCATAGGTACATGTATCTAACAAACACCTGTAACTTTACCTTTATACAATATCCCAGAGAATTCAACGACCTCGTCAACATGTCCGCCTCGGAACTCAAAGACTGGCTCGGCTCCGCAGACTCTGCCGGAGCAGGTTGGGATAAAGATGATGGCTCGGGCGAATCCATTGGACATGAGAGGTAGGTGACATATCAACGAACCAAAAATTTCACTTCCCCAAATCATTACTTGAAACTTTTTGTAACCGCCATTCTCCCCTTTGCCATCCCAGCTACCCATCTACACCTCGACCTGTTTACTTGACGAAAGGCCTTTATTACTGCGTGCTCATTCATTTTGTTTCAGTGGTCGCAAGATTGTCGAGATTCTGGAAAAGAATCCAAAGAAAGATCCATCCAAGTATGAGGAAGATGATGTCGCTCATATGAGGAAAGTAGTGGCATATAATAAACGTCACCTGGCACAAGAAGGGAAAGCGAAACAGGACCCGGACAGTAAGAGTGCCAAGTCTTTAAAGAATTGGGGACATGATCCACAGAAGGCTTAGATAGATGCTTTGCAGCTAGCTACCTGTATACATATCGTCCGAGAGCAATGGATTATACGAGAGTGTCTATGACGGAAACTGGTCTCCATGCATCATTCCTGTCGCTATCACCCACTTGGGACGTAGAATTACGCAATGGCAGACACCTCCGATGGACTGTGTGACAGACGTGCTTGGAATGGTTCGCCACATAGCTGTCTTGGTAATTCAGGTCCAATTCAGTTTGTGCTCCGTCTCGAATGTGGCCGTGGCGATTCTTAAAGGTCAAGTCCTTTGATCTGACAGAAGCAGATGCTTGACGATGCTGATCAGCGAAAAGGCACTCCTCTCGCTAGAAGCCAAACTTACACGCCAACAACAACCTCTCCACGTCCGTCCTCCGAGCGATGTAGCTCCCTTGACCATGCCCTCTGAGTCTCCATTGGAACCACGTCTTTCTATCACTTGTCTCTTTGGGCGGTGTCAATTTCACGTGCTTCTCGGCCCAGTGGTGCCAGTTTGCAGCGTTCGCGTACCAAGTTTGCAGATAGCAATACATGTGCGTCGGGTCTTGGTGAGGAGCTCGGGGCAATCTTATCAAGTAAGTGATGAGTTTACCGTCAAAATCCTTTGCGAGAACCACTTGTCCACTGACACGACTCGTCCATGTTACCATGAACTTGTAAGTTGCATGATCGAGAGAAAGGCTCGACATGCGCAGTGCGTACATGGGCTCTTTTGCCGAAAATGGTAAAAAGAGGAAATATTCCTTGTCTTCGACACACCGATATACAATGAGGACGCCATCGTCGTACTCCGTGTGGAAGAGCCAGGGTGCTTGATTGATGCGCAAGTAAGGGTAGTCCAGGCTGCGACTGGCTACTGTGCCTGTAGGAACGCCTTGGGTGTCTTGAAAGACGAGCTCGTTGAGGCCCATATTGCGCCATTCCAAGATGCGCTGTCGTAGAGATAAGGAGCTGGAAATATTGTTGAGAAAGGCACGAGAGACATGAGAGGCTGCGATGAGGTCTTGGATCGAGAGCCCAACGACGATGGGCTCGAAGAGTTCGAGAAGTGAAAAGACTCTCTCTGCCGGGGATGGTGCTGGTAGGAGTGATGACATCTTGTTTCCTTGATGATGATGTTGTTTGATGCGGGTTCTAGTTCGGCGCGCATGTTTCGAGGTGGGATGAAGGTTTTGAAGGCAGGTGCAGCTGCAGCTTGTGGGGGCAAAGAGCTCCTTCTCGCTGTAGATGCTCACGGCAAGGTTAACCAGCATGTCGGACGCCGAACAGCACGTCCTCGATAGGCCTACCGACATGAACCTACCTACCTTACCTTGAGGTAGGTTTCTGGTAAGTACTGTATGTATTTGCGCTCTTTTTCTCTTCACATACATACGGACTTATACACACTGACGATCACAGGGCAAAAGCAATCTCAGCGGCACAGCAGTAGCTTGCCACGTGAAATACAAGATAAGCTAAGGTACCTGGTAGGTATGTAATCGCCAAGTAAAAAGGCACGACATCAACTTCGAGGCTTAGAACAGCGTCGCCACTTGTGGGAGCGAGATACGCCTAGGTGAATGCTAGGACTCATAAGCCATCAGTCACTGCCCGGAATGTCGTCTGGGTCAGTCAGTAATGCTGAATCGTGGAGTGATCTGAAATGGCAGTCTGAGCGCCTGCTGCTGACAAAGGGAACTCTTGCGATTGCTCTCACTGTCTGCGCTATATGTACAGTACAACGTGACTTCTCCAGATGCTGATGCTGCTGTAGCTTTTCGCATCTAAGCATCCTCGGACGCAGAAGCACCAGAAATAATCTCGACAAGTTGTCCAGTAATGACAGCCTGTCTCGTTCGGTTGAAAAGAATCTGGAACTTGTCAATCATTTCTCCGGCGTTCTTGGAGGCATTGTCCATGGCATTGCGGCGGGCAGAGATCTCGCAGGCGTGGCCCTCGGCGAGCGCCCAGTAGAGGGAGTTGGTGAGAGCGTATTCGCGCAAGTTGCTGAGGACCGAGTCATCAACCTCGTAGTTGGAGAATCCGGCTAGAGATTTATTAGTGTCTGACCCTGGTCTGGATGGGAAGTCTGTGTGCAACTTACGTGATTGTGTGATTGCCTCCTCGGAGTATGCCTCGACTATCGTTGGCTCGTATGATTGGGCGTTGATGAACTTGTTGTACATGATCTTGACGCTTGCATATTCCGAAGGGAGAAGAGTGATCTGGTCGGCAATAGCAGAAGCATCGGCAAAAGTTGGGACATCCTTGCCAACACCAGCGAAGGAGAGCACCAAAGCCTTCGGGTTGGATCTGCTCAGCTGTGCCTTGGACTTCTCACCAATGCAGACAATGTTGTAGTCCGCTGGCTCGCTCTCTACAAGGCGGCGCACAGCACGTGAAAGACCCGAGTGAATACCACCACAGAGACCCTTGTCCGAGCTGCAGACCACGAGTAGCACCTTCTTGTTCTCGCTCTCCAAAGCCTTGGTCTCAGCCTCCTCGAAAACTTTGCCCGAAGTCTGTCCAAAGGATCGGCCAGACTCCATAGCACGCTGCGCCTTGGTGAGCTTGGTGGATGCGACGATTTTCATGGTCTTCGTAATCTTCTCAATGTTCTTGAGAGACTTCAGACGGCTCTCGATCTGGCGGAGGGTCGCATAATTGGCGGCCTGAAGGGCAGGAGTAGTCGCAGCGGCGGGCCTGGATACGTAGGCAATGTCAGTATGCGATGCTGTGGTGTGATGCGGTGCTGTTTCTGCGCGGAGCTCGGGGTGGCATGCACTGCTTTCACGCGCACGGGGAAGGTCGACATACCGCAACGATTGCGCAGCACCTGCCCTGAGGGCGGGACGAGCAGCACGGGACAGCATTGCTCGATGTAGGAGGGGAGATGGAGTGGTGGTGGTGTCAGATGGACTTCGATTCGGGTGAAGCTCTCGCTCTCTCTGTGTTCTGATGTCGGATCTCCTACACGGGAACTTCCGGCTTGCGGCGGATGGGATGGGTTGCTCCAGTTGGCCAAAACGTTTTGCTATTTTCACAAGCGAGGACACTTACGGCACGCCCAGCGTCTCACCACTTTGGCAACGGAGCATAGCACGGCATTCCAACCTGAAGTTCCAGTCTCGAACACCTCTTCAAGCTCTCCTGCTCTACTCCCTCCATCTGCTTTTCTTACTTCTTGCTGCGATATATCTTAACCATTCGACTGCCAATCGGTCTCTACAGCTGCCGCAACTATCTTAGCCACAATCCGTGTTGCGCGGGCTCTCAGACCGGCCCTATCTCGCCTTGGGCGTCAGGAGAAGGTCCGCTGCATCTGGAGTGCACGCGTCGAGTCCGCCGCGACCACCACCACCACGCGACTCTCGCCACCTGCATCGTTGCCTTTCCTGCACCGGCAGCCAGTGCCCTTCGCCAACAACATGTCCGACTCTGAAGACGATCGGCCTCTCGTGGGTACGTCAATGTGCTTTGCGCCGCAGCTTTTGGGTTTCGGTGTCCGCTGGGGACTTAGTCAAATTCCGCGCTTGTTTCTCACCTGAGAAGCGTACTTGGCCAAAATTTGCCTCGCCTCCCATCTCACTTCACCCTGCCCTGCACCTGCCTCGACTCCTCTGCCTTTCACCTCAATCACCTCAATCACCTCAACAAGCGCACAGACCACTGTCCGTGTGAATCACCATCTTACTCCCTCTGCATCTCTCTGCACTTCTTCCTTTACATGTCACACACCTGTAATCCGAGACTAACTGTTCCCCTCAGCCAAGTCAAAGCCAACGGTCACACAAAACGACATGGACACAACCGCAGACTCCCCCAGCGTCCTGCCGGGAGTCAGTATAGCGAACGGTCCGGTCGGAGGGATGGACATCGATACTCCTATGACCAATGGCAACACGAATGGAACCACGAATGGAGTCCCGCACGGCACGAAGCGGAAATCATCGCTCGCGAATGGAAAGAGCTACAAGGATCACAGCGAATCCGACGAAGATGATCTTCCACTGAAGAAGCGCAAGAAGGCAGCTGCGTCCGAGTCCGAGGACGAAGACGATGTGCCACTTGTCAAGAAAGTGGTGAAGCCGATCAAAGCCACAGCAGCACAGCTCGGGGAAGACAGCGGTGATGAGCCCATCACTCAGAAGCTGCAGAAGGAGAAGATTTCTATCGAGAAGAAGGCCGAGAAGGAAGCCAAGGCCATTCGTAGCAAGGAGGCTGCTGCAAAGAAGAAAGTGAAGAAAGAAGAGAGCAGCGACGAAGACGATAAGCCTCTCGCAAAGAAGCGGGCTCCAGCTAAGAAGGCGAACGGCACCAGATTGAAGAAAGAGGAGTTTTCTGATGACGACAAGCCACTGAAAAAGAAGGCACCCGCCAAAAAGACTGCCGTGAAGAAGGAGGCTACCACTCCTGCAAAGAAAGGCAAAGGAAAGGCCAAAGAGGAGTCTCCAGCGGAGGGTGGTGAAGAGGAGGAGGAGGAGGAGGAATATCGCTGGTGGGAGGATCCGCAAAAAGGCGACGGCACTATCAAGTGGACTACACTCGAGCACAACGGAGTGGTGTTCCCACCAGAGTACGAACCATTACCGAAGAATGTGCAGATGATATACGATGGGACGCCAGTGACGCTTCACAAGGACGCCGAAGAAATTGCACACGCTTTTGGTAGCATGCTCAACTCGACGCACAACGTGGAAAACCCAACATTCCAGAAGAACTTTTTCGCCGACTTCAAGGAGATGCTTGACAAGACTGGACATGGCAAGGACAGAGATGGCAAGCAGGTAAAAATTTTGAAATTCGAAAAGTGCGACTTCAAGCCTATTTTCAACCACGTGGATGCCGAACGCCAGGCCAAGAAAGCTTTGCCAGCCGCTGAGAAGAAGAGGTTGAAGGCTGAGAAAGATGAAGCTGAGGCGCCGTATCAGTATTGCAAATGGGATGGCAGAAAGCAGAAGGTTGGCAACTTTCGGGTCGAACCTCCAGGACTTTTCCGTGGCCGTGGCGAGCATCCCAAGACCGGGAAGTTCAAGAAGCGGGTCTTGCCGGAGCAGATCACCATCAACATCGGCAAGGACGCGATGGTTCCCGTGCCACCAGAGGGCCACACTTGGAAGGAAGTGAAGAACGATCAAGAGGGCACCTGGCTTGCTATGTGGCAAGAGAATATCAATGGGGCCTACAAGTATGTCATGCTTGCAGCCAACTCCGACATCAAGGGTCAAAGCGATTACAAGAAGTTTGAGAAAGCTCGGGAGCTGAAGAAGCACATTGACCGCATCCGCAAAGACTATGAGAAAGAACTCAAATCGGAGGTCATGGCCAACAGGCAGCGCGCGACGGCGACGTACCTGATTGACCGTTTTGCTCTTCGTGCCGGAAACGAAAAAGGAGACGACGAAGCTGACACAGTCGGTTGCTGTTCGCTAAAGTTTGAGAACGTCACCCTTAAACCTCCGAATAAGGTCATCTTCGATTTCCTTGGAAAGGACTCCATCCGCTTCTACGATGAAGTGGACGTCGACGCCCAGGTCTTCAAGAACCTGAAGATCTTCAAGAGATCGCCGAAGAAGGAAGGCGACGAAATCTTCGACCGCCTTACTACCTCCGGCCTCAACAAGCATTTATCGAACTACATGACTGGTTTGACTGCCAAGGTCTTCCGTACCTACAATGCCTCGTTCACTATGGCCACCTTGCTCAAAGATATGAAAGCAGAGGGAACGGTAGCCGACAAGGTCCTTGCCTACAATGCTGCCAATCGCAAGGTTGCGATTCTCTGTAACCACAAGCGTACTGTGGCTGCATCGCACGAGCAGCAGATGGAAAAGATGGAAGACAAGATTAATGGTCTTCGGTACCAACAGTGTCGTATCAAGCGCATGATGCTTGACCTGGAGCCGAAGCTGAAGAAGAAGAAGGGTGAGGGGTTCTTCGCACTGCCCGATGGACTGGACGCAGAGTGGCAGGAAAAGCACCATGCGGCCTTGGTTGAAGAGTCGAAAACTAAGATCACCAAGAAGTTCGAAAAAGAGAACGAGAAGCTAGCAGCAGAGGGAGAAAAGGAAATGAAGCCAAAAGAGCTCGAAGAGCGTCTTCAACCGATGCGCGAACTTGAGAAGAAACTTAAGAAGGAGCTCAAGACCGGCAAGGTTGAGGCCGAGGGCAAGTCGGCTTCCATCGAAAAGTACGAAAAGGACATTGAGAAGCTCGACACGCGTATCGCCACTCTGCAGACCCAGGCAGAGGATCGCGACAACAACAAGGAGGTTGCACTGGGTACCTCGAAGATCGTGAGTGACGACCGCCTTACCCGTTGACTAACAATCGCATCTGCTAACGTGTCACGTAGAACTACATTGATCCTCGTCTCACTGTCGTTTTCAGCAAGAAATTCGATGTGCCTATCGAGCGCTTCTTCTCCAAGACACTGCGAGAGAAGTTCGACTGGGCTATCAAGTCTGTCGATGAGGATTGGGAATTCTAAAACGATGCGCACGCATCATTACCATCAGCGCTCTGCATGGACACACGGGCATGGCGCAGGGCATTTGAGGCTTAGCGGAATGATTCGGGAGGGCATGTTCTGCTCCACTGTTTCCTGATTGGGGCAAGGAATAAAAGAAAAAGCGTGGTTCTGCCTCGATGGCTCAAACCTCATGATGTTATTTATGATGATGATGATACCAACCAAGTTCCCCCCATCATCATTACCTACCTGATTCGTGTATGAGAATACTTACACTTAGATCTCAAATCGCACGTGTACATATTGCAAGCAAATCTTTTGCGCATGCATGATGATGCTTCCTCCTGCTTTCTTCGTCTTATCACTTTTCACTTGGAATGATGCGGGCATCTAGAGATATTACAGGTCAACCGCGTGTGGATTTATCACCAGCCAGCTACCTAAGACCACACACAACACTGACGCACGCATGTACACATGCAGTTAGAGTGAACCATACATGTATGGACGCTCCTTCTTACTTCGGACAAAAGACACACACAGAGAGAGAGAGAGAGAGAGAGAGAGAGATGGTCTGCAAAGTCTGTATTCCTTACTTATTCAGCTATCAGAAAACGGAATTCAACTTCCATCCTCATCACTAACTTCAACTCTCCTCAGTGCGCTCGCTGATACCTTTCTCGGATCTTCGCTCACGACTTGCACCTTCGTACTTTCCCTCTTCGCCTCATCGACAAGTCCCACACCACTGTCCCCATCGCCCAAGCTGAGCGGACTCCTCTTGGGCGCATCCTTGTCAAACGATGTTGGGTCGATACCGAGAATGCCACCAACGTTATTCCGGTCGCCAGGAACAGAGAATTCTCTGAATGCATACCTCCAGTCGTTCAGAAAAGCTCTGATGGCTTTACCAACCTTGTCTTTGCCATTCTTACTGTGATGTCCTGTCCCACAGATGGCATAGACGGGACGAGTACTCTTCACTTGCTCCTTCAGACAGTCTGACAAGTACTGCACAGCCTCTTCTGGGTGCAAGCCATGCAAGTCGACATAGAGCTCTTTTCCAGCTGCCAACGTCTTGTTTCTTTCTTCATATAACGCTCGTGCGGCTTCGCGATGCTTTTCTCGCATGAGTTGATTCTCGTTTTGGCCGCGGAGTGAGAGAGCTTTCGCGCCTCGAGCGTCATTCCTATTCCATGCTTGAGCAGCAGATTGCAGGAACTTGTTACGAAGTCCACCATGCTTGAATGCTTCCTGTCGTGCTTTCATGTACGCTGAGTTCACCTTGTCACCAGTCTCAAGCCAAGGGATCTCTTTCGGTGCTGCAATAGCCATGGCCGCAGCGGAGTTTTCGCGAGAGGCAGTGAATGACCTGTTATTCTTGAGACCTCGCCTCATGGCGTCACGTACATTGTTAGGGCCCGGTGAAGGAGACATGCGGACCACATCTGCAAGACTGCCTGCCTGTTGAACGGGCTGTCCTTGATTGTGGTGCCCATGTCCGCCGCGCTTTCCGTGGTGGCGCTTGCCACCAGGCTTGTGGGCGGCAGAGCCCAGTGTTGGGAAGGCTTCGTCGTCTTGAAAGTTTGGTTGACTGGCGCCTGAGGGGGAAGGGCGGTTGTTGTGACTTCTCTGGCTGTGCCGGGAGCCAGGACGACTGGCATGTCGTGGTCCCGTCGGAACGAAGGTGGGAAATAGGCCAGGGGTCTGCTGAGCAAAGTTCTGCTGCTGCTGGAGGAGTGCCGCATTGAGAGTGTTTGCATCTATGCTTTGATTCTCTTCGTAGGGATTACTAGTCGTGGGCTGCAATGCTGGGAAACTGTCGAAGTCCTGTAGCTGAAAGTTTGGTCCAAATTGCTGAGGAGTATTCGAACCGGATGCGATACTAAGCTGCTGCATGAGAAGAGACGGGTCATGAGAAAAAAGGCAGGAGTTCCCTGCGATGCAATTTCCGGCCAGCCAGTACTTGCATAGATGGTTCTGCACTTCATGTGCAAAGCGACAGTCGGCTCGAGCACAATGACCGCTTGCTAACCAGTATCGACATACAGTGGGCGACTTCTGCTGTCCAGGTGGAGTCGCAGGCCTCGAAGCGGCTGTCATGTCCTTTCCGACCAAGAAGGTACGGCTCTGCTGCTCTTGCGTCGCTACGCCCACAGTGTCCGGTGCCCCACTCTGGGCATCCATGAGCGAATTGACAGTCTCGCTCAAGTCATAGCCATTCGCCATGAGAATCTGGTCCAACTCGTCGTCGGTTTTGTTGTCCTGCAAAATGGAGCGTAACATGTCGTAAGGGCTCATCTGAATATCATACGCAGACATGAAGTCGGAAGAGCTATTGAAGGCTGAATCGCCAAAGCTGGTCTGGCTGCTCGCGTCGTCACCGACAATCCAGTCCACATTGTCGCTCCCATAGTCGCCATAGTTTTCTGTATTCGGGGACGAATTGTCACTGAATTGGTATGCACTGAGGCGGGGGCTGTGTGGTATAGCGGGAGTGGCCAGGGGAAGTCTCGGAGACGGTTTTGGTGATGAAAAGGGCGAGTAGACGCCGGTTTGCGATTTGGTTCGTGCCAGGGCAGGGCGGCCGAATCCAGGAGGCACAGAAGGTGTTGCAGTAGCTGGGCGCGGCGAGCTCTTGCCAGAAGCGGGAGTTGAGGCTCGCTGTATCCAGGGGGCGGGTGATTTGCTTCGCACGACGTTGATATTGCGAACGGCTGGTGGCGAAGAGCTCATCTCGGTGTTGCTCTTCCACTGCCAGAGCGTGCCCAGCACCGCATCCTCCAGCGCCTTGCCCTTGAGCGAGACTGGGGCACCGCTCAGGAGCTCCTCCAGCTTCTCCACCTTGTCTTCTTCACCCAGATCATCATCGTCCAGGACAGGCCTGCACAGGTCGTAGATGCGTTCCGAGACCATGCTTGCGGCTGATCATGTGGGCGAGCGCTGTATACCCCCTTTGCAGTCGGCGGATGGTATCCGGTGTGGCTCCTATGGGAGGTGGTCGTTGTCGGTCCAGTAAGCCAAGCACGCTTGTGATGTACTGGACACGGTGGCGGATGAGGTTGTCGGTTGTGAGGCAGGGGCGAGCGATGTTGTCGGTGTCGTGGTCGTGGTCGTCGTTCGTCGTCCTGTCGTCGTGGTGTCTCGGGGCAGCCACTTACTCAGCCCCCGCCCCGCGTCCAGTGAAGCTCGAAGCCGTATCGAGAAGTCTATCGGCGCCGTTGGGAGGAGGGATGTCAGCGCGGTGCAGTGGGCAGGTCGTTGCCAGTGCGAGGTTTGGTGGTTGTGGTTACCTGTATGGTTCAATCATGTAGAAGCGTCATCGTCGTTCGCAAATGAGGCGAGAGACATCCATGTCATAGTTAAGGCGCAGCCTCCAGGAATGGATTCTGTAAGCATCCTAGTCGTCGATCATCAAGCTAACACACCCTACTCCACACTTTCTTATACTACAACACAATACAATACAATACAGTGCTACCTTGGACCTTGACCATGACATTACTTGCAGTATTCTGCTTCTGAAGAAATAACGACAACGCGCTCCCCTTCACCCAGCATGGCCATGACCACGACCACGCTGGCTGACCAAATCCTCCACCCATCAACCCAACCTCCGCCCTCCTTCACCTTTGACGGCTACCTCTCTCGCGCTCTGCCCACGCTCGGCCTACCCTCCAAAGTTGCGCGTCCCATTTGCCCCGACTTCCGCTCCTCCAACGGCACGCAATGTCCACGAGGTCCAACTTGTCCCGATCGGCACTATGTGCCTCCCTCTGAACGCAGCGGCATCGGCCATCTGATCTGCAAGCACTACCAACGTGGTCTTTGCAAGAAGGGCGAAGCCTGCGAATTCGCCCACACGTTCAACCTCCGCGATGAAAAAGAATGCAAAGAATTCAGCAGGTACGGGATCTGTCCTCAAGGGGATGAATGTACGTCCTTACATATCCCTCCCACCGCGGAAGTGAGGAGGATAGCGTGCGCGCATTATGCGAGAGGGTTTTGTCCGCTGGGGCCGTATTGTGAGAGGAGACACGTGAAGCACCAGGCGTTGTGTCCGTATTATCTGGCCGGCTTCTGTCCGAATGGGAGGGCGCATCCGCCCGATTCGGACAAGGTGGTCAGTTGTGAATTTGGCGCTCACGCGAGGTGGACCAAGGAGGAGGATATGAATCCGAGGAAACCCGAGGTGAGGAAGATCAAGGATGAAGAGACGTTGAAGAGGGAGCAGGAAGAGAGGGAGGACGAGTTCTATGCGGAAGAAGACAGAAGACGAGAGAGGTTCGAGAGGGAAGGTGGTGGTGGCGGTGGGTGGAGAGGACGGGGACGTGGAAGTGGAAGAGGTGGCAGAGGTGGGTATAGGAGCAAGAGATACTGAGCCGAACAGCCCAGCAGTCGGGTCAACTATGGAATTGGCCATTGCTCTTCATTTTTGCTTGCGAATTAGCGTGGCGTTGTGGAAGTGCAATACGGTAGCTGGCATAAGTGAATAAATATCAAAGACCTGAAGTTCAATACAGCATTGATACCAGGTATGAATACCTAAACAACAACCATACACTGGTCTCGATCGCGAACCCCGTATCAACGACGGCCAGCCACCTCTTCAACATCGCAATATCACATTCTACTTACAACAGAAGCAGCACCATATCTCCTCTTCTTCACTAGGTATCCTCACATCATCATCGCAGCTCCACCTCCACCTCCACTCCATAGACCATGACCAGTCATACATATATGTACAGGTAGGTAACATGGAACCTCCCGCCCAAAACTGCCCCAGCGAGATCACTATTATAGGTGAAGTCCCCCAGGAGTCTAGGTATAGAGCAACACGCGACGACCAACGTACATCTAGGTCGGAGAAAGGTGTGGTTGAGCCTGTGAAGAAGCTACAAAGTATTCTTGTTCTTGACCTCTATCGTTCGTTGCATATGGTTCCGAGAAGGAGGAGGAGGAGGAGGAGGAGGAGTGGCAGCAGCAGCTATGATCATGTCAGAACCAAAGTACCTTAAAAAAGTCCTTGACAGACAGGTCCGCTGTGAACAAGGTTGGAAGACAGGCATAAAAAAAATTGAAACCTTTTCAATCCTCTTTCATAAATTCCGCTATTTTTCCATCCATCCATTCCGTATCCTTGGGATTTGCTCCACCACCCGCAATATGTCCCCACACGGATGGAATCGGCTCATATTTCCCTTTTTGCAAAAATTTGACTTCATTCGCACAATCCTCTGCAACAAAATACTGATCTGTCGTACAAGGCATCAGTAAGACTTTTGCACTGATGCTCGCCAAAGCTTTCTTATAATCTCCTCCTCCTCTTTCCCCGCTACCAGAATTAGCAGCCTCACCAAAAACATCTCCCACATCCCCGGCCTGCCACATCCTCGCCAGCGTAATCAAATCCTCCGGATCCCAACTCTCGGCCGACGCCACGGGGGGATACAACCAATCATGTAAACTGTTCGCGCCAACTTCCCTCCACAGCTCTTGCCGAAACCATTCTGCACTCGTCAACCAAGCCGCATACGCTCGTCCAAAAGCTCGAAGACCTTCTTTGGGTGGATTGTGATCAACGACAAGACCATTTTTCTGCTGCTGCTGCTGCTGGTTGTTGTTGTTTTTATTATTATCATTATTATTACTACGATTCAAACGCCCTTGAACGTAGTCGTGACTCGCGACTAATGCAGACGTCGGACCTTCGAGGAAAGCGTAATTGTGGCCGGAAGTTTTTGCGCTGCCGCAGATGACGATGGCGCGTTTGAGGAAAGGTGGTGAGTTGGGCTTGTTGTCGGAGCCGTGCATGACTGCCCAGTAGTAGGCTTGTTGTCCACCCATGGAGAAACCGACGACTGCTTCGAGGCTCTGGACGCCGAGATGGCGGGTGAGAAGGATATATTGGGCATTGATGTTGTCCTAGGTAGTGTGGTGATTATTTTTTCTTCGGGCTTAGCAATCATCTCTCACAGACTTTCTTTCCTTTCTTTTTTCCCGCCTTTTCTTATAAAAGGAAAAAAAAAAAAAAAACAGATGCTTGGACGAAGTGATGGGAAAGAAGAAGGATAAAATGTTAGAAAAAAAAAAGAAAAAAAAACTTCTTACCTGATATCGCAGCGAATAATCTCGGGGAAAAGTCTCATCATTAGAAGGACTCGAGCTTTCGCCATTCCCAAGCATAGCTACCACGACAACATGATATTCTCGGAGGGCTCCAGTAGTAAAAGTCAGAGTCGTATTGATGCGTCCTCCAAAGCAAGTAGGTATCAGAACAGTTCCTTTAGTAGAAGTGGGATTGATAGAGTGGTAAGCAATCTTGACAGATTGTTTGGCTCCGCTTGCGAAAGTGAAGTCTGGGATTTCGAAAGTCTCGTATGAAGAGCCTGGGCCGCCTCCTCCTCCATTATTAGCGCTAGGCATTGTTTTTTTTTTAAAAAAAGGATGAAATCGAGGTCCAATGTCTAGAATAAGAGATAGATCGATAAGAGGAGGAAGGATTGTTGGCAAAAGAGGCCCGCGGGCAACTCTCGGGGCCAAGGAGAGTCAGTCGGAACATTGTTTAGCCTGATGATATATACTTCCTCCTCCTTATATCCATCACACCTCGTCAAAATCGTATATCCACTTCATTAATACCTTAGGTATCTCTATATCATATTATCTTGTCAGATCCAGCTTCTTCCCATCACATCTACTACCTCGCTTCTAGTGCACCTGCTTCCCGAAGATTGTCATCCCCATTTCGGAGTTAACTCCGCAGTACCAACAACTACACCCAAGTAAACCCCAACCCGGACAGGACACGTACCTTTAAATTTGTACGAGCTAGTTCTACAACCTCATCTCACCTCATTACAGTAGCTCCTTGGTGCTAGGTAACAGGTACTACTATACAAAACTGAACAACTCTATAGGTACAGCAGCAGCAGCAGCAGTAGCAAAGTTTATGAATCAACAACAACAACAACAACAACAACAAAAAGGATAAAAGTACAACCTAAATAACTTATTCAGACTTTTGTACTTTGTACCTATCTGTCTGCCAATCTTCAACAAATCTATTAGGAGATGTAGGAGGTACCTTATTCGCATATCTTTACGAGATATCGATTCCGGTTGTACCGTTATAGAGGTAGGTATATACCTTCTACAATCCCGATTTCGATACAGATTCTACATTTGGAAAATGCCCCTTCCTCCCAGTTCGGTTTTGAGGTAGTATTTGCTTACACTTTGCAACTTCGCATTTAGTTTTCGGATTGTTTTTCCCTTTTTCTTTGAAAAGAATAAAAGAGTTGTTGCTTAGGTAGTCAATCAACCAACCAACTATTGATTAATCCATTTATTTATCAACCAATTACATACAGCGCAAAACATAAAAACAAAACCCCTCCCTCCCTCTTGTACTTTTGGTAGGTACATAGTGTAAACATGTAGGTAATTAAAAGAAAAACAAAATTTGCGGGCAAGTTTTGAAACTTTGCGCGCGCCTCCTCCCGAAGTCCCCTCTCACACACACAAAGTTATGTTACAAAGTTTCACGGCCGGGTACCCCACGGTATGCAAAATCATTTGCTCGTCGATCTTTCAAGCTAAGGGATGTCTGTGGTCCTCGTATTTTGCCTCTTTTCCGTGTACGAGTGAAAAATGAAATGTTGTACCTTATGACATATGTTGTCTGTGGGTGTGGTTGTTGCTGCCGTTGCGTGGAGAAAATACGAGAATAGCCCATGGTTTCAAGGGACCTCTCTTTCTGCCGGGCCCCCAAGGTGGGGAGGGGGTGTGTGTGTGTTAAGTTGGGTCGCACGACAGGTACAAGTACGACGAATACTAGGTGGGCCATATGCGAGATGGGATGCTGTGCGCTAGTACATCGAATACAGATTGGAATCACGATATCTTGAACACAACGCTCCAACGCTTTCACCCCAAGTAGAATGCGTCCATACTGTCCAGTGCTTTAGATATTTTCCAGCCAGTAGGCACTGCATCATTCCGGCGCTGCAACGCTTACCGGCGCCCTAAGAGCATGTCGCACTTTGACACTCATGGAGCAGTGCCTCTCTTCTCAATGAGTGGGTCAAACTTCTTATCGTCCTTCTCGTGTTTGTTTCTCCAATGCGATCGTGCTTTATCAAGACGTGCATGGGACACCTTTACACAGTGGCGGCATATGATTTGATCCCTGGGAAAGTCATGAAGGGTCTTGTTATGGCGATTGAGATTTTCCAGCCGAGAAAACCTCTGGTTTTTGCACCCCACAACGGGACAGAAGCATTCTTGATCCCGTCGGTGAGCCACCGAAGCTCGTTCGTAGCCCTTCTTTTTGAAAATGGGGCGCTGAGCGGGAGGAGGAGAGCTTGAAGGCGTCAGTGCATCTCCGCTTGTATCCGAGACTGATGGCGTATTGCTGCCGAAACCAGGAAAGTCTGCTGCAATGTCCCCAACTAGATCGGGATGACCTCTCCCTGGTATTATGAGTTTGGTGCGTCCTCCTACATCATCAGCATGAGGTCGTCCTGGTAGTCAGTGTCGATAGTGCTCACCCTCGGATGATGTCCATATCTGTTGCTTTGCAGAGTTGACAAGGTACGGGCCGTTGCGAGTGGCTTTTCGTGGTTCTTGTTCCATATCAGGATAGGGGCCAAGCCCTCCAACGAGCTGGGCGTCGAGGCTCGCGAGGTGTGGGTCGAATTGGCTACCGAGATTGAAGTTGAAAAGTCCGCTTCCTGCTGTTAGCGAATGTGGACATGCAGAGAGACGGCATTGGGACCGAAGATCATACTCGTCGGTGTACTCGGAGAGAGTACTGAAAGCCGTCGCATTTGCGTCGTCAAACACACAGAGCTCTCCTTGTGCCATGTACTGCTGCGAGCTTGAATTGCTTGAATGGTCCTGCATTCTGACTGTTCGATTGAAAGTATGCGTAGGAAGACCTGTCCACGAGGAGGCGGCATTTACGATCTTTTTGTATCGTCTTCAGAACGCTGCCAGGGTACAGCCCCAAATCTCTCACGCATCAGAGACGCCCAAAGGGGTGTGCAAACCCTCTAGCCACCATCCAACGGTTTCTTCTGAATCAACTCTACCCCTCTTTACCTCTGGAAATGGGTGTGGCCATTCCAAGTTTTCTTTCACATTGTTGAGAACTTCTGCAAAGGGGCGGCCATTGGGAAGCTTCAGCGAAGGGGCGGCCTTTCGGAGAGCGCGACGTGTACAAGCCATCTTCGTCATTCGCAAGCAGTGAGCACCACTTGGCATAGGTGTGTTCGTGCTCGGTATAGCGGTCGTCGGCCACGCCAAGCATGGAAATGCTGTCGTATGGTTGCGTGACACCGTGGCGATGCGGTCAATGCCCTCGATCTTGGTATAGCGGTGTTTCGATTGGCTGGGCGGCCATTCGCGTTGCGTTGTGCTCCGAGAGGTATCATGCTGGCCAATATGGGAAAGTCAGGGGTGTCCAGGTCGATTCTTGGTGAGTGTTGCTGGGTGAGTAGTGTACTCGGTTGCGGTTGGGGTGTCGTTGGAGCTGATCACGTGACATGTGGCGGCCTGAGGTCGATCAGCAGCGTCGAAAGAGATGAATCCTCCGTTCTGGCACGACGAGAAGTGTTGGTATGTTGCTGTCGTCTGCGATGGGCATTCGAGTGGCCGGACTGACTTGTTTCTTTGAGGAAAGATGCAGAGTTGCTGGCTGTATGAAGACGTGACTGTTCATGAAATGGACTCTAGACCGGTCAAATAATGCGACCAATGAGTGCGACGTGCCTGCATGGGTGCAGCAAGGGGGAGGTGACGCGGCGTCATCTTGTACCGGCAACTGCAGAAGGGCGACGAGAGCTCGCGCCTACCGGAGCAATTGGGGCGGTTTGTGGGGGCAGGTGCTGTCTCCAGCTGATGTCGTGAGGAAGTCACGCGTGCAAGAGGGCGTCGATGGAGAAGGTGCGGCCTGTTGAGGGTGGACCGGTGAGGGAGAGGAGCTGAAGTGGAAGGTGGAGAGGCTTGGCATTGGCGGCGTGGTTGCTGGCCTTGGCTCCGTGGTCGTACAACGTGGTAGGAGGTACCTAGGAGGTGCCTTATCGTGAAATGGTCGATAAGGTATGCATTTCTAGAGCTTACTCGAATCACCCCTCACACTGACTGTTGCAGTCTTCCGCACACCATCATTCTTGTCACCTTCCGCCACCACCTCATCACTACTGCCTGTACTCTTGGCAACAACATGGCCAGCAACAGCAACCTCGCCATTGTCGACAGCTTCAGCAAATGCCAACCGCTTCGGCAGCAGGTACCGAACATCAATGTATCGTAAGGTACAGGTCATCGCAATGCAAAGAACCCAGAGCGCGATGCAAGACTGCCACCCGTACTTGTCTGTTTCCCACGTTAACGGACGGCACAAGTGATACAGAGAAAGCTTGCCGACTTACAATATGGCGCTTGGCTTGCGGGCCACACCAGGACCTGTGACCAGGCCCCAATCGCATAGTACCCGGCAACAGCAACCCCGACGATCAAGCTGCGTTGTTCCGGGTCTTGGGGGATGCTAGAACCGTGTCAACACTGTCCTGCTTCTCGAATAATGAGTCTCAGCACTTACAGGTCAGATACCCAAGCAAAGATGAGGGGCGCCGTTCCGAGCGCCATATAGTTGATAAAGTAGCTTGCATAAGCAGCCGCTATGGGGACACTCGTCGGGTGGCGAGTCCAAATAGACATGATGATGCAAGGTATCAGACAGATCAATCCTTGGACAACAATCAGAGTCCACCTCGTTTGTAGTAAGTCGGAGAGCAGTGCCCAAGTCCAAACTGCGTCGATTAGCGAACTGTGCGAGTTCTTGCTGAACCATAGAACGTACCGAATACTACATTGATGGCGCCACCTGCAATTGGAATCACATTGACTTGCTCGGTCGTCCATCGCTTTGAGCCGTCAGCCTTCTTCTGAGCTTTGAGGAAGAGGCCGAAGTAATTGTATCCATACGTGGCAAGGACGATGCCAGCGTACATGATGGCGATAAAGTAAACCACCCAAGATCTGTACTCATAATGATTAGCTCGAGACCTTCTCTTCAGCAAGAAATTAATATATGTACTAACGAGAACGTCCGCTTCGCACTCGCCCAAGTAACAGGCCTCGGCTCAGCCCTCTTGTGCTTGATCAATCTCCCAATAGCCAGCTCTTGGTCATTCCTCGTATACCAGAAAGCTCTCGGGTTCCTCTTGTTGGGATAGTCCGGCAACATCACCACACCGAGAAAGCCCCAACAGACAGTGATGATGGCGTTAATAACAAAGAGCCATCGCCATCCGGCAAGTCCGGCATGCCCGTCCATCGTCCCCATGATGGCAGCCTGCAGAGCTCCCGACAACATATTCCCGATCGCCTGACAGCTGTGATAAAATCCCATGCGTTTGGCAAGCTCCGTGGGTGTGTACCAGTGCATGAAGAGAGTCATCATACCAGGCCAAGCGCTGCTCTCGAATGCTCCGAGGAAGACTCGAATGATATAAACCTGTTTGGCGGTCGTCACCATCGCCATCAGCCCTGTGAGGATGCCCCAGCCAATTTCGAGTCCAGGAAGCCAGAATGAAGGTCGGACATAGGTCATGATGACTTGGGACGGAATCAGCATAATGCAGTATGCGACGTTGAATGCGGTCGTGAAGTAGTTGAGCTCATTGCCGTAGAGGGAGAGATCCTCTTTCATGCCGGAGACATAAGCATTCTGCAAGATGGTCAGCCGTTTATGCTTGGGCGAGCTTGGCCTGTAACCTCTTGGGGACAAACATCATGTCCCCAGGTAGTTGGTACTCACGTTGATATTCTGCTGATCGAGATACTTGATCACTTGCGAGATACATCCAAAGGTCATCAAGAATATGTCAAGCCGTCTCACAAACTCTCGCTCTTCTTTCGTTCTCTCCGCTGCTGGCGCCAGAAAGGCTGGTTTCTTTGCGAATAGTTTCATCCTTGTTTACGCGATAGTGCCAGGAGCAAATGGCGAGATTGATGAGGTTTAAGAGTAGAGGGCGGAGCGTCGACTCGCCCCATTTCTGCGTTTGGGCAATCGTCGGAAGCACACATCTTTGATCATACGCTATCGCGGCGAAGACAATACAGGTGTGCCTGGTGTGATGTTCCACGTGTACTTTATCGCCAGGGTGGCACCCTGTAACTAGACTCCGTGATGCCAAGGCATTCTTGAGATAGGCGGATAGTCGGCCTAGCTTAGAACTGGCCATGCCTGCGATCAACAGAAATTTCGCCACAGTTCAAGAGCTGGCCTAGACGCGGCAAGCGATGTTAGTGAAGCTTCTTTGCACTCCAGAATCTTGACTACAAGTGGACGACGCTGAATACCTACCATGGCTCCTCACGCGACTGGCGGCTCAGATACTTGCAGTAACACGCCAGAAACATCATCGGAAGCCAATGGAGATGCAAAGCAAGACGGTTACCGTTCCCTACCAGTGCCAAATCCATGCCTCTCACATTGGCACCGCACAACTCGAGCCTTCGAGCATCTCAATACCAACGAGCACGTCCCCGTCCCAGCGACAGCCAAATACGTCATCATCGGTTCTGGACTTTCTGGCTCGTTGACAGCATGGTCTCTGGTTGTCGACCACGGTGTCGCAGCCAAGAGTCTTGTTCTCCTCGAAGCTAGAGAAGCCGTATCCGGAGCTTCAGGCAGGAACGCGGGGCATGTTAGACCTGATGCTTTTCGCGGGTTTGCAGCATACGCCCGAATCCATGGACCTGAGCAAGCTAGAAAGATCCTCGAAAATGAGAAGCTGGTGTTCGAGAAGGTCGATGCGTTCATTCGTGAACACAACGTTCCCTGCGATTTCAATTCTACTACAACCTTTGACGTCTGCCTGACACCGGAATTTGTTGCCCACCAAAAGGAATCCTTCAGCGCTTACCAAAACGCTGGCGGAGATGTCACTCATGTGCAGTACTTCGAAGGCGAAGAAGCGAAGAGTCGAACAGGAATCAAGGACGTGTTAGCTGCCTATGAGTGGCCTGCAGGCTCGAGCCATCCGGCTAAGCTTGCGCAATGGTTATTGGGGCAACTGATTGAGAGAGGCGTGAGTCTGTGGACGCACTGTGCTGCGATGAAAATTAGTGAGCACGAGGCTCGTGACGTGGACGATCACGCAAAATGGGACATTACAACCCCGCGCGGTACCATTGCCACGGAAGTGGTAATACACTGTACGAACGCATACGCTGCTCATCTTCTACCGGAGCTGTCAAGCTTTGTAACTCCCAATCGAGCCCAGGCGCATTCTATAATCCCGGGATCTGAACTGTCGGGGGCTAGAGCGCAGAAGAGCACCATGAGTCTGAGGTACAGCCTGAAGCACTTTTTCTCTTTCATTCAACGTACAGTCGATGGAACGGTTGTTTTTGGCGTATCGAGATTACATCCAGGATGGAGCCAAGAGACGATAAGGTCCATCGTTAGTTTTGATGACTCGGGATACAACACCGAGATTGCAGACTCGTCCAGCGAAGCATACAAAGAACTTTTCCAGGGCACCAAGTTCAGAGCAACCCGCCATGGCGAAGGTGATGAGTATCATTGGACGGGCATCATTGCCATGACCCCCGATTCTGTGCCGATCGTTGGTGCGGTCGAGGGTAAAGAAGGGCAATACATTCTGGCTGGGCACAACGGACACGGTAAGAGTTTTGAAACGGAGGGGCTTGGCCGAGTCCTCAACGCTGACGAGTGTGTCTTGGTAGGTATGGCCCGTATATGGGCATGCGCTCCAGGGCTTGCTAAACTTGTTCTCGGGGAGTCGTGGGCTGCAACAGGTCTTCCAGAGTGTTTCCGCTACAGCAAGGCCCGGCTCGATCGAGCGGCGCAGCAGAATATCACAAGCGTGTGGTGAAGACTGAGGCTGAAGACGTGATCGTTCACCGCTTGCGAGCCTGCCGCAACGGAATCGAGTGCACATCCTGCCCTATGCGCACTTTCACTTCACGGAATGTGAGGTCCGAGGCCTTCAGCTTCTGAAGAAGCTGATCGGAAATGACGACCTCAACTGGTCCAGCGCTTGCGGACTTTTGGTGAGGCTGGATCGACCACGCAATACTGATGTGGAAGTTGTCGTGCTCCCAGGCTTCGGGCACATGGGAACTAGAAAAGGTCCGGTGTCCATAAAGCAGCGGCTGATTGTACTGACGTGCCAAGTCATTACTGCGCTCGAGCAGGATTCGAAGTTCGTCGCAAGAAGGTCTTCGCAGACGGAGGACTAAGAACCAGCGCGTTTGATCTTCGTTGGGGTGCCAGACGAGGTCGAGTGGGCGCACGCTGAAGGCCGAGACTCCAGCAAGGGAGATGGAAGTTTTCAGGCGATCGAAAAATGTGTCTTTGTGTTCCGTCTTCAATGCCAATGGCCTGGACAAGGATACGTGAAGCGGCTGCCGCACGCCCAAGTCGTTCTCTAGCAAACTGTGAATATCATCCTTGCAATTCGTCGTCTTCTGCGCGTGAGTGATGAGGTCCTGCAGCGATCTATAGTCATGTGGTTGGGGGGTCCCTCCTGCGTGTCAGTATACCAGTAAATTTCAGTAATTTCGACACGGAAGACGAAACCTCGCGTCCTTACAGTCTAGATACACGTGGGTGGGCCAGTTGCCAGCAATGTGTGGCGTGACTCGTTTCCGACCCTCGTGAAGAGAAGGGTCGTCGTGGGTGCTTGTGCGTACAGTTGATGAGTACAGGTCACGGAACGCTGCCGGGAGCGGTGGCAGTTGATCCTTCACTGTCGCGGGTTTTCTTTTCTTTCGGGCGGGCTCAGCCTCGTCGTCGCCGTCAGAGTCGGAGTAGTCGACCAGACCCATCTCGTTGCACTCTCAGACGCGTAGCAGATGCCGCTCCTGGAGTCCTGGTTAGCAGATCTGGAACAACGGCTCGGTCGTGCGTGGTGCTGGACATCCGCGGGCGGAAGAGCGTTGACAAGAGGACGCGCGCTCTCCGATGATGGAAGCATCTGTCGGCGTTGTGCATCGACCACTAGAGGCTCCGTGAAGCAGAAGAAGAAGGGTCCTTCCATGTCATCACTTACATTGCATCACCGGTGGAGCCAAGAGGAAGTTGCGGAAGGTACGCGTCAGATGTCTCTGCACTTGCTTAGCACATGTACCTGTCCTGTTCTAATGGCCTGTAGCCGTCGTGCTGACCGGTGCCTGGCACAGTTTTACTTGTTCCTCATCTTGTTCTTGTCCTACACCATCACCGAAGCAGCGTACCTATCCAGTCCCACCTTATTGAGAGTCAGAGAGAACGACTAGACGAGGGCGGTAACATACAATGTCCCAGGCAGTGTCATCAAAGGTACGTCAGCCACGTTCGGCCACGTGCAAGGGACCGCATACCATGTGGCATGCACTCTCCCGCAATCCAGAGGACAGGAGAGGAGAAGAGAAAGGACAAGACAAGACAAGCACAAGACAGGACTGATGGGAGTGTCCGATGACAGACGGCCACGGCCTACCTGATCGACCCGCTCAACGCCCCCGAGCCATCGGCAGAGACTGGGCCTGGCACCTCGTTTGGCAGCACCTTCGCGCCTGCCCCCGTGTCGCAGCAGGGTACCGGATCTAGCTTTGGCTCGAACAACCCATACCGTAAAACATCTGGTTCGCGCACACCCCCCGAGAAGACGGGCGCATCCTCCTCCGTTCGTCGAATTAGCCAGAATCGCAGCCCACGGGAAGCCTTTCCCAACTACCGCGCCGAAGCATTCCAAGACTATGCCACTCCAAGAAGTCGCTCGGGCAGCAGCAGCAACCGACACCCGCCCCCCGCCTACGATCAGTCCGCATCACCAAAGGGCGAGTCGCGTCATCGCCGTCGTACCAGCTCTCTGAGCGCGCGCTATCCAGGCGACAAGAGCCACCAGCCACTTGAGATACTCAGAAAGGATAGTAAGAAAGCCTACCGTAGCCCGCATCTGAAGAAGACGCACCTGCCCGGTCCAGACACCATTGATCAGCTTGATCCTGCCATCGGTGGGCGGGCATACCACCACGAGGGACCATACGATGCAGCACTGCTGGCGAGGAACAACAGTGTAGGCATCTCGCCTGTGGCAGCTCTACAGAGTACCAATGCCGAAGCCTTGAAGGCTACGCCTGCCGAGAACGTTAGAGACTCTGTCGAAAGGCATAAGCCATTGGATGGTGTGGCGCAGCTTCCATCAGGAGTGCCCGATAGGTTCGGACGCACTTTGCACTACGAAGAGGGCGCAGATTTGATGCATGAGGACGGTCCGGATGGTCCAGGTTACAAGCGTTGGGCTGGCAAGGTGCGTTCGAAGAAACGACCAATAAGGGCAATGGCTAACTCTCCACAGGATTACGCTCCCGGTGACCTGAAAGGCAAGGGCGACACTTTCCTCCTTGATCAAGCTCTCCAAGCCCACACCATCAACGAGAACGGGATCGAAATGTCAGAGACTGCCTTTAAGAAGGCCAAGGCCAATGGCACTCTCGACAACCGCGACCCAGTCACTATTGCCGGCGGTGAAGCCGCATATGCGGACTACGCACGCGCTAACGATGTGGATGTCGCCCGCAATCGTAGCGACAGTGGAGGTCTGCGATCTGGGCTGAAGAAGCGCATCGGCAGCTTGCGCAGGAAGAACCGAGAAGACAATTAAATGCAGAGATGCCAGACTTCAATTGACTTTCCACTTCGCAGGTTGTATATTGTACAGAGACATAATGAGATCGGACAAGGCTGGCGCTCGGAAATCTATGGGGCAGACAAGAGCGCGGTTAGCGATGAGGCACGACCTAATATGACGAATTCAAACATGCTTTCATTGATCTCAGCTGTTGGCTGTCGCAATGCTTGCTGGTGAAGGCAGCTGACATTGACCAGCAAGATGCAACATAGTATGTGATGTGTAGACGAGTAGGTTTGTGTCGCGCATCATAGCATGTTGAACCTGATTGACATATAGATTGTGTCTCCGCAAGGTAAGACCATACGATATCTTTCGTGAATCCGCTGATGAGAAGAGTTTCATTCAATATCACACACGAATTGGCACTGATCAGACAGAATGACCAACAGGCCCTACGAGATGGATATGCCCTCACTGCCGAAGCTCATGAATATGGAGGACGCAGCCTCGCACTGGACGTTCCGGGCCTCGAGTACCGATCGAGGTCGTCGTCTTGATAAGTGTGATGTTCATAACGACATACTCTATACTCCTCATGGAGAGAATAGAGCAGGATGTAGTCCGTCACAGCTTTCTGGACGAGACGGCAGAGAGGAACACCCTGTCCAATGCAATGCAGCTCGTGACACGGATCCTAGCACGGAGTACATTGATCTGCACCACATGGACGGACTCAGCGAGAAGGAAGAGGATGTTCGTCTACATTTGCGAGGCGGTGTGGACGATTCGGAAAGTTGTTCGGAATCTGATATGGATACTACTTGTGGCTCTGTTGTGACCTCTACAGATACATGTATAGACCTGTCAGCGCCAGCCGACCACGACGACCAGGAGGCAAAGGATCATGTCTTCGTCCCCTCGCCACCGTACCTGCTGCAGGATCTTTCTACTCGTTTTGCTGGGAGCCTTCAGTTGGTGTATCATGAAAGCTATGGAGGTTGGTTCTTGCAAGATAGGCAAAGACCTTTACTTCTGGAATTGCTTGATCGCAATGATGCGGAGCTCAACAGGCTGAAGCGGAGCTTGGCAGAGCGTACAGACCTGCCAGTCGAGGGACCAGGCCCGGACCATTCTTGCGGTGAAGGTGACGGATGTGGAATTCATCTTGGTAGTGGCAGTGCAGGGGGGTTCCAAGTTGCCCAGGAAGTCATGGAGGAGCGGCACGAGAGATCTATAAGTGCGCAAGGTTCTGTGGACTCTAGGGTCAATACAATTGGTCTGGCGGAGTCGACGGAGCGAATGGAAGGCTTATCTTTTGATCTAAACCCCAGTCGCGGAAGATCGCGGGTCTCTAGATGGACGACCGACAACATGCCTGACGATATTGGCCGGCAAACGGATATCCAAGAGTCGAAATTTCTAGGATCTATAGGCCAGCAAACCACGCTTCGAGACAGCAACGGTAAAGGAAGAGCAACATCCCCGCGATATCCCGCAAACTCTCGTCCTTTCAAGATACCTCAGGACCAGCTCATTGTCCTGCTTCGAAAGTGCTTCGCTTCAAAGCCATACTGGACAGCGTCTGATCTTTCTCAGTCCTTCCAGCAACCGGAGACGCACATCGTCGACGCGCTGCGAGAAATTGCTGTATTTGGTCCGTGGCAGAGCGATTTCCCTCAACACAGCTGGTCTTGGAAACTTCAATCCCGTCGCAATAATGATGGCCAGAGGTCCAAAGGGAAGGAACGAGCAGAATCAGCGAACCGTATTGCGAGGCTGCCGAGGCTTTGTTACTGCCGCGGACCCGATTGTGGTTACTGTCAGTCGGAAAGCTGGACAGTGTGCGATGTGCGTGACTTGTAACCATTCATCTGGTGCTGCAGACAACACCTCTTGAATTCGTGATCGTATTGGATGGCAGCTCATACTTGAGCAAAGTACCACAAGCTTCTCTTGTCATACATCTCCTCTCCCTAGCAATTTTTCCGACTTCTTCTGCTGATCCTACGGAGTAGGGTCCGGCGGGATCTGATGTTCTGGCCCTCTTCGGGTTTGTTATCTCAATTCCCACAGATCGTGCTGAGATGAATAAATGTGCCATTGCTGACGTGGGAAAAGATCTCTCCACTCCACTGGATGGGTGCTGCTTCGAAAGGAAACATGTGAAGCATTTCACATGCTCGCTATGTGCACGCTTCCCGGCTCACATTATCTTGGCAGGTTCGGAGTTTGCAGGGAGTGTAAGATATTCAATAATGACGTTCCCTTGCGCGACATTGACTGGCAGTGCCCACATCGCGTCAGTGTCACCGCGTGAATGATGGTGTGTATAATAGCCTACTCCGAAAGCCAGCACCGTTGGGCCGTCGATAACAAGACAAAACACACGAGAATGACTAATACAACATCATCTTGCCTCCTTTCTCCTCAACAACTCCACCCCAAAACTCGGCTCCAGATGAATTTGCAGAAAACTCACATGACACGCCACACGCTGACACCTCAACTCCACCACCAGACTCTCCTCCTCCTCCTCACTCGGACATGCAAATTCTACCGTAGTACTGTTTGGCTTCGCTGTGAAATCCAGCACCCCAAGCAATTCCCCACGAATAGGAAGAGTCGAATATGATAACGCATCGTAGTCGAGCTCGTTCATCCTCATCGTCGTAGAACTATTAGAAGAAGATGAAGAGCCATTTGCCAAGTCCTTGGAGGAAGAGGGCGCAATCAGCTGCCAAACTTCAATTTCCCTCACATCGCCTTTCGTCGTGAGGTCTTCGGCACGAGCAGATGACTCCGGAGGCGGCTGCCAGAGGAGCGCGCAGGTCGGGCCGCCTTTAGAGGGGATGGGGAAGCGCATTATGGTGGAATCCTGCTGCAGTGATTAGCAACCGCTCGGTATGTGTATTTGGAACGTGTGGGAGGGAGAGAGCGTTAGTGATGAAAAGGTGGATGGATTGCCGGACCTCGACAGTGACATAAAACTGCACGCCATGGCCCCAGACGGCTTGTTTCAACTTGCGGCTCACTCGCGCGATTCTGTCGGGCCATACGTGTTCGTAGACTGAGGCATGAGGTGTTGTCGTCTTCGCTGTCCATGCTGAGCTAACCGCGGCGTCGCCATGGGCAGTGTCGGAGAACGAGCACGCTTGATATCTGGATAGCGTGGCGGGAAGGAGGGCGACATTGATGGCTGACAGCAGCGCCAAGGCGAGTGAGAAGTAGAAGACGAAATTATTATTAGAATGAGAGGACTTGGGTGGTGGGGAGGTCTCGAGCAAGGGAGCAGAGTGATCGGCCTCGTCATCTCCTTCTATCGTCGTAGACTGACGATGATGAGAACGGCCCGACTTTGCACTCGAGGAGAGCTTGAACGGGAGTTGAAAAGGCATGCGAGAGAGCAGGTGATTGGAAGCCATTTGGTAATTGAATAGAGGTCAGTCAAAGCCGGGAGTAGCGAGCAAGTAATGCTCGGTTATTATATGCTCGTCCTACCTTACTGTAATATACTAATATACTGCCAGCACCCAGCCTGCACTCAGCTATTCTATAATCGTCACAGCTCTCTCTTCACTTCTCTCTCACCATGCTGCACTCCACCTCTGCTACAGTATCCCCGATCACTGGCCTCCTGCTGGCCTTCAGCATTCACATCAACCTCATATCCGCCGCACACGCTGGCTTCCACGTCCAATATCCATGGGCAACTCGCGGCCCAAACCCCAAAATTAGGCCCGAGATCGATCAATACAACCCCTTCTGTGGTACGCCATCCCCCAATCTCCCCCTTCCACCTCTCGCAACAGCATCAACAACAACAGCAGTAGCAAGCTGAGAAGACAACCAAAAGGCGAAATCCTCAACAGCCCCACCGAATTCTCCCACAACTTCCGTACATTCCTCTCCTTCAGCGGCCACCCAGGAGATCTCATCACCGCCCTCTACACTCGACAGAGAGTACCCAAGCAACGCAAAGACTTCCCTCACATCATCCTGCAGGAAATTCCCATCCAGCCTTCGGGACAGCTGTGCGTGAACGTTACGCTACAGCCGTTTGAGCCGCATATTGGCGACATGGGGGTCATGTACTTTGAGGCGAGAGATCCGAGGACGGGGGTCGTGGTGGAATATCACGTAAGTCTTTTTGTATGAACCCCCTGCTGTTGCTTGCTGCTGCTGTGTATCAGAGTGATGGGGAGGGGGGAGGGGGATTGGAAATGGTGGGTGAGGATGATGCTGATGTAAAAATAATAGTGCACGGATGTTAAGTTGGTGGATGAGAGAGATGCTCTGCCAGAGGATCATCCGGCTATGTGTGCTGCGCAGAATGAGACGCTGATTCCTATGCCGGATGAGTGGTTGTAGTAGAGTTTGATGGGGCTAGTAGTTTCATGTTTCTTTCTTTTTTGTTTTTCTTTTCTAAATCACTGTTGATTTCAATTGCACGTTCCTCATCCTGCGTTTGTCTCATTCTAAACTTCCAGCACACAACAGGTTCATTGCTACCTAGGTAGTTAAGGGTATAGCGTTGCTGACAAGATCCAGGTTGCTTCACATGTTGAGGAGGGGGGGGGGGGGGGGGACGAATTTCCAAGGAACAGAGAATTTGAAACACGACAATACGTTTGCAACGCAGTAACGTAACACTTACACTCCTCTCTCAAGTCCACATCTCAATCGAAATTCATCATTGATATATATAAAAAGGAAAAAGAAAAGAAAAAAGAAAAAGTCACTTTCACCTCGGTAAAGCTGGCTTATAGTATATCGATACGCTCAAGAGTATATCTTGTTAGCATATGAGAGAGAGAGAGAGAGAGAGAGAGAGAGAGAGAGAGAGAGAGAGAGAGAGAGAGAGAGAGAGAGAGAGAGAGAGAGAGA